GGAGGGAATCCAGCCCCCCAGCATCGTCATCGTCGGCAACCGGTCTTCCGACAAGTCGAGCGTCCTCGAGTCCTTCATCGGCATCAACCTGCCATGAGGCGGGGCATTCACACGCAAATCCCTCCCATCATGCGACTCCAAGACAACCCATACGCCGATCGCCTGGACCTCTACCTCGAGATCAACGACAAAGTTGTCCCCATCGACGAGGACCCATCTTCAAGGCCATTACTGCCGCCAGGTCTGGCGAGAACCAAACCGGGCATGGACTTTCCAATCCTGCTAAATACGCTACTCTCTCACAACGAATGGCAATAATGCGGCGAGCCATTGCGGACCCGATGGTGGGGAGTTGCCAAATCGCGTGATGGTGAGTGAGGTGTTGAGGTACTCTCTCACCTGGGTGACTATCCCATTGGCAGAGACCGTCCAGGCGTTGAGCGAGTCTAAGTCGAAGCCCTCGGTGATCACGGTGGAGCCAAAGGAGGCGACAAAGTCGGAGACGAAGAGGAAGGTGTCATCCGACATGGTGGAGGAGGCGCATCAAGAACTTGGGAAATGGAACCATCACTCGAGGTTGGGGTGAGGATGCGGTGGATAGCATCGCAGTCGCGGAATTGGAGGGCCTCGTACAGGGTGCGGACCACCGTCCGACTTGTGGGCTCATGGTCCTCTGGATGCTAAAGAAGAAAATGAAAATTTTCTGTTAACCTTTGCTTTGGGTTCGATGGAGAGAGAGGGAAGATGGAGAGTTCTAACAGTCAATGATGTAGGACTTGGGCGAGGGTGAGAGGAGAGAATGAAAAGGAAAAAAAGAATAAGAAAGTTAGACAGGTGGAATTACACATGGACTTTAACGTGTAAATTGGACGGAAACCTAACTGTGGGGTAGATTTGGAAACTCATTAGAAGTTGGGACAAAAAAATGTTTGGGGTAGATTTGGATCTAAACCTAAAGTTGGGGGGTTTTTTAGGAAATTAGGCCCCCAAAGAAACCTATATTTTTCTTTTGTTTTTCTTTTCTCTGAACCAAGAATACTAACCTTACACATAAAATATATTATAGAATAGTGAGCCCTTCTATGTCTTATAGTGAGATGAGAGTTGTGCCTTTTCACGTTAGACAGAGAAGACTACTCCTTTGGCTAAAGAAGACAAATGAGCAACAAATATAATAAACTAAGTGTGTCCATCTCTTTTGTCTTTTAGTGCATAAGTTCGAATTTGTAAACAGCTCAAACTCGAGACATAATTTCAACATAAATAAAGAAAATGGTACATTGAAAATTGAAATTTACATGAATGATGAATGTGGCTGGACCGCTAATAGATAAAAGTAATAAGTGTATTGGAAATCCTAAAATTTATCGTAAAAATGTAATTGAGTCCTAAAACTTTTAAAAAATGCAATGAAGTTATAAGACTTGTTAAGTTAATGCAATCAAATTCTAAAACTTGTCGTAAAAGAAGCTTGGGTCTTAACCAAAACCTCGATAGTGCAGCACGATTTAAGAACATGCCGGATGGACCGTCTTTCGGCAGTAGAGCCACTGTAACGGGGCCTGGAGCACTTTCTTCAATGGCTGAAACCCTGCATTGCCATTAAAAATCAGTCTTGGCATAGCCGGGATTAACCGCGATAAGGGCGATTTCGGGGCATTTCTTAGGCAGGACTCTTATGTAAGCATTGAGACCTAACTTTGAGACAATGTAAGCCGATAGAACCATTGGCACGCCTTTGGTTTCCCCCTCATCCTACTTCACTTCCTTTAGAAATCCCTCTACCATATTTTCCAATTTCTCTTCCGTTCGGTCATCACTGAGAATTTATTGATTATAGAAAAAAAAATAAAAGAACTGATGTATATAACTTGTCATAGGAAAATATGCTTCATTGTTTTTCTCGAAATTCTATTGCGTATACGGACGGTGTAGAAAAAAAAAGGTAATTCCACGAGCGGAATGAATGCGGTGACACATATTACAGTATCTCTTTTAGTTATTAAATTATTTCAATGTAGAAATTGTTGACTATTTTATTTACACGTAGAGATAAATCTAAACGTTATCTTAATCAATTCTATACTTTCTTTACTTGTGATTAAAAGATGGTGGACTTCTTTTTAATGCTTACAATAATTACACATATCATGCTCCTACACATCATTTGTTCAAAATCGATCACCATCAAGTGAAAATATGTTCTCCATTCATGTGCTCGGAGTTTACCTATTTAAGATGCACTTTCTCGTTGTAATTTTTTATGAGATCAATGACAAATGTTCTAAAAGTTTAAATTGTTATATAAATGGGTAGTTTAATATTTAAATACTCTAACACTTCTCCTCACACGTAGATAAGACTTTATCCTAACACTAAACATGGAAATATATAATAAGGTAGACAAATAATGAGCCTGCAAAGATTTGAACTCTAGATCTCCCGTTATGATACAATGTAAAATTTTGTGAAATCACTGATAACTGTTGTAAATGTTTAAGCTATTTAATAAATGTGTAGCTTGATATTTAAGTACTCTACAGTAGCCATGGTCGCCTCTTGCCATGTAGCCTGTCCAATAGCCACACTAGCCTGTTGCCACATAACCTGCACAATAGCCATGGCAACACATAATAGCCACGTCAGGTTGTTGCAGCGTAGCTTGCACAAGTTAGCCGATTCTCTCTTCAGCGCATCGAACTACTTTGTCATCCACCGGGATGTTTTTCGAGTCTTTTCTCCAAACTCCAGTTGACTTCATCTAAGTCATCTTGAGTTTGAAGGGATATTAAAAATAATTAGAATATTTACTTGATTCCACATGTCTCTTAGGATTATGCATATTTCTCATTGATTATAATTGATACCATAATAGTTTTTTATCTTAGATAGTCATCTTATAAAGCCTATAAGAGACTCATGTACTCATCATAATTCTCTCTAAGAATATGCTGAAGAAAGAATCGTGTAATTTCAATATATTTCTATATTATAATGAAGAGTACATGTTTTATAATTTTATGAAATGATTATCTAAGGTAACAAGATATTATAATATCAATTATAATCAATTAAGGATATGTACAATTAATAGAGATACATGCACAATCCTTAGAGATACACAGAATCAAGGGAAATTTTTTTATTATCTTTAACATCCCCTCAAATTTAGGGTAACTTAGAAGATGTCAATTGGAATTTAGTAAAAATATTTAAAGACGCCTCGTGGATCATCGAAGCGATTTGGTGTGCTGGAGAGAGAACCGGCTAACGTGGCTGCTTACATGGCTGTTTTGTGTTGCCATGGCTGCCATGAATGCTACGTGTATTATTAGGCTACACGGCAACAACACGGGCTTACGTGGATGTGGACGTGATGAACAATGTTGAGCATGCTCAGGTGTGCGCCAGATGCACTCAAAATTTCCTCAAAACCATCTAGTTTCGATATCAAGATAAGAATCATGCAGAAGATAGAATTGTGTAATTTTTGTATGCTTCTTTATTATGATGAACAGTACATAAGCATATTTATAAACTTTTTTGATATGACTATCAAAGGTAACAAGATATTATGATATAAATCGTAATTACTTAAGGATATCCACAATCAAGAGAAATATATGCACAATCTAGAGAGATATGCAGAACCTTTCCTACGACACAATATCCACATTAGTGCTTAAGCAAGCAAATCAGTTGAGAGCTCCGTGACGGATTCAAGGGAACCATAAACTTTGCATTTATGGATGTATATCCCTTCATTAGGGTTTAAACCTACACAGCCTCTCTGCACTACCCATCCAAATCTTGATCAAAAGGTCCATACTACCATACGATTGAAGAACGCGCCCGAAGGTCCGTCTTTCGGCATTAGAGCCACCGTAACGGGACCTCTTGCGCCTTCCTCGACCGGCAACCCAATGTTCTGGCTTAGGTCGGTCTTGATGTATCCGGGGTGCACGGCATTGATGGCGATTCGGGGGTATTTCTTCGCCAAAACTCTTGTGTAAGCATTGAGAGTTGCCTTCGAGACGATGTAAGCGGATAAAATGATCGGCCAGCCTCTGGTTTCCACCGCATCCTCCTTCATATCCTTCAGAAATTGTGCGACCAAACCGTCCACTTTCTCTTCCGTGAGTCTATCGATGTCACTGAGCTCCTCTTTGATATTCTCGCCGGGGATGTACTGATTTCAAGCAGGATAAGATGAACAAATTTTTCTCTCACGTCATGAGCTTCAATCAGCTTCAATCAATCTCCTTATGTTCAGGCTTTCGTCATTGCATTAAACGGCAATATGACATAATCAAGTACATACCTTAAGCTGGCCAACGGAAGAGGAGACATTGACTACTTTCGGCAAATTTGATTGTTGCAGAAGAGGTAGAAGAGCAGCAGTTACTTGCTTGAGTCCATAGTAGTTAGTCCACAGACATTTTTCTGCTGATTCATACGTCTCCTTAAAGAACTCTTTCATCGATTTGGCCTTTGGACCTCTAATCTGCAATAAGGTCGCATGAAAAAGACGACGGTGTTAACCAATTTAGGCTTCTTAATTTCGATAAATAAAAGGGAAGAAAGTTAAAATGATGATGCCCCAAATATTATGCTAGTTCATGTCAAGAAAAGAATAGGTTAACGTTCAAAAACATTTTCGAATTTGCATGTAGATGATTTTAAATCAAAAGCTGAGCTATTATTTAACGGTGGGCAAATGTGTTTTAGGCTACTAGCTAGAGAAAAAAAAAAGGCGGCATGATTTACTTGAATACGTTCAATGAATCATAGCATAGAAATTATATGAAAATTGTATTTAGTAGTAGTAATGCCGATTTGAGAAAACTCACCATATCTTCTGTCAAAACTAAGTCCTTTTTCATGAATGTAGCTCCGGTTATGCCTGCATTATTCACCTGCAAGGCAAATTGCTCTTTTACGGCTCTTTTCTCAATCTAGTTGAGACATAATATAACAAGTGACCTACGCATACATTTTACCAGAATATCGAGTTTTCCGAACCGAGCCTTGACAAAATCCGCCAGCGAATTGACGCTGGTCCTGTCTACCACGTCGAGCGGATGAAAGACCACGTTGGAGATCCCAATACTCGCGAGCGTCTTGATAGCCTCATTCCCTCTGTTAACATCTCTAGCGGTCAATACAACAAAGACTCCATTGGAAGCTAGTTGCTTGCATATCTCTAATCCGATCCCTTTATTGGCACCCGTTACGACCGCAACCCTACAAACATTAACAGAAGAACGAGAACAGAACAAAAGGGTTAGCATTTCTTTTGAAATATATCATATCGAACCGGTTTCGGTAATTTATCAAGAGTGGTGGAAGCGAGGAGCACCTGTCCATTTGATGAAGAGCTTGAAATGTTAAAATCTGCTCAATCTTTTCCTTTTCCAAAGGGTTTTGGAGGGTGGTGGCTCTTCAGCAGTGGCTTGTCGAGTGCATATTTACAGGGAAAGGAAAAAAAAAATCATTCTTGTCTGTCTAGCCAAAAACAAAGAAAAAGGAAGCAGAGAAAACATCAGCCAGTGCGTCTTAGGTTATATATTTGGTCATTGATAGCGCAATTTTAACGTATGCCGTGACGTATCCTTACCATTCTTATCTAAGTGGTGATCACTTTCTTTAAAGGAGTAAATGAATAAAAAAATAATCATTCAAACCAAATTATACAGTCAAACCACGAGAAAGGTTCGAGAGATATAAGGACAGATTTTGTAGAATAGGGTATTTTTTTTTTTTTTTTGGTAAAGTTGTAGAATAGGGTATTGATCATTCAATGTTCTAAGTAAGCCCAAATGATTGCGAAGCAGGCTAGTGAAGTTGGGCCATGTATTTATGTGGCAATGTTGTCATGGGCAGCGACCATGACTAAAATTTGAAAGACAAACACACCATCAAAGATTCGATTTTACCTATGAACGGTATTTCAGCATGCACTACCAACAAGGGAAAATCTTTTTAGGAGGAATATTGTACCTAAACCGAAGTGTGATTTATGTCAGCAACATCCGGAGACTGTTGAGCATGTTTTTCTACTCTGCCCGTGGACGAAACAAGTTTGGTCCAATCCTTCGCTACAAATCAAAATTCCCGATCGAGGGTCTTCCGAGAATCGAAGATTGGCTCTTGGACTCTAGAGCTACATCTGTACCCTTCGAGCTACTCACAACCGTTCTTTGGCTTATCTGGAAATCAAGGAACAACTCCACATTCCGAAGACAAAAACCAAATCCACAGCAGTTGGTGAACTCATCTAAGGTGATGCATCGGTGCTCTTGTGGAAACCCTTGTTTTCTTCTCTGAACGTATGTCGGAGTGTCTTCTGTTGGAGTCAAGACTACTCAGAGGTGTGTCAGCTCTCACAAGCGCAGATCACTGTAAATGGGATGTACGTTTACTTATCTTGAAAGCCCAAGACCTGTTGAAAAACTTCTCGGATATAAGTTTGGTCCATTATAATAGATAGTCCGACAAAGTGGCAGACTGGATAGCTAAGGTCCATAGAAAAAATTCTTCTCTTGATCGGCCCCCTCCAGACCTGTGGAGTTTATTTTGTGCTGATGCTTTTGCTTTGTACTCGCAAGTAAAGACTTAAGCAAAGAACTAATATCGTTTTGCACTGAACTTTCTACCCTCTTTCCCTAATGACATGCATGCTATTGTAAGCATTCAATCTAAACTAGACATTCGTTCATCATGAAGTTCTGCATAACTCACTTTATTAGGCAAATAAAAGTGTGCACTCACGCATAAAAGCACTTGCATTTCTCTTTGTAATTTCCGGTGTACTCTATCTACAGGACTTTAAGGTGACTTAATAATCATGGGTGGGTCCGCAGTGAATGCATAATCTTCGTACCAAATTCTACAACCCTTAATTTGGACTTGAGCTGCGATGCGTGTACAACATACTTGATAAGTTGTCTAGCGAGCCTGGGACGTGCACGCGGTGTAGTCAGGTTGCGAAAGGTCGCCGGAACAGGCTCCATGTCCATAAACATTGACCACGTTGCCCGGCTTTATGTTGTGATAGTTACAACCCGAGGTAGCTGTTTTCTGAACTAGATCTTCCAAGACGGTATCAATCTAATGTGCATACTCATTACACAGCGTTTGAGACTCAATCCGGCGTCTCAATAATGCAATTGATTTATCCATGAGAATAAGGATGATGTGCAATTAACGACTCAATGAATCAATGAAATATGATTTTTTTTTCCAAAGAAAACTGTATTTATTTCTCAAAAGGATACATGATAAGTACATACACTTCATGACAAAACAAATCGCAAAACCCAGAATACTGCAAAACAAAGCCAAATCCAAAAAATATGGGGATCAACGAAGCACCAGTAAGGTTTAGCACACACTCATTCCACAAATACGAATCTGTCAAGCAAAATAATCGGCGACCAATCACTAAATCTCGTATCTTTGTTAGTGATGAGCACATGCTGAAAATCCCTTCTTCTATAACTATGGCGCTGCCAGTTGGTGGTGCGCGCCTAAATTTGACTTCCTCTACACCATCGTCATATGGAGACAACCAAAATAGATTGAACAAACACATATCTAACATGTGGAAGAGCAAATTTTCATGATTCAGCAAGACGTCAAAACTCATGCGATCACCATTGAAGCTAGAGGCAAAGAACCTAAACACGGACAGAGCAAAGGGGTAGCAAATACCCAAAAGCATACATATTAAACTCCCAGATTTAGATCAGGAGAGAATAGCTCCTAAATCTAGAACTAGATCGAGAGAGTTCAAACTCTTAGTCTAAAACTCCCAGATCTAAGTAGGAAGAGAAGAAAAAACAAGAAAAGACCAATAAAACGTATATAAAATCAACAAGAGAGGGATGGGAGGATGAGATTATAGCTCAAACCCTCCCCCACAGCTGAACATTGAAGAAGAAAATGGAGAGAGAAAAGAGAGCGGAAGAGAAATAGACTTTTCGGCTCCTTGCAATGTTAGAGTTGAAAGAGATAGATCAATGAAGTCTGATTTGATGAGCCACCAATAAAGGCAGAGCAGAAAAAGAGGGTCTTAGTCTTCAAATTTGATAGTTCAATCTTCCCTGTCATCAATGTAAGAGTCCTCATTATTCACTTTTGTGGCCTTTAATAATTCTTTCATCAACATGAAATGAGTGAGCACGCTTAAAGTTTTCAGCTTTGATATATCGGGCATTCCAACGATCCACACAACCTTAAAACATTTAGGACAATAAGACCAACGATACTAATAACATTCTTATACTAATTTGTTGCCATCGAGTGATATCATGGACCACTATTCATGTATCAGACCACTAACTCCTCCTCATGGCCCAATCGAAAACATCAATCTTTCGATAGTTCAATCGCGACTCGAACCGTTGATGAACAAACATATATTTTATAAGAAACACGCACGAGTGACATCATTGGTCGAACTTTCATGCACCCAGCTAATTCAAAACTCCTTTGGTCCGGTTGATGAAATGATATGAAATGAAAGACTCTGTTGCAGCCGAGCCGACCTCTCCAATAATGTCACAAAATCAGAGTTTAGTCAAAAGGTCTTATCGTCCACAATGGACTTCAAAGTACCAGCTGAGACATAAGCCAAAAGGGCGGTTGTTGGCAACCTTCTTCACGAAATCTTCCAAAGGTCGTAACATTTGCCTTGGACTGGACCTATAATTGCAGTCAATTAATGCCAAGACCCATTGCCTCTCACGCAGGCAATCTCAGTATTCCGATAGAACGAAAATATAATCCTAAACTAATGATTTATCCCGTTGATTAATCACCCCTATGCCTATTTTTCCACCCTTAATAGGTTATTTATCTATATTTCTACACCTAAATCTCCGCAAGAGAATGTTCATATGGAGTTTAATATGCGCCCCTTGCAATCAACTGTCATTCTAAGCCATCAGAGGGAGTTAAAATGTAGCTATCGTTTAATATTTTACTGTCGTAAATTGCTATGTGATTGGTCCTAGTGGAGATAAAAAAGAGTACCCTTCGGGTCACATGCATACATAACGACCTTGATAGATGCATTTCTCTGTAGATTTAGCTACAGGATTACCCAACTGAAGCTTGATCAAACGCAGAGACTAGTGACGGACAAGAGTACTTTTAAACTACTCATGTTTCGGCGTCGGACATGCTGTAAGTCTCTTATGCATCGGCATCTCCAATACATCGGCATCACAAAACTGTTGAGATGCAAGTGTAAGTTGTGTTAGAAAAGTCCCACATCGGAGAATTGATGTGATGTAGACATTTAATATATCCTAATTAGCTCATAACTCATTGATTTAAACTTTTGAGTGAATGTGGGTCTAACCGGTTATACTGATGGACTTGGACTTGGGCTCCCTCTTGGCGATCTCCTAAGGTGACGGTATCGGGCTTTTGCCCTGTTCTTGGTGATTGGTGAAAAATCTCAAGAAGGGAATCTATTACCGGTGACTGGTGAAATTTCTCAAGAAGGGAATCTAGTGACTAATGCGGAGTCAATGGTAGACGGACGCCAATCTGGTGACCAACGCAATTTCCGGGTAGTAGGCATTGTGGCGTAGTAACGAGGGCCTGAAGAGGGATGAAGTGATTTTGAATTAATGTGGGTCTAATTGAATAACAAAAACTAGCTAGTGAATTAGCCTGTATAAGCGAGTGATTACTCATCTTTAAACTACCTTATACCTCCAAGGTAAACTAGACTGATCGGTAGTCCATTCTATTGGTTTCGGTTCACATTTCCAGACGAAGTCATTAACCAATCGAGAGAGAGAGAGAGAGAGAGAGAGAGAGAGAGAGAGAGAGTGAGTGGAGTTTTAATTTCGATTACATGGAGATGACTAAGAATGAAGACTAATGAAAGCTCCACGTTGAAATAACATGGCGTGCTCAGGCATCCTAGACTTGATGTCCATGACATCGACGCATGGCAATTTAGTCCACACGTTCGTTCATAGAATACCACGCAATTAATATATATATATATATAGGCGAATTGCCGTATAAATGTGTACGTATAAAAGACCCAAAATAGAGAAATCCGACATGACACGCCGATACGTCATTTTTCAAAAATAGAGAAATCCGACACGTTAGGACATATTGTATATTTATTGTATATATTTATATATACATAATAAATTATCATTTTTATGATTATTTCAATCAAATTAATTTGATTCAAAATCCACAAATAAATAAATAATAAAAAGAGTGTCGGTGTCCGACACAACACGGAGGCCCTTGGAGAGTGTCCGTGCTTCCTAGCTTGAGACTAGGTAATTCTACATGTGTGAGATGTACAAATGACTTGTCTGGCTTCTCAAGTAAGCTATTCACAAGCACACATAAACCTACTATTACGGAATAATAGCAGAAGCCCAATACCTTTCGCCCGGGGAGATCACTGGGAGGGAGCCTAAGTCCAAGCATGTTAATATATCCAGTTGGACTCACATTCACTCAAAAGTTTAAGCTAATGAATTATGGGCCAACTAAGATATATTAACTACTCTACACCACACCAATTATCTAATGTAGGATTTCTCTAACACAACTCAGACATGCATTCTAACAATATTTCCCTCACGTGTGAGCTCCCCCTTAATTCAGGTATATTTATCTGCATCAAGATATGAAGTCATGCCACCGGGCTTGCATTGTTACACCACAATGCCTACTGCTCGTAAATTATGCCTAACTTCATTCACCAAACGCGGCTCTGATATCAATTTGTTAGGACCGCAACAGCGGAAGCCCGATACCTTTCGCCCGGAGAGATCACCAAGAGGGAGCCTAAGTCCGAGCCTGTTAACATATCCAGTTGGACCCACCTTTACTCAAAAGCTTAAGTCAATAAATTATGGGCCAACTAAGATATATCAACTGCTCTACACTACATTAATTCTCCGATGTGAGATTTCTATAACATAGCTCACACATGTATCCTGACACCTACCTTACCGTCTGAGGACCATCACATATGACTTACTTTTTATTTCCCGTTTGATCTAATTCTTACTGTCTAAAGGATTGTTTCTGCAAAAGAACTGAAAGACCGTCTAATTCCACTCTTGACTAGGGTTTATTGCAAATAAAGAATTTCTTTTCCTTTTAAATTTCATAAAGCCGATTCTCCGTCAAATTGGTATTGGATACAAAAGAGACTCTCCTGATTCGATATCTTCAACCCTTTCCTCAACCACTAATTCGATTTTCCGTCGGGCTATCCGATGTATTTCCTTATACAACACCACCCGATACTAGAATATGGCACCCCGTGTCCGCAAGGAACTTGATTAGACCTCCAATCAAGATAATAACAACATATCAATTTTCGCTATCAAATCCGAAATGTACTTCATCATTTGGATCCAATGGTAAAAGTCAACGACCCAGCAGCCCAAATTGGAACTCAAGTGAGTACACAAGGACCAAATTAGCCTCAAGATTAACGCTCATCTTTAACAAAGTAATCATCTGGTTCATCTCTACTCTACTGCATGTTATCCTAGGCACTCCAATACCTTTGAAATAATTCATTGCATCCCCATAAGCAAGAGAAGGAGCAGCAAAACTTGGAGCTCAGGATAATTTCGAATGTTAAGATTGGTCGATCAAGGACTTGTCCACAAAACTCAGATTAAAACCAAAGAATGAGGTTGTTTATGTCATTTTGGAAAGGGATAATATCAAATTATTAGTTTTGGCTTCTTCTGCACCACAGGTCGCTGCACCTTATTATATTTAAGATCTCAGAAACTGCACGCATTAGTGAAACAGACTCAGATAAACCACCTTCTCAGCAAAAAATCATTCCATTCTCTCCTCTCACCAATAACCATTGTACTCATGAAAACGCCGAGCTATAGGCTGTCGTTTCTGTTCCTAACAACCATGTTGATTATCGCTCAGCTCTCCAGTTGCCGCACTATCCACAGAAGAGGTAATGAATTGCATAGATCCCTGACAGCTAAGTTCTTTCCGAAGTTTGCAAAGCAAGTCTCAACAAAAGCCTTCGAAGACAACAACACCAAAGATCAGATCGACCCAGTTTATGGCGTTTCCATGAGAGAAGTTCCCGGTGGACCAAATCCGCTTCACAACTGATCTCTCTCAAAGACATGTTGTTGGTCATACAAAGTTTTGCAGATAATAGCTATCTTTTCTCTGCATTTGTATACTTCTTCAGGGCGTGATGTATATTGTTTGATAGATACACTTTCGAAAAGGAATGCAAGTTTGTGTATTTTACTAGAAACTTGCAACTGCACCAAACGGAGATGGCAAAGCACTATATGCAGTTAAAACCGATTATAACTAGCCGCCTGAGTCCTTACTACGGAAGGGCTGCATATGATCCAACACAAACAGTGGTTGACATTCTTGTCGCGCTAATACCTACAAAAATAATAGTCTTCCGAAAACATAATGGCAGCAAAAAGATCGAAAAATGATGAAGATCAAGGCATAGGAGTTTGCAACAGGAAAAAAAAAAGAAACAAAGAAAGAGAAGAGGTGGACTAAACTTAGAACACATGGCTAACCAACTTTAGCCATAGACATACATGTGTTAGCCATTAAAGTACTCAATCAGCTAACAAAGTCAAATCTAAGCACTTAAAAACAAAGCAAATGAGTTTGCTGCACTATCTCATATCGCTAGTAACCAGAAGGTCTTCTTATCTAGTTCCAAATTTCATCTAAGAACAGAAGACACAATGCTTTTGCAAAGTTATCGTACGTCAAAGCTCATTGTGCTCATTTTAATGGTGAAAGAAAAAATTTGGATGTATCTAATGGTGTTAAATTTCATGGTCAAAGAATAATTGGAACGGAAAGGTTGAACAGATGCAACTTCCAATCAGATGCAACTTCCCCAAATGACAAATTTTCCTTGTTAGTATGTGGAGAAGAATTAATAGAATAAGTTGAGAGGCATCACATCAAACAGCCATGGACTGTGAATATCTATTAGTCTCTCGTGATGCATATTCGAGCAAATGGATGAAAGACATTCATTGGGTCTTAAATCAAATTTGGGTCCAATGAGTAATGAGGATTTAGAGACAGCTGCATAAAAGACAAAAAGGAAAAAAATATATTCGTGTACGCAACACCATTTTCTCCATCAAGATCTTGTAGAATGAGATAGGTTTGACTTTTCAATTACCAAGAACTCATATGACAAATTAGATATCAGAAGGTGACCCCAAGTTGGCAGGTCTTGACCCTCATTCAATAAAATCATGGAAATGGAGACAGAAAACCCCACGGTGAGAGCAGTTCTTCATAAAGAAGAACATCAAATCCACTCATTGCTCGAGGTTGAGGCAGCAGAAAAGGATGTACATATAAGGATTATAATGGTGAGAAGCATTGAGAAAAGCATGGGTTTCAAGTATCAAAGTTGTTCCAGATTGTCATGCAGAGGTACATGCACATGGAGACACATAGATATGCCTAACTAGTAGCAAGTGAATTCGCACAAATACGACACAAAGAAGCCAGTTGAAGGAGAGAATAGGGGGCTAAAAGAAAAAAGGTAGAGGCAGTGTACTCACCTGGATGCTTTCTTTTAGGGAAGTGGAATTGCTCCAACCCAATTGTAATTTGGAAACTGGCACAGGAGCATTTGCCTTCAAAGTTCACCGTTTAAACGATAAGGAATGAATCTGCGAATTTTCTTTTGATGACTCCAAGCTACATAAGTTCCGTCCCCACAGGATCAATTGAAAAATGAATAGAAAGCGTTTTCAGAGTGATTGGCTGGAATTTGGAGCTCCAGATCTGTATGAAAACGTAAAGTCAAAAGTCTTGCAATTCTTGCCACTTGAACAAAGCAAAATCCCACAATCAAAGATTTTCCTGTTCAGCAAACAGGAATTAGGAAAACAGGTAAAGGAAGGCAAGAATGAGAAGGATGGCTGCTGGTCAAGATGGAAATAATTGAGCATCATTGGCTTCTCATGAGGGAAAAGGGTCCGGCAGTATTTGTGCATAACTCTACACTCATGGTGAAAAATGATGAAAGTTTTGTCTCAAGATACGACTTAGAGATACATTGTCAGAAAACCATTATTCTAAGTCAAGTTCCTTACATGTTTGTACTCTGTGCTACCAACAAATTTTTTGAAGGCTTCAACTGCAAAAGAATAGAGTGAAAACACAATTAGCACAATTCGGAAAGGCAGTTTCATGCCATCTGACAAGATAGAATACCGAATGAGAGCTCACTTGAACGGAATCTTATCACAACACCATGTGTGTACTCCATATTACTGGTGGAATTGAAATTCAACCCTGAAAGTTAAAATCAATGAAAACAATGGTTACCGAGACAAGAGTGCAATAATTTTCTGCTAAAAAGGAAAAGAGTACTGAGAGCACCAACAACGTATTTCAGTTGACAGCTATTTAGGCTCCATTTTGGAGACTAAAAAGAACAATAAAACCACATGAAGCTATATTATGCACAAGGTTCAGCTCAAAGACTGCACCTTGAGAAACTTGGACTATCAAAGATGGTGACTCCATGGCTATTCTATGCAGAGAACACAGTGCATCTTCTGCAAGTTCACCAAGCACGTCATCCTTTAACTCAACCAACAAAACAAATTCCTCGCCATAATTGAACTCCTGTTCCAAAAAGTTATTTGGACCGCTTTAAAAATTAACGAATTCGATAGTAAAGACAACCACATGTGTCTACCCAAAAGAGAAATCAAAGAGGATTGCCGAAACGTTAAATGATCAAATTCTGGGGTAGGAATCTTTCTACCTCTCCTTTCCTAAATATGGAAAGGATATCGTCGTCCACTTCAGACTCATAATCAACATTAAGTAGTTCCTGTAGATTAAAAAAAAATAAAGATAAGATGAAAAGTGCAAAATTTACCATCACAAGAAATAACGACTGGAAGCAGTATAGGCACCAAGTATTGGTGGTCAGTCACATGCAGGGTCATACATGGCAGTAAGGCATCACATGCTTCTGAAGAACTCCCAAATAGAAAGGGTTCTCATAGAACTTTAATAGGTCCCCCTTCCTCTGGAAACGCATAAAAACAGCATGTGTGTATCTTTCAGGATTATCATCATCAATAGTTCCTACAGGAGTTACCGGGACACGTATGTTAGCATAGAAAGTATGTGGGATATCAATAGGCAACCACAAAAGAGACAGTTTATGCAACTTAGAGAAAATACTTTTTAAGAGACTACCAGTAGAGTCACTAAATGAATTTAGTAGCTAACCAGAAACTTCAAGCAAACATTAAGCGAATGCAGCATAATGCCCGGGGCAATTCCACATTAGTAAGAATGTGGAAGAGGAACCAACCTAATGATATTGTAACAATGCCACCCATTTGATATTGGGATGTATACAAGTAATCCAGCATATCCTTCTCTTCCTCCTCAGTTAGGTTATCCTTAGCTTTTAGCAAACATATGTGCTCCACAACATCTCTGGGAAGAAAGAAACGTGACCAGTAAATAAAACACCACAACAATTCATACATTAATAATGATATTACTCAAAGTGTAGATAAGAGTTTCAACTAAATCATTGAAGCAACACACAAGTAATTATGCCTTTTGTGTCAAAAAGTGGGGTGTCTAACCACAATGATGGGCATTTAATTGTCAATAGATCTTTCATATGGTATACAGATTGAAATGTATCACTCACCAGTAAACAATATATAAGTTTTAAACACCTTTCTCATATTTAAGTGCCCAGATGCAAAACATTTGATGATGTTAATATGGCAAGTAAAACACAAGAAGCAGAGATTACAACCATATATCATCCAACGTTTTTCAGTTGAACACATCACTTGAATCAACAGTTTAACATTTAAATCATGAAGAAGCTGGGACATAAACCAGTTAAAATGTGACAATACATTTGCGAAAACTTTTCAACAAAGTGACTACTCCATGTGAGAAGGGGAAAAAACCAGTATGGACCTGTGATCTTGTTGAAATTTTAAATGGTGGGGACGGAGCACCAACCCCAAATAGGTGACTATTGGCCAAACTATATCACACAGAAGAAGAGGGATATATGGTGCTGCTAACTTTTTTTATAGCTTAAAAACAAGACCTGATGGAAGAGAAACCCCATGTACCCCCACTTACTATCATGGAACTTTCTTTCTTCTCTTAAGTGACCATGTTCCGGCATATATCCAAAAGAAGTTTCTATCGAATATTGTTTACCGTTTTGAGTTCTGTTGCTGAGATACTGTCAAAGGTACCACAGAAGGAAAAGGTACAGCCATTTCCACATCAAACACGCCTAATTCACTTTACCAAACTCCTAGCTCCCAAACAGAGCAGCATGATAATGTTTGGAAGAAGCGGCGGGCCAGGGGGCTGCCAGTCACCCTTCCGCCGCTGACACCTCTGTGCAAATTTCAGTAATTATGCACTATAGTTCATGAAATGCAAATGTACTATATCCATATCCCCCAACCCCATTCACTGTGCATGCCATTGTTTTGCGATCAACTTTTGTTCGCTCCGTCCGCTCAATCTTCACATTGTAACTAGATAACATAAAAAAGTAACTAGGACCTAAATACGAACATGAGTTGCAAACGAGTATGAAGAATAATTGCGCATCGCCGGGAGACAATTAACGGTAATGTACCTCTTCCTCTGCCCATCCGCATTCGACCGACCCTCCTCGCACGCCAAAATCGTCCTTCGGGCATTCTTGCTCCGCGCAAAATTGGCACCCGTCACTCCACTCACTCCCCTATCTAGAATTTCGCAACACAATACACGAAGTCAGAGTAATCAAAAAACTTGGACGGAGTCCAAAACCACGCAAAAGCACCAACCCAGTCCCTAAATTCGTTTTTCGAATAAAAACCCCAAAACAATCCGTCGAGCAGCTACACTCCATGTCAGGGGCTAAGCTCACCGTCGAGCAATCCAAATCGCGATAATGCGCGGTTCCGGCTGCGGTTGCGGAGGGACGAGAGGCGAACCGGAGAGGAGCTCCAGCCGAGAGCTTGGATGAGCATGCTTGCTATTGACTCGATGGTGTGTATGCGCGCGCGCGCGCGTGCGGGTGTGTGATCTCGGTGCGGAAATGGTGAGCGCTCTCGAGGTGTTCGATAAAATGGAGACAGGGACAAAACAGAGACAGAGAGAAGCGAAACGAGTGGACGAGGAAAATAAACGGCCGATTTTAAAGGGCGGTTGAAGGATTGGCGCGGCGTTGTTTATTCATTATGTTGACGTTGCGTGAACGAAGCCGTGAAGGATTGATTAGCCAGGGTCACACTCCATTGTCTCGTGATTTCGCTTCCACCAATTTTCTTTCTTCCTTTTCTCCCCCCCCCCCCCCATCCTCTTTTTGTTTCCTTCCCGTCCACGAGCGTCTCGGCCTTCATTAACATCCGAGTTTACCCCCCGGTGATATGCTACGGTATTATCATTTCTCGTGCATCGTGTAATTACTTAAGAACCCGGTTAACGTTGTTGAGGACCGTACCGGGGTGACATGAACAGGTTGATCGCACGTTGTTTTCTTGTTGAGAATCGACAATTCTCGAATTCAGATGTGATGGGTGGCAAGCATTTAGAAAACCATCTGAAAGCCGAAGAATTCCAATTGTTTTGAGTTCTTCAAATGGCTGTGCTTTCGAGGAGTCTTGGAGCAATAACGAGAGATGGGATTGTCCCTCACGTGTCGCGCAATTTGTATGAAGAAGTCGCAGTGGCTTTGTGAACCGAACCTTAGTCAAACGTGGATGTTGGGAAACTTAGATTGTCCATGCTAATGATGCAGAGTGATGGGACTATCGCTACAAGCTACAGGTGCTTTGTGTGTACATCATATACCACTCGCTCAGTCATTAGGAATTGGAAGAAGCAATTCATTGCCCTTTGGTTTGTTTCTCCATCATTCTTCGGACCAAATGGCATTACCAACCTTTCAAATGTACCAATAGCTCCAGGACATATGATTTGTCAGCTATTAGATCCCCGATTAAGGGTTGTTCTTATAAGAATTGGTAATTCTCTTATTATATTTCACGGCCGTTACCTTTCACCGGAGGTGGCACAATTTACCTAGCAATGAACCGTACGAAATCAAAGATGAGCTGGCTGAGGCTCAGGTAAGCAAGCTATCTCCATTTGGGAAAATGACCAAAATCGACGTGTGAAAACTTGACCATCAATCCTTTGTTGGTCAGATTAAATCAAATTCACATATCGATAATGTGCACCATTAAATTTGGAAAGACGTGATAAAGATTAGATCAACCCATCGAAGCATTTGAAATTCCTGTAACGCACATTGCTATATTTTGGATGAGACATGGAGATTAATACCCATCTAGTCCTAATGTCCAGAGTTCAAAATAAATATGCAGATAATAGATTTGAGGAATTTTTGTATAATTCGATGTCTATATTAATAAAGAATACATGGGCCTATTTATAGGCTTATAACTATTCTAATATAATATCTCGGTCAAAATATCCACAATCAAAAGGAGATATATGTGTAATATACGTGTAATTATACGTGCCATTTACGTGCAATCCACGTGCAATCTTGAGAGATACGAATAATCAACAGAATTATCAAAATATCTTTAACAATGAAATTATCCTAGGAAAATCCCTTTAGGGTTAATATCACGAAAAACCCCAAACTGGTACACCTGTGATAAATTTACCCCAAACTAATTTTTTTATCACAAAAAACCTCAAACTGGTATACCTATGACAAATTTTCCTTCCATTAGTTTTCGTTAAATTTTACTGTCAAATTATTTTGTTAAATGATACGCGACAGTTGACGAATATACCAGTATTGGGTTTAACCCTCTGTTTGTCACAGGCATACCAATTTGTGATTTTTTATAGTATTAATCCAATTTAACGGAAACTAACGGAAGGTAAATTTATCACAGATATATCAGTTTGGGGTTTTTCGTTGTCAAAAAATTAGTTTGGGGTAAATTTGTCATATGTGTACCAATTTGGGGTTTTTCGTGGTCAAAAAATTAGTTTTGGGTAAATTTGTCACAAATATATCAGTTTTGGATTTTTTGTACTATTAACCCTTAAGACTTTACACTAAGAGGAGAAGTTACAAAGCTATCCAACTAGATCCTGAATTCGGACGGAATCTCACTATTAAACATCAACAATGTGCAATATATTATAAAAAAAATGTGAGAAAATTGTTAAGAGGTTGCTCAATATGGTTAGTTAAGCATTCCGCGTCGAAAACTAATTAATTATAGTATTATGCTTCGACATTCGGATGACCATCGACAAAAGAGTTGCATGATTCAACTTTCACTAAAACTTTACGGGCGAAAGTGAAGTTACAAATGCTATCCAACAAGAATCCAGAATTCGGACAGAATCTCACTATTAAACATCCCATCCCCCAACACAGAACCGGCACCTTCACATACACGCCAAAACTTACGGCTTCCGTTTGCAACGTTCTCCTCGACGTCCACGTCCTCTTCGTCCTCCTCTCAAATCTCAAAGTTTATCGTTGCCAATCACCTGTCAGCTGACAACCAGAGAGATACTCGCCAAGCTCAGAGAATGCATCCCGAATTCTCTACGCATACCGGCGGGTCATGACAGGTTTCGCAGCAAGACGCACACCAGGTGAACTCGCTGAGATGAAAGAGAAGAGGGGATTTATTGCAACTCACTTGGAGAAGACATGTCATTAGACCTGTTAAATGGGTGGGTCGGAGGATCGGATCATAAATGATCCGACCTAAATTGACCTATTTAACCCATTTATCGCAAGGCAAATTTCTCAACCCATACCCGACCCGACCCATACTCAATTCATACCCGACCCAATCCATTCAACTAAATCTAGGAAAACTTATTTTTGCTAATTATTTTAAAAAATTGTATTGCTAAAACATTTCTATACAAATCTAGTAGACAAATTTTATATATTTTAAAAAAAAATTTGAGGCTCGGTTTATTTCACGGAAAATATGACATTTCTGGAAAATGTTTTCAGGAATTTGACAATGTTTTTTTTTTAATATTTTTTATTTTTATTTTTAAAAAATTATATTTTAATTATTTTTCTTTTCCTTTTTCCTTTTCTTTTTTTTCTTTTTTCTTCTTCCCCGCCGGTGGCTGGCCACGGCGAGCTTGAGTCTCGCCAAATCGGCAAGGCTCGAAGCTTGCCAGTGGCTCGGCCTCGCCAAATTGGTGAGCTCGTTCCTCGCCTATGGCTAGCCCCGGCGGAGGAAGAAGAAAAAGAAAAGAAAAGAAAAATAATATAAAAAAATAAAATTCAGAAAATTAAAAAATTTTGAAAATGACATGTTTATTATTCACTAAAGCTTATTAGGTAATCCACTTATGACCCATTTAATATCCATTAAGTTAATAGGCAACCCATTAATGACCCATTTAAGTCTACTTTTAAAATTAAAATCAATCCATTTATATTATAACCCACAATCATTAATTATATGGGTTGTTAATCCATTTACCACCTCTACATATAACATATCATCCCCAAACGACCCACAGTCCCCAATCCTTGGGCTTACCGCAGCAACCGGGATCCTGGAGGGGTTCAAATCTGGGGAAGGGGATTATTATTGGGATCCTCAACTCTGGAGTATCGCCCAACCATCCTTCGTTCAGGGGACCAGCCAAGTGGAAAGGAAGGTGCGATTTTAAACCTTCTGAATGCAATAATAAATTGATTGGAGCAAGACCTTTTCAGATCTCAATTCATGGCAAAGAAAACGTACCTCCGATGGATCATAAGGGGCACGGCACTCGCACTGCCCGTTAAAGCAGAAGTCAACAGAAAATGCGCCTTTTGACTGTTGTTCTGAGATTACCAAGTTCATCCGTGCTCGGTATTCTGTTGATGGGTTTAGACCCAAACCCGGGTGCCTCCCCGAGTGGATTACCTGGTGGTGCTTTTACTTTGTTGATCGGCTTGATGAATCCGTTAAGTTTGCCTTGAATAGGGTGAAGGCATATAACCTCCTCCTAAGAAGGAAGTCTACTGATCGAAAGAAGGCTCTCGATCAAGAAAAAGTTGTTGTTGACAAACGGAAAGCTATCGATCAAAGGAAGACTGTCGATCAAGAGGAGTCCACCGAACAGGATTCTGAGTCGTCGACAGAAGAGGAGGTCAGAGAATCCGCAGAAGATTTATTTGTCAATGCCTATTGTCCAGCCCCAGTCTTCTCAGCCACGTTTTCAAAAGAAAGCCAGAGGTAAAACTATGACGAGTATGATAGCCTTACTCTATGTTTAGTCTGTCCACTTGCTTTCTCTTACATGCCTATTTTCTTGGCAGTTACTTCTCTGTCGACTAGGGTCTCGCAATCGACCGCAGTTCAGAGTTTAGGGGGAAAAGAGATGGATGACCTACCTTTGACCGGAAAGAGAAGAATGCCTTATATTCCGTCAGACAGTCGGGCTGAAGACATTGTTATCAATGCTGATGTAAATTCTCCTCTTCCTGTGTTTACTGATGATATCACCATGGCTGTTGTCACTTCTTCAGGTGTTGAAGGCCAGATTGTTCTCACCAATGAGCCTCCCTTTCATGATGCCGACATGGCTGCTCATATTTCTGGGTCGAGTTACAGCCTCCCCCTTCCTTTTCTTGAGAGCGTATCACTCCGTTCTGCTCCAACTCTCTCGGCTGAGTATGGTAAATGTCTTCTTCGTGTTTTAATTCCAGTTTCAAGTCTAGTTTTAATCGGCATCTCTCTTCAATAACAACTGTTGGTTTTGCTGTGACATAGATGCGGCTAGATTTGCATCGACCGAATTGCCCATTGTCCTTGGTGGGGATCATCAAAAACCAATCGGATAGAGCTGTTGATGTTGTCCGTCAAGCTTCGCCGATCCGGACTCCTGTTTTACTTATTCCAGCGCCAGGGCAAGGTACGGACTCAACTTTACTTTGTTTTTGTTCTTTTTATGTGTCCTGTGTACCTTTATTAATTTGGGCTAACATTTGCTGCGTCAGGTACTAGGGAAGCTTCTCCATCAGACCGAGTTTTCGATTTAGAATCTCCTCCTACTGGATTAAGTGACGGCGCCGGCTCTGCTACTGTTGAGGCTCAAGGTCCTCCATCGGTGTCTGTCCCCACTAATAACTCAGTGTTTTCGTCCACTGAAGTCCGCCGACGCCCTTTGCCCCGATTCGACAACCAGGACCAAAAGTTAGCATTGAAGATTCTGATGGTTCTTATGGTAGGACTCAATTGGTATTGAAGTAAGCCACTAAGCTTTTTTATCCCAAGGTTGTCGACCCTAGCTGTACAATTCCCGAATCACCATCCGCACCCAAAATCACCACCCGAGTAATTAAGGCGAAAGGACTTGAGTTCCTTGAGCTTTCCAAGGGTGGTTTTCCAACCATTTTGGATAATCCAGCAATTGCCACAAACTTGAGGATATGTTCACTAAGCTGTATAAGGATGGCGCCCAATTTATGAAATCTCCTAGGTTTAGGAGACGATGTGGAGATTTCTTGGATGGCTTTCTAGTTGGGGGCAGAGAAGAATTCTCCACATACCTCCAATTCTATCGAAGAGACTAGCCGGAATCTGAAAGCTGTACAAGCTACCCTGCAGACTTTGATGGATGAACTTGCTATCCTTGATGCAGGGGAAGCAGACCTCAAAAGACGATTGGCTGAAGTGCAACATCGTCAGGAGTTTAAGAATGCCCAATGAATTCAAGTTGGAGAGGCCTTGTGCCAAGGCATAACCTCTCTCAAAGCGTTGAATGAAGAGAAGAATTGACTTGATGAAGAACTGGCCGAGCATTAACGTATTAAGGGGAAAATGACATCACAAGTGCTTTAACTTTCGTACGATACTCACTTAAGTGCCGTAATTTATGTACGAGGCTCACTTGAGTGTTATAACTTTTTTTTCTAATCACTATAGTACCATATAACTTTTCAATCGCTTACTTAAGTGCCATGACTTTTTAAAAACGTTCACCCCAAGTGCTATGCCTCGTCTGATTTCCTGCACTTGAGTAAATGTTTTTAAAAAAACAAATTAGCACTTAAGTGATCGATTGAAAATTATGGCACTCAAGTAAATATTTTTTAAAAGATATGGCACTTAAATGGTTGAAAAAAAAGTTATCGCCCTCAAGTGAGTGCTCTACGAAAATTATAGTACTTATGGTGTTATTATCCCACTCTTTTGCTACAGTATAGCAGCGAATGATATTTTCATTAAGGCATGGATACTCCCCAGTCAATTGTTTAATGATTCATTGAGAGTCTCCTTTTATTTTAATAAATTGTACGATTATATCAGCCAATATATTTAGGCCAACTATCAACGACCTCATACTTCGCTTGATTGTTAGAACAATCAAAATCAAGTTTGAACAAAAATTTGATTCCATGCCCTTACAAAGATACTACTATCCATATTCCTATCCCTGAGGAATTATTCGCACAATAACCATCGAAATATAGAGTTCATGGCACAACTTATATCATATTTTTGTCCTTATCTTCTCCATTGTATACACATGGGTATTTCGTGATGGAATCGGCAACTGCTTGTCCATTTACTTCTTTAGGTGGAACGTATATCAAGTTAATCTTAGATCAGGCGAAAACCCACTCAGCAATATGGCCTCTAACGATTGGCCGAGTCAACATATACTTGATCCGTTTTGCATATCACATGAATCGTAGTCCGCACAAGCAAAGCACAAGAATAAACATAATTTCTCAATGGGGTTGTAACTCCTTTCTAGGTCATTTAACATTCTACTAAAGTAGTACACCGCCTACTCTTTGCCTTCATCGTTTTCCTGTACCATCATGCTTCCAATAGTCATATTGGTTGCCGACAAATATAGTTTCAACGGCATACCTACGTTGATTGGCATCAAAACTAAAGGTTGTGACAAGTATTCCTTAATATGATCGAAGGAATTCTAATGTTTATTCATCCCAAACAAAATCCTCTTGAATCATCAACTTTAGTAATTGAGAAAAAGCTCCAATTTTGCCAAACAAACTAGCAATAAATCGACATAAGAAATTCACTATACCTATAATCATCCGCAATTGCTTCTTACTCATCGGAGCGGTAAATCTAAGATTGTCTTAGCTTTATTCTTATCTATTTCAATTCTTATATAGGGGAGTCCTATAAAATTATCAGCCTTGACTCCAACTCCAAAGGCACATTTCAAAAGATTCCCTTTCAATTTATACTTCAGCATCCTAACAAAAGCCTGTTCAAAAGATAATTCAAATGATTTATCTAATCTAATTTGACGATAATATCATCGATGCAAACTTTCATAAAATCCCTAATCATGTCTTGGAAGATTGTTTGGGAGACATGCCTCTGATGTCTTTGTCATTGGTCTTTTGTTGATCTAATCCGGTTAAAGAGTATGCAAATACTAGTTCGTTGCCTCCTTTGAACTTGGATGAATCCGACTTTAAGAACCCTGTGACAGTATCCTTCGGATTATGGTCGAGGCCAATGATCCAAAACAAGCACGCGGTAAGTACAACAATCAAGGATACAGGGGGAAATAGATCGTCGTCCATGCAGTCCTCTGGTATTTTGTTTGTTGAGGACAGCTTCTGCGTCTCCGTCCTTCAGGAACCTCTGAGATTCTCAAAGAGTTCTGGAAGATGAACGTTGGTGAGCTTCGTCCTCTTGCTGATCTCGTGCTTCTTCTTCTTGATCTTGGGCTTCTGCGAAATCCCGTGGATTTGGGCCGCAAGCCTTCTCTGAGTCGTGTTTGTTGATGGTTTCATCCCATTCTTCTGGAGATCCTTCTCGATGTCAATCATGTCCCGGGGTAATTCGATACTCCGAAAGAGTTGCTTCAGATCGTCATCTACTTTTATGGGCACTTTGGGATCATTCGGGTAGGCAATATCCTCCTGAGAGTCGAAGTTTGATAGGAGCCACACTTGACCAGCAGCTTTCAAGGCCTGTATTTTTTTTGCATATATGCCTTAGAAACCAAGACGCATAACAAAGAACTCAATTTGTCATTCCCGGGCCAACACAAAAACGAAAATCATATACTTCTTAAGCCTCACTGTATACTAAACGCTTAACCAGCGGACGTCCCAACTACGATTCATGTACAAACTAACATTAAAAGACAATAGAGACCGAACACATTGATTCAGCTTATGATAAGAACCTCTTCATGATACCAGTATTGCTGACAACCAAAGACATTAACTATTCCAATGACAATAGGAAATTTAGGTAAAACATGAAACATTTATTTCACCGTTTTGCTGGTTGTGTTCTGATGAAGTGCATGTGTGTTGCTGGGTCCAATAGTCAACTAGAACAACTATCCAATCAATTTCAGACGGCAAAAAATGACATGGCAGGAACTGCAACATTCATTCAGCAGTCATTTCAATCTATTACCCTGTAAAAATAGAACATTACAGGAAATGCAAAAAATGAATCATAAACCCCAGCAACAATCCAATGGCAAGCTATAAAGACTACACAGTACTCTCAAGAACACACTTTAAGCCCCTTTCAAAATAAGCCATTGCGTGCTAGACTAGCAAACTAACTTCAGCTGCCTTTTATCTTAGTCGTTTAATTAACAAAAGGAGAACCAGACTCGAGTCACAACGAGGCAAGGAGAACGTGATCAGCAAGTAGATATACCTGTAAGTCATCAATCACAGTTGGGTATGCATCCTTAAGGTCAATGACAGCAATGCCCTCCGTGTAGCTTCTTATCAACTTCAGTAACTGATTCTTGTCCTTCACATCATGCTTTGACTGAAGTGATTCAAAAACCAAAACCAAATCGTCACCTCAAGAAAGCACGGTATAAATTTATACAACAGAGGAGCATCCCAGGAAAGTGTACCTTGTAAGAAAACCGCTGGCCATCGTAGTGTACTTTCGGGTTATTTGCCAAACTGTCAAAGACAGCTTTATTGGAAAGCATATCGACATAACATGCTTCGTTTATCTGCTCTGGTGTAAACGCCAGCCTTGACTGGAAACATTCATTTCAATTAATAAAGACCGTTCAGATAATATGTACGCATAGAGAATTAGAAAAGAGATTGACGCCACCGATGGGTGCCAGGGATATCTGGTGCAATAAATGCAATCTAATTTGGAAGGTCAAGACTCAAACATCTGGAAGTATGCACAGCAGGTGGCAAAGCTGCTTGTCAATTATTCCATTATTAAACCAAGACAACTTTAAAAGACCGACTCCATCCAATGAGATAGCACTCAAGAAAGGTGTTCAGTTTGCCCATGGCTGTTGTTTGACTCCGGAATTACCAAGACTTTGCCTAAGTCCTCTATCATACTGTTAAAATTCACTGCTCCAGAAAAATCATGAATCTTATTGTAAAGCTAGTACGTACCATCATACTACATTTGAGGGAGATTTAACCAATTCTCCAATTCAATGATTAATGGACCTCTAACTCTGACTAATGACAAATCCCCATCATGCATCCTACCCTATGTCGAGTAAAGTCAATTACAGAGCCAAGCCAACTGTTCCAAAACTTATTCGGCTTGTTATGAGTGTGAACAATCATTAGTAGCCATTGAAGAGTGATAAAAGACAACCCTACCATTAGACTACGACCAAACTTGAGTACGCATACAGATGCGTGCGCCTACACACACAGAGAGAAGTTTAGATTACCTCATACAACAGGTCAATGACGCGCTTCATCTGAGCTCCTACAGGTGCTTTGCGTATACCATTAATATATTTAAGTCTTTCTGTATCATCTGAGAACTTGACAGCAGGCACCGGAGCTCGTGCACCGGCAGGAGGTGCAGGCATGGGCTTTGCCGGAGTCCTCGCGCTTCCTGCTCTGGCCGAAATACCGGAAAGAGTGGATTGACACTTCTCCTGCTGTTTCTTGAACTTATTCAACTGTTCTTGTAACGCCATGGTTATCCAATAGGTAGTCGATCCCGTTCAATGCGCGCGAACCTCTCCCGAATCCCAATGTTCCGCACAAATGAATCTGTGCCCAAATGGAGTAAGTCAGTGGGAACAACTCGAGCTAAGCACGGCAAGCAAGATCGCGCAAGCTCAGCCCAAACACTTTCAATTGATGAGATTAACCAATTCAAGCCCTAAAAGAAGCACCAACGACGACGAAATCGGCAAAGTTCACATCTTCCGGAAAAGCAACAGCATAAATCCGCCCTTCAACCTTAGCATCGTGATCGAGCTAAGCCCTCGCAGCAACTTACACAACATCATCCACGGGCGGCGATTACCAAAAAATCGCTCGATGATGACCGACCATATCGCGGGGAATCAATCGAAAACCCGCACAATCAGATCGAACAACAGCGAACGCGAACGTACATCCGGGACGCGCGACCAACGATCAGAGCCGTAATCGAGGCAGAGAACCGGGTACACACACCTGCGATTCCTCGATCAAGAAGAGGGGAAGTTTTTCTCCGAATCGGTTCACGATTGGGGTGGCTCCGCGGGGACTTGTGGAGGCAGGAACCGGCGAGGTCCGAGGGTCGATCCGAGGGGAAGCTTGTCCGAGCTCGAAGGAAACCTGCGACGAGGACGCGACGGGGAGTCGGTCCTTCGACGCGGTCGATCGTCCCTCGCCTGCGATGGTTTGCCCCCGCACGTTGTCTGGAGACTACAGAGAGGCAGAGCACATATATATATATATGCCTGGAGGAAAGTTATGGGTGAGGAGGAAGAAGAAGCAGGCCGTGGGCCGCCCGGCAGCACCCATTTGTGGACCGCAACTCAATTCTGGGCCTCCGGCCCAGATGAAGAACGCGTCCACAACCCGCTGTCCTCGCGAGTCCCAATCGAGTGGCAGATTGGGGTAGCCAAAGCCCGTAAGAAAATAGACGCCAGCTGGCTTGAGAAGCCCCCCCTCGGGTCCCTTGGGATTTGCTTTGTTTCGAGTCTAGTTATTGCCGTTCTTGTAGTACTTCGGTCGTTTGGATGACATTAACCGTTTTTGACCCAAAAAAAAAGGGGCGGTTTTGATGTGTTTCGATTCAGCTCGGTTTTATGACCCGAACCGAACTGAACCGTTTATGATGCCCCGTTCTTTTAACGTGCTAAGCGAACCTGAATGATACCCGAAAAAGAAAAAGGCTTGAAATGTTCGGTTCGGTTCGGTTCGGATATTTTTGACACCCCTACGTAACATGATCCGATAATCGGTCAACCCGTCGGGACAAGTAAATGTGCTGGTGGGGTCATCTTGAGGGTAACTATAAGACCCGCGACTGTAGGGCCGTCCTCCGGTGCAGAGGATGGGGCATGCCCTGGGGAATGTTGAGGGTCCATGTCTGGCCGCGGTCAAGGCGACGGAGGCGGCCGCCCAGACGGTGCAGGGGCAGTCGTTGCGAACGGCGAAGGTGGTGGAATGGGGAAGGAGCGAAAAAGAGGCCCAGGAGGAGTGAGAGGAAGGTGAGAGACGTTTCTCAGTGAATAATTTGATTTCCAGGACTAATGTTTCCAATACAACACATAATAATAGGGACTTCGTTTTAATGATAAGTGAAGAGTAAATTATATATCTTTAGTATTTATTTTTTCGTAAGTTGAGCTATGTGGATCTTCAAGTTACGATAATCCATCTGTCGCCCACCTGACATCGGATAATAATCGAGACAAAAGGCTCGCAGAGAAGGTTGAAGGAAAATTATTTTCACTTCAATTTGAATCCATCGCGATCATTTTATGAAACATGTTGACACCTATTTTCTAGGCGGGTCGCGACAAAACGTTAATTGATATTGAGTCTTAATCAACTTGTCAGATACCCCAAATATTTTTTTTTGTCGTACATCCCCAAAGTTTTCTTTTTGGTTTGTCATACTCTAATTCTCAACTCACTCTCGGACTTTTGTCCTACTTCTTTACAAAGCATGGGAATCGAAACCCACATCTGAAACTAGACGTCCCTATCTCTAGCCCCCTGAGAAGGTGGGGGGAATCGAACTCCCCAAGTTGAAAAGGCAATTTTGTTCAATTTGGAGGATATGATGACAGTATTAGATAGAATTGACAATAATATATGGAGCAGAAACGAGAGGAAGACTTGCATTACTATTGCTGTTGTTGCATATAAATCGCCAACAATGGTATTATTTTATTTCAGTAGTGAAGAGTACAACCGTATAAATTGTGCTCACTAGCTACTTTTTGAAACCCACCTCATTATTCTTATTTTGCGTAAAAGTTTTACCGTCTATGGGCAAAATGTGACCTTATAGTTGGTACCACTTGGGCAAGTGAATGTGCTGGTTGGATCATCTTGTGGGAAGCTGTAAGCATCCGGGCACCTATCCTTGAAGAATTGGGAGAAAGTAGTCGGGCCACAGCTTCCTGGCCCATTGGTGCAACAATACTCGTTGGTCTTGAACACCGTGCACGGGTTGTTGCAGCCACCGGGGGCTTTTAGCTCCGCCGGGCACTGGCCATTGATGTCGGCTGCGCACCTGATCCCGCGGCACGCGCCACTGGTGGGGCTGAAGTCCATTGGGATGTTGAATCCGTCGACGAGCGATATGTCCAGGAAGTCCAGGTTGTTGGGCTGGTTCAGGGCGAACTCAGCCAGGGTGTTGGGCGGGCTCCCCCAGCCCTGGCATTCCAGGAGCCGGTTGCAGTCGCCGGTCTCGCACTGGCCCTGGCCGTTGGCATCGAAGTTGCAATTGGTCCGGCCCCATATGCGCGCCATGGTCGTGCCCGGGGCCACCGTCAAGGGCCACGTCTGGCCAGGGTCGAGCCGGCGCCCGCCGCCAGGCGACGCGGCAGCCCAAACGGTGTATGTGCATTGGTTGACAATGTCAAATGTAGCCGCATGGGTGGAAGTGAGGAAGAGGGCCAGCAAGAGGGACAAGGTTAGGGACATGGGCGTGAGGGTGGAACTCATCTTGGTTCTTGAAGAAGGGACCTTTGTTGATTGAGCTCTACTTGGTGATTTTCTTGATACGCGAAGAGGGGTTTATATAGATTGAGGAGGCATGGATTTGGCGAAAGGGATGGGGAAATTGGCGATTGCTTTCTAGTAGAATGTTCTCCTATTCAAAGAAGATGATCGATTCAAATGTAGGACAAAACATGAGTCAATAAACGGATGTACGTGTCTTTTGCGGGGATTGCGCAAGGACTGAGGACTAAAGAGATCAAGTGGAATTTCTCCTAGATCGATTCATTAGTGATGGATTGCCGAACACATCTTATTCATAAAAACTACAAACCTGTAACCACACGGCATCAATCTTTCGGGCTAGTCTACCCACCTACGATTACGTGCATGGAAAACTTATCGACGCCCATGTCGGTCGTTAGATCTAAACTTGTCGACGTCGGCCAATGGATCTTGTGTAGGTGTCCGATCTAAAGCTTATCAACGCCATCGATCGGATTTGAGCACGCTCACGGCACTGTAGACTTGACCCTTCCTTTTTCTGATGAAGTGACCATTGAGAATAGATAATATTGATTGCGTTCATTTGAAGGATAAAGTACCAAGTATACTTCACATCGCTGTTAATTATGTCTTTTTAGGTACAATCTGTTAATATATTAGATAAATTCTGTTAAAAATACCCAAATAAAGAATGTTATTTTCAATGAATTATTCCTCTCGTGTTATCGTGTTATGTATAATCATCGCATTGGAAAAACCAGATATTTTGTTATTAAATGTGATGAACGAGTGCCCTGCCGGGGCACTCGTTGACAAGATCAATATTGGATCACCTCTAGAAACCTCTGTAGCCACATAAATCATAAATGAATCCGCCCTTCTCATTGACAAGATCAATATTGGAACACCTCTAGAAACCTTTGTAGCCACATATATCATAAATGAATCCGCCCTTAAATTGGTTTAATTATCTAGAATTTTGCCGAAAAGTGTCTAAGGAATAATTATTAAGTAATCAAATGAGGAAATATTGCAAGTTCGAATGTACAAACTGATCTCATAATATGCACATTCACCAAATGCTCTTTTTGTTGAACATCCTTGACAAATGTTTTAGGACACTCGTTAATAATTACCAAATTATCTAATGTACTTGATTGATCGAGCCTGAATACCTCCAAGAGTATTCGGCAATTTTGTTTTTCTCTGGCCATACCACCTTTATTTGACATTTTAACCCTACAGCATTTTTTTTTTTTTACATTTAAGTCCTAAAAATTTGTTGTCCTTTATGTTGGTCCTTCCGTTACCTCCGTTCGATTTTAATGGACGAAAAAATCCGAACTAGCTTTTCTTATTGTTATTTTCCTCCACATGGCTGGTATTTACAACAAAGATTATTAATGTCCAAAACGATATTGTTTAACGTAAATCTGACGTGATTTGATGTGATTTGGTGTTAAACAAAAAATTAGAAAATAGAAAGAAAGTTGAAAAAAATAAAGCAAAAATTGAGAAATAAGGGAGGGGGATCGCACAGTGGGAAGGCACAGGAAAGAGGGAGGTGCCGCTGTCCCTACAAGCACTTGCCCTCAATTGGCATTGGTTACGGCCGCCCTCGCCACCACTTGCGAGGGTCAAACCACTCGTGAGGGCCAAGCAAGCCTCACCGATAGTGGCTAGGGTCGCCATGGCCACCAAACGAGGGCAAGCGGACCCTTGCTCACTTGTTGCGAGCGCTTGCAGCCCTCGTCGGCGAAAAATAGTAACAAGTTCGAGGAATGCATGACATAATAAGTTTTAGGACTAAAGTCGTGACATACCAAGTTCCACATTAAATGTGAACCAACACCAAATGATCACCATCATATGTGATTACTCAGAGTACTCATTTTAGGGGTTTGGCCCACGTGGATGGGTCAAATCATAACAAATAGTATCGGAGCACCCCCTCTGGTAGATGTGTGGTTCATGAATGAACTAGGCCAATACTTGATCTGACGAGGGTGGGAAGTGATCATCAAGGTGAGAGAACTCGGATAAAGTGCAACTCCTTTTAGGCTCGTAGCAAAAGGGGCAGGAATGAACCGAATATCGGGCTTGTAATGGAGGGAGCATGAATGGACTAAACCATACATCAAATAAGGTGAATTGCGACATCCCAAATTTCACAACGAAGGGAAGATGCCTTATTAAGTGATATGAACTACAACTGCTCCAAAATGGTTATCATCTTACGTGGTTATTTAGAATACTCATTTAGGACTTGACCCACATGAAACGAATCATTACAAAAGTGTCAGATTGATATAAGTTTTAGGACTTCCAGTCTCATTGTCTTGTTTTTTCACAGTAGCTCCTCTGTTTTTTTCGCACCTTCTGGAGAACACACACATAAGGAACGCCCCAAAACGACTGAATATTTAAGAGCAGGCATCGCCTTAAGACCTCTGTTTAGTCCAGTCAAGACTAAGTCAAACTCACCGGCGTCATAGAACTCCTTGGAAAAGTATTTTGATCAAATTTAAGTCGAGCACGTAAAATTTGATAGCTCCCGTCGATCGTGGCGTTTGGATCGGATTTCAACACGTTCGTATTCTTAACCCTTATCCCCAGCAATTTTTTAGGTCGAGATTGAATTTAATTTCATCAAATAGATTTAATTTCTTTTGGCTTTTCAGAAGCCCTTACTAAGAATTTTTTTTTTAAAAAGATCAATAGTTACAGAAATAATCTTTGGGGCCAAATCACAATAAAGTAATTCACTGTATATTTCCTTCATCCTAATCTAGAACTTTATACAAACTTTTTTCAAAACGTTATCAAACTGAAAATGAGGAAAATTGATTTTGAAGTAAGATCAACAACATTAATAATAATTTTTGTATGCTTTTCTTGATAAAAAAAATCCTCTTTCACTTTTTGATCAATTTTATTTTTACAATTGTCATTTTCATTCAACCCAATACTGAGGAAAAACTCTTTTTCTTTTGAAGAATTTAGTCTTGACTTTTTTGTTTATTAGCAAATCTTACAGTGCACACATTTTAACTTTTTTTTTATCTTAAGCACCTGAAACTTTCATAACATATTTATAAATGTTGACACACGAGTTCAATACAATTTTTCACAATTTTTTAAAGTTAAAATTATTTTCACCTACAAAAATAATATTTGACACTGCAAATTGAGATCAGTTTTTTTTTTCAAATTAGCTGCGGATAGAATAAAATCCAGTTAAATAGTGTAGTTATGATCAATATTTGGACGTTTAAACAAGCTAACCACCTTCTACATGGGTCTCATCCGTTGAATATCCGTTTTTTGTTTTTTGGTCGGAATTTGAATATCTGTTTAAAGTGTCCAATTTTCGTATAATCTTATAGCACTAACATTACTCAAAATTTTTCATGAAGCGAAGTAATAAAGTCAGTCCATCATGAAGCAACTTGGGCGATCCTTCCCTAGACCGAATACATGATAAAGAACGGATTGTAGTGACAATAATATTCTAATTTACAAAGTATTTTTTTTTTTGGTCTATAATTTACAAGGTATTAATCGTTCTCCTTTTTGCACTCTACACTCATTTTGCTTCCCATTATGGTTGATACTTGCCTCATTCAATACAACTGAGTTTTGTTAACAAACAAATAACATTAATGAGTTTTAATGCTACAAATTAGCAATTATTGAAATTTCTAAACATTTTCTGGAGCTCTTCCTATAAAGATTTTCTTCTAATTCTTTTATTCTTCTATCTCTATATCTTCTTAAAGATTGCCTCTGAGAGTGAGATTAGGACTCTAATTTGTAAGGAATTACCATTCTCTTTTCAATGAATACTTTTCTTAAACTCTCCCTTCACTTAATTTCCAACTAGGACTTGTGCTTGCCTTATTAGGTACCATGAGTTCTGTTCAACAAAAAATATATTTATTTTAACAAATTTAATTTTAATGAGTTTTCACTTTTCATGTTGTAAATTAGTAATTATTGAAAACTCTAATATTTTCCGTAACTCCTTCTGTAGAGAACTTTGTTAGAAAATTTCTACTATTTTCTAAGAGTGACACGCATAACTCTAATTTGCAAGGAATTAATCATTCTCCTCGCAAAGAGCATTTTTCTTGCAGTTTGATTCCAACTAGGATTTGTGCTTATCCCATTCAATATCATGAGTTTTGTTCGACACAAAAAAAAAATTAGTTTTAAGTTTTCCGTTGCAAATTAAGAACTATTGAAATTTTAGCATTTTCTGTAGCACTTCCTGTAGAGTATTTTATTAGAAGATTTGTATTTTTCTCTCTATATCAGGATAATATCTTTGATCACATAAATATATGTAATTGCATATATGCCGTAACCTCCCTAAACCGGTCTAGCCACCTAGAAGATTTGGCTAATGAATTACTAAGTTAAACTTAGTTCGGGCCCTCCCAAATCCATACCAATTCGCGATTTGGGTTTAAGTTGTTAACGTGCAAATTAAATTCAACTAGGAATCGTCACTGGTCCATTTTTTTTAGTCCTAAGCTAACAAGCCCTAAGCCAATTAACCCTAATAGACTTAAGGCTTACCCAAACTCGTAAACCCTTCCCGGTTTCAACCCGTTCACCCGACCCGGATGGGATTTCTGGTCCGGCCACCGACGTGCTCTGGCCCCGGCGGCTAGGGCTTCCGGCTCCGCGGCTGAGCCCTTGCTCGGCCGCCGCTCGGCGCTCGTCCGCCCGACGGCCCTGACACCTCACCTGGCGCCAGCCGCCTGCTGTCCGCCATCCACTCCGATGCCGAGCCGCCTGCCGCGGCACTCCCTTCGCCCGAGCTGAGCACCGCTCCGCCGCCGCCGCGCCTGATGTGGCCGGCCCGCTTCCGCCCGTGTCGCGGACGGCCTTAAACCAGCGGCCGCACCCACGCCAGCCGAGCTTCGATTCTTCCTCGCACCCGAAGCCTCCCCTGTCGCGGCAACTCCCTTCACCCGAGCCGAGCAGAGCTCCGTCGCTGCCCGACGCCACAACCAACGAACATCCAAGAACGGCCCGAGCTTGTAACTTTGGTTTAAGGAAGGGGAAACGTCGGACGACGGTCTCGTCGACGAAGGCTCTGGCGCGGTGTTCGCTGGTGGAACACTCTCGGTCTCGGCTCCCTCGCGCTCTCTCTCTGCTCTCGGTCTCACTCTCTCGCACCGGGAACCCTCTCCCCTTCCGGGAGCCCCCCATCTCTCTCCCATCTCTGCGCTCTTAAGGGCCACAGCAGGCGCGCATGGCTTCCTGCCACCGCCAGCCTGCCGCGGCCGGCCAGATCCCAACCGCTCTACACCCCCCGTCGCTTCTGCTTCTTTGCTTCCTCTGCCGCTGTCACTGTTCTGCCCTCACCCTGTGTCCCTTCTGCTTCTGCCGTACCAACGTCGCTGGGGAAAGGGCAGGTGAATAGTCGCGGGCCGGGCTAATGGGAAACGAAAAGTGGGCCGGCCCGCGCGGGAAAAGAGAAAGGGCCAGCTGACCCGGTCAACTCGAATCGGGTCGAACCGGCCCGACTTTTTTTTTTTTTTAAATTCTTTAAGAAATAAGCAAGAACGAATATGTTCTAATAGACTCAATTAATGCAAATTCACCTAATACCTATATGCCACGTAATTTAATTAATATATTTTTGTTTAGGGGTTAAAAATTAATCCATAAATTTCTATGCAATTAAATCCTAAATGACTAAGCAAAATTTAGGTGTCAACAATATAACAACAATAATTAGGAATTTTTCAACTAACATGGAGTTCCTATATCTTATAATATATATTGTAAACTAAAATCCCACATATATTTTGTTTAAAAAGAGGAAGAATCATATGAAATAGGATACAGTTGAACGAATAATTTAAGGGAAAAGTGCCAAAAAAGTCTTAAACTTTTTGCATTAGTGCCAATTTAGTCCTAAACCTTTTTTTGGTACTAATTAAGTCCTAAACCTTTTGTATTTGTGCCAATTTAGTCCTAAACCTTTTTTTTGGTGCCAATTAAGTCCTAAACCTTTTAAATTGGTGCCAATTCAGTCCTAAACCTTTTGTTTTTGTGCCAATTTAGTCCTTCCGGTCAATTTTGACCGGAATTTGCCGACGTGGACGCCTGTCGGCCGGCGGCCGGTCACCGGCACCGACGTGGCGCTGACGTGGACAACTTTAATAATATTTTAATATTTTTTTGAATTTTTTATTATTTTTCTTTTTTTCCATTTTTTTCCACTTTTTTTTTTGGTCCCCCCCCTCCTTCCTCTGGCCGGTCGCTGGTCCGGCGACCGGCCAGAGGCCAGAGGCCGGCGAGCTCGACCTCGCAGGCCACTGGCGACGGCGGCGGCCTCGCCCGGCGAGGGCGAGCCTCACCATGGTCGGGCGAGGCTCGAGCGCTCGCCGGAGGCTCACGCGAGGGCGAGCCTCGCCATGATCGGGCGAGGCCCGACCTCGCCTGGATCTGGCGAGGCCGCGGCCTCGCCCGACCAAGGGCGAGGCTCGACCTCGCCGGAGGCCGCGCGAGGTTGGTCGCGACCATGGCGAGGCTCGCCTCGCCGCCCGGCGAGGGCTCGAGCCTCGCCTGGTCCATGGTGAGGCTCGACCTCGCCAACGGCCTCGGGCCTCGCCCGACCACGAGGCTCGAGCCTCGCCTTGGTCGGGCAAGGCTGACCTCGCCATGGTCGGCGAGGCCCGACCTCGCCGGATCTAGTGAGGTCGAGCCTCACCCGACCATGGCGAGGCTCGCCCTCGCCGGGCGAGGCCGCCGCCCTCGCCAATGGCCGGCGAGGTCGAGCTCGCCGGCCTCTGGCTTGCCAGAGAAAGGAGGGGGGGCCAAAAAAAAAGTGGAAAAAAAAAGGAAAAAAAATAAAAATTCAAAAAAATATTAAAATATTATTAAAGTTGTCCACGTCGGCGCCGGTGACCGACAGGCGTCCACATCGGCAAATTCCGGTCAAAATTGACCGGAAGGACTAAATTGGCACAAAAACAAAAGGTTTAAGACTGAATTGGCACCAATTTAAAAGGTTTAGGACTTAATTGGCACCAAAAAAAGGTTTAGGACTAAATTGACACCAATGCAAAAGGTTTAGGACTGAATTGGCACAAAAAAAAGGTTTAGGACTAAATTGGCACTAATGCAAAAGGTTTAGGACTTTTTTGGCACTTTTCCCAATAATTTAAAGTCAAATACATTTCCAATTTTACACAGCTAAAAAATTTCAGGCTCGTGCTATGCACGAGGATGCTATTGGTAAATCTTATACATACACTTAGCTCAATCTAAGCATCAATAATTTGTGCAATTTACGCGAAAATTTTCATAGATAGAGTACCATCTAAGTATATGTAGAAACATTATACACATAGTAACATTTATATATGTGTGAAACACAATCTTACACATTCAATCTACCACATTAATTATGTGTGCAATTTACGGGAGAATCTTCCCTCGATAGACTACCATCTTAGTATACGTGACATTCTATATATACATTCATAAGCCAAAATATCTTGGGCTCTTTCTTTAGTCCTACAAATACCAAAATGAGATGATTGGAAAAATCATCCTAAACTTTGCTCTCCATATAAAATATAATCCTCCCATTCAAAACCTATATTTTAGATTAGCTGTTTTATGCTTGATAATAAGGTACAAATATACCTCAAATTAACACAAATAACACCACGAAGCAAGATGCTAACTCGAATTTTCTTCAAAAAGTGCATAAAACTCTCTGATCGATCTTATCCATGCTCAAAAGACAACTTGGTAATCTTATTGAAAACTGAGGTCACATTTCTTATAGATACATACATATCCAACAACACAACATGAGAGCTAGTTCTCGAGGAAGTCACCCCCAGCAACACTGAACATTGCTCTTCTCTAGTCTCTCTCCACTCCCTCTTTATTCAACATCATCATTTATTAGAGTCATATATTTTCCTTTTCGCTGCACGCTTTAGCCAAACCCTTCATTCCGAGCTCTCGCTTCCAAACATCTCCAAGGGAAAGTAAGACGACCCCATCGGGCAAAACACGACCCTATAATCGGTCGACCCACCCGGACAAGTGAATGTGCTGGTGGGGTCATCTTGAGGGTAACTATAAGCATCGGGGCACTTGTTCTTGAAATATCTGGAATAATTGGTCGGGCCACACTTGCCCTTGGTGCAACAATACTCGTCGGTCTTGAACACCGTGCACGGGTTGTTGCACCCGCCGGGGGCTTTCAATTGATTAGGGCACTGGCCGTTGACATCGCTAGTGCACTTGATCGGCCTACACTTGCCTTGCGACGATGGCTTGGTGGGGCTAAATTCGATGGGGATGTTGAACCCGTCGACTAGGGATATGTCGTAGAAGTCCATGTTGCCAAACTGGTTCAGCGCATACTCAGCCAGGGTGTTGGGCGGCACGCCCCACCCTGTGCACTGGAGGACGCCCCCGCAGTCGCCGGTCTGGCAATGGCCCCGTCCGCCAGCATCGAAGTTGCAGTTGGTGCGGCCCCAGATCCGGGCCATGGAGGTGCCCGGGGGAACGTTGAGGGTCCACGTCTGACCACGGTCGAGGCGATGGCCGCCGCCGGGGGAGGCGGCCGCCCAGACGGTGTAGGGGCAGTTGTTGCGGACGGTGAAGATGATGGAGTGGGAGGGTGTGAAGAAGAGGCCTAGGAGGACGGTGAGGAGGGCGAGGGACATCATTTTGTGGGGGACAAGTTGGTTCTAATTTGTGTCGTGATTGAAGATGGGCGGTGCTTTGTAAGAGAACGGATTACTCAGGTAGGGTTTATATATAGAAAATATGGCTAGCATGCTTTAATAATAGATCCTACAAAGGCTAAACTAAAGTGGGTTTTTTGGCTTCACGTAAATGAAGGCAGGTGTCTATTATTTCATAAAGTTAGAGGCGGCTACGTGATGGCTTTGGCATCTTGATCTTTGATATTAGACCAAGTCAGATAGATCCCTTTTTGACTAGGAACAGTTGATTTGGACGTCATCCTTAAGCTTGTTTATCGAAGGTTAGTGAACTTATATCATAGGATTAAGATCTTGTCTACAGTTTGTTTACGTTTATTCGTGAGTATTAGTTAGTAGTAAATTAATATAATAGGATTAAGATCATAGTTAATGTGTCACCCGGATAAGCCTTGTTTAGGTCTCCAAGAAAATTTTGCCATGTGTTTTATCCTTGAATATTTTGGTCTCCACGGACCACGACTAATGTATCCATTACAACAAATAATTGGGAGTTTATGATTTCTCTTACACATTATTGGATGCGTGTAATCGAGATAAACTAACGCATATGTGGATAAGGACAATCTACAAAAAAACAATTTTGACACGACTCTCAAGTCAAATGTCCATGGTAATGATGGGGATAAAACTTGGTGCACGGAATATTCTAGGCATCAAAACTTGCATATCTTCCGGAAGACATTTTTATTGAGAAATTCTAAGTATGTCAAGATTGATTTAAAAAAAAAACTGATATATAAAGTGATGCGGCACATCATTATTGTGTCTTGCATATGGTCCATTTGTTTAAATGTCCACTTAAAGTCTACCAAATATACTGATTATTATCATGAATAATAAGACTTGTCTAGAAAGTTGGTATACTAAGGAGCTAGATTTTTCGCACACCTTTAGCGTGTACCTAATAAGAGATGGATGGATATTGCATTTAGTAAGATAATAGAGATATGAATTTCGAAAGTGAGGTATACACAATGAAAGTAGGAGATTTTTTAGACAATTGCTTAGAGATATTGAATTTCCATTTATATAATATCTAATTTACTCTTTAAATTTTATATTTGGACGATGAGGATATTTTAAGCGGTTGATGGATGGATATCAAATTTGGAAGTTAGCTTTATATATAGTATAGATGCATAAGTATAGATGTGATGGATTGTGATTGAACATTTAAATAAGTGAGTCAATTCACGGTCCAATAACAAATTATAACATCACTTCATATAAACTTCATAATTTAGACTCAGTAAAAATAGTATTTCTCTTCGAATTTACCCAACAATACTTGGTGAATGCACGAAGATATATGCTAGCAATATTCACGATTATCATATAATAATTAATCGATACTTTCAAAATACCGAAATTCTTTCTTCAATTTGTTTAGATTGCCAAGAAACTTTCGTAATGTTAATTTGATTTCCAGGACTAATGTTTCCATTACAACAAATAATAATTGGGACTTGATTTCAAAATGGGGTATGATTTCTCTTGCACTTTATTGAGTGCGTGCAATCGAGATTAGCTTATTCATATGTGGATAAGGACAGTCCATGTCAAATGTCCATGGTAACGAGGGGATACAATTTGGTGCTGACAGGATATTCCAGGCATCAAACTTACATGTGTTCTGGAAGATATATTTATTGAGAAATTCCAAGTATGTCAAGTTTGATTTAAACAGAAAAACGAAACTTTATATGTTAAGTGGTGCGACACATTATTATTACACATTGCATATGGTCCATTGATTTAATTGTGTACTTATAATCTGCTGAGTATACCAATTAATGGTATGCATAATAAGACTTGTCTGCAAAGTTGGTATACTAAGGAAGTATAAGTTTTGCTCGCACTTCGTACGTGCCTGATAAGAGATAGATGAATATTGCTTTTAGTAGGAGAATAGAGTTATATGAATTTCAAAGGTGAGGCACGCACTACATGAAAGTGGCACCGAAGTGAAGTATACGACCCTATAAATTGAGCTCATGAGCTACTTCATTAATTCCCCGACATTATTCTTGTTCTACCTAAATTTTGGACCTCGTGGGCAAAATGTGACCTTAGAGTTGGTACCACTTGGGCAAGTGAAGGTTGCTGGATCATCTAGTGGGTAGGTATAAGCATCCGGGCACCTATCCGTGAAGAATTGGGAGCTCGTACAGCTTCCGGGCCCATTGGTGCAACAGTACTCGTTGGTCTTGAACACCGTGCACGGGTTGTTGCATGCACCCACCAGGGGCCTTCAGCTTCGCCGGGCACTGGCTGTTGATGTCATCTGAGCACCTGATGCCCCTGCACGCACCAGTGGTGGGCCTCAAGTGCATCAGAAGGTTGAACCCATCAACGAGCGATATGTCCTGGAAGTCCATGTTGAACTGGTTCGAGGAGAACTCGGCCAGGGTATTGGGCGGGCTCCCCCCGCCCTGGCAACCCAATAACCCGTTGCAATCGCCGGTCTCACACTGGCCCTGGCCATTGGCGTAGAAGCTGCAGTTGGTCCAGCCCCATATTTGCGCCGTTGTTGTGCCCGGGGCGAAGGCCAGGATCCACTCCTGGCCAGGATCGAGCCGGCGCCTGCCACCGGGCAATGTCGCGGCCCAAACGGTGCATGTGCATTGGTTGACATTGTCAAAAGTAGCGGCGTCTGTGGAAGTGAGAAGAGGGTCAGCAAAAGGGACAAGTTTAGGGAGAGGCGTGAGGGTTGAGCTCATCTTGGTTCTTGAACACTTGACCGGGACACAAGTGCTAGAATCGTTTGAAGAGACATTTTTTTTTTAGCTCCACCTGTTGATTATTTTGATTGGCAAAGAGGTGGCTATATAGATGGAGGAGGCAGAGTTTTGGCGTAACGAATGGAGAATCGACGATTAAATGCCAGCGAACTTTCACAGAAATTTCGAAGAAGATGATCGATTCAAATGGGGGACAAAACCCTAGTCAACGAATGGATATAGGTGTCTTTTGCGGTGACTGCGTAAGGATTGAGGACTAAAGAGATCGAGAGGAACTTGTCTCAATTTGATTTAGTCAAGCACATGTTATCAATAGAAACTAGAAAACCGTGACCACACGGCATCACTCTTTCCCACCCATGACTAAGTGCGCCAAAAATTTACCGACGCTCTTGTCCGTCGTCGGGTTTAAGCTTGTCCACGTCAACCGTTGGATCTTGCATCGGTGTCCGATCTAAAACTTGTCAACGTCGTCCGTCGAATTTGAACGCGGCAAATTTGCTTTGAATTGTGCATGGAAAATTTACTGGGATTCTTATGAGTCATCAGATTTGAGCTTGTCACAATCAACCATTGGATCTTGTGTAGGTGTCGGATCTAAAACTTATCAACGTCCTCTGTCGAACGTGAACACGACAAATTTGCTTTGGTTTTGCTCATGGCGCCGGAGACTTGGCCTTTCCTTTCCCTAATTTTACTCCCTTCTTTCCCTAATGATATGATCCTTGAGAATAGATAATAACCATCACATTCATTTAAAGGATAAAGTACCGAGTATATTTTCCATCAACAACACCATGTTAATTATCTATCTTTGTTAGGTATAATTTGTCAATATGTCAAATGGATTTTGTTAAAACCCAAAGAAACAATGTTTTGTTATTTTCAATGTACCATCATCCTAATTGCATGTGCAATCAATTTATTGAAAATTAAAAAAAAAACATTCTTCTTAATGGGATAAATGGGTGCCCTACTAGGCGCACTCCTTGACAAGATCCATAGTAAAATACCCAAAAAAACCTATGCAGCCACATAAATCATAGATGTACTTACCCAAAAGTTGGTTTAATTGCCTAGGGCTCCATGGAAAAAGTGTTTCGAGAGCAATTATTAAATAATCAAATGAGGAAATGTTACGATTTCGAATGTACTAACTAGTCTCACTGTATGCACAATCTCCGTTAATTGATTCTTTAAGAGAAAATTAGGCTTCTATGGTAGGTCCTCTTATTGCACCTTCTAGAGAACAGACACATAAGAAAAGACCGACCCAGAACGACTAAACATCAAAGAACGAGGAGCTTCTACTCCCGGGATCTAAACATTCGAAAGCAGACATCACGTCGAGATTTTTGTTTAGTCAAGTCAAGACCAACTCAAAGTCAAAGATGTAATGAAACTCCTTGGAAAAACATGTGATTTAACTTTCGGTCGAGCACGTAAAATTCGATCCTCCCGTTAATCGCGGCGTTTGGGTCGGGTTTCAACATGCTTTTGGTCTTCACCCTTATTCGCTGCAAATTTTCCGGTCGACATTGAATTGACTTTCATCAAAATAGATTTAATTTCTTTTCGCTTTTTTCAGAAACCCCTCCAAAGAAAAATCTTGAAAGATCAATAGTTCCAGAAATAATCTTTGGGGCCAAATCACAATGACAACGCAATTGCTGATCGGATTTGGAGGTGAACTCTGTCTTTGGTACCAGCTCAGCAATGAAAATTTTAGCAAAAAAAAAAAAATCTCAGCAATGAAAAACGCACAAAAGAAGAAAAAAAAGGAAAGACATGATAGAATAATAGAACTCTAATTTCAAACTTTTTTCAGAAAATAATGGAGAGCATCATCTATTTCCATACTTACATTTGAACGTCTTAATTTCATAGTTTTCACTTTACACCATTAGATTTTAACAATATATATAAAAAAAATAACTTAGAATAAATTGGAGCAGAGTAGTAAAACCTTAATTTTAACTCATCCACTATTCTAAAAGAATCCAGATTCCATATATATGAAGTTTAATTCCATGGTTTATATTTTTTTATCTGTCACCGGAGTACTGAGGCCGTGCTTGGAATATTTGAAAAGATTTTAAATTTGAAACTTCATATTCATTATCATCAATTAATCGTGTTCATAAGTGCTCTCGAGACACTTTTATGCATATTTAATTTAGATCAATTAAATTTTCGATTTCATAATGGCACATTAGACGAGAAGATTCCACAGATTATAATATACATAATTTTCTTAGTTAATTTTTTAACGGGTAATACCGAAGTACTTGTTAACAAAATCATGCTTATAATAGTTCAACATATTTTTGGTACGTCCTGAAAACAGTGTCAAACTGAAAATGCTTAAATTGATTTTGAAGTAAGATTGACAACATAAATAATTATTTATTCTTTGTTTTGCAAGTTATAACAAGGGATAAAGAATCCTGACGAAATTAAAATATATTCACAATTTCTATCTATAAAATTCTCATTTTCATTGAGGAAAAAACTACTTTTTAGTGAGGGAATTACTTTTGACTTTTTTGTTTTTTTCAAATCTTACAGTGCGTGAACTTTGACTTCTTTTAATCTTAAGCACCTTAAATTTTCATAACATACATATAAATGTTGACACGTAATTACTTTTTTGCTGGGTGAATTTTTCTTTTGACTTGTTATTTTGTGCAAATCTTACGGTACATGCACTTTGATTTTTTATAATCTTAACCATTTGAAATTTTCATAATATAAATATACATGTTGACACGTAAATTCACACATTTTTTTTAAGTATATGAAAGCTTTTGGCAAGAAAAACAAAAAAGTTACTTTTGACTTTTGATACATCCAATCAAACACCCTTAAACAAATTGCTTCACCAAATAGATTTCACCTACAAATATGGTGTTTGACACTACAAATTGAGATCAATTTTCTATGGATAAAACAACAATCTAATTAAATAGTGTAGTAATGATCAATATTAGGACGTCCAAACAAGAAGACAACCACCTTCAACATGGGTCTCGTTAATTGAATACCCATGTAAAAGTGTCCAATCTTAGTCTGGTCATATAGCACTAACATTGCTCAAAATTTCTCATGTAGCAGAAGCGATAAAGTCGGTCCATCATGAAGGAAGTTTGAGCGAATGTTCATCTTTCCCCTAGTTGGACGACGTAGACTAAGTCTAGTGGATTTTATGTGTTTGGCGAAATTCCTCTTTCCATCATGAAGCACTATTATCTGTGCTCTCGTTGTCTTTTACCTACCGAATTATCAAGAAGTGTCAACATAGACTCTTTTTTTTCTATAAAAATATGTGATAACAAATTCTTTCTTAAGAATTATCTCTAAAAGTGACACATAATACTCTAATTTGCAATAGATTCATTATTCTCTTTACAAAGAGTATTTCTTTTTGCGCTCTCTACTCATTTTGCTTCCCATTAGGGTTTGTACTTGTCTCATTTAATACTATTAGTTTTGTTCGACAAAAGAAAAATATTGGTTCTTACGACATTAGTTTTGATGAGTTTTAATTTTGCAAATTAGCAATTATTGAGAATTCTAACATTTCTGCAGCTCTTCCTATATAGTATTTTTTAAATACTTTTATTGTTTTCTCTTAATATCTTCCTTAAGGATTGCCTCTGAAAGAGAGGCGTGGGACTCTAATTTGCAAAGGATAATCATTCTCCTTGCAAGGAGTATTTTTCTTGTACTCTCCATTAATTTTTCTTCCGACTAGGATTTGTGTTCACCTCATTCAATACCATGAGTTTTGTTCAACAAAAAAAAATAGTTTTAACAAATTTTTAATATTGCCAATTAACACTTATTAAAATTATAATATTTTCAGTAAACTCTTTGTATAAAGTATTTTCTTAGAAGTTTTTTATTATTTTCTAAAAGTGATACACGGGACACTAATTTGCAAGGGATTAATCATTCTTCTTACAATGAGTATTTTTCTTGCACTCTCCACTCAATTTGCCTCCACCTAAAATTTATGCTTGTCTCATTAAATACCATGAATTTTTTTGGACAAAAATATGATTTTTAGTTTTTTATTGGTATTCAAAGAACATGACGGTGGACAAAATGATACTTGGTACTTGGACACTGGTGCAAGCAACCACATGTGCGGGTGAAAGAAGATGTTTGCCGAGTTAGATGAGACAATCAAGGGGAAAGTCTCGTTTGGTGATAATTCCAACATTTTTGTCGGAGGCAAAGGTACAATTCTAATTCGTTTGAAGAATAGTGCGCATCAGTTTATTATTAATGTTTATTATGTACCAAAAATGTTGAGCAATATCTTAAGTTTGGGACAGCTTTTGGAGAAAGGCTATACCGTCTACATGAAAAACATTAGCCTTGTGCTGAGAGACCAAAATAATAAACTGATTGCAAATGTAAAGAAGTCAAAGAACAAGATGTTTATTCTCAATATAAAAATTGAAATGACTCAATGCTTAAAGGCATGCATGAGTTATCCTTCATGGTTTTGGAATTTGAAGTTCGGCCATCTTAATTTGCTTTCCCGCAAGAAGATGATTCACGGCTTACCACATATTGATCATCCTGATTAATTATGTGAAGGATGTGTCATCGGCAAGCATTCTAAAACTAGCTTTCCAAAGAAGCAACTTATCGACTTAGTAGAAAAGGAGAGTGGCTTTTTTATCAAAGTTATGAGGATTGATCGTGGAGGAGAATTCACTTCAGCCACATTCAATAAATTCTGTGAGGATCATGGTATTCGGCATTTCTTGACGGCTCCATATTCTCCTCAACAAAATGGCGTGGCTGAATGAAAAAAACAAAACCATTCTTGACATAATTCGAAGCATGTTTAAAAGCAAAAAACTGCCCAAGGAGCTTTAGGGTGAAGCTATTATGTGTGCAGTTTATCTATAATATAGATTTTCCAAATATTGACTTGAAGGCATAACTCTACAAGAAGCAAGGAGCGGGAGAACACCTAATGTTTCGCATTTGAGAATTTTCGGAAGCATAGCCCATGTTCATGTTCCAAACCAAAAAAGATCGAAGTTGGAAGATAAAAGCAAAAAACTCATGTTTATCGGGTATGACTCTTCATCCAAAGCCTATAAATTATTTGATCCTAACACTTTGAAAGTGAATATAAGCAAAGATGTCAAGTTCAATGAAGAAGGCAAGTGGGAAGACAATCCAAAAGATGAATCGAATGTTCATGGTAATTCTAGCTAAAGGGAGTTGAAGGATTACTCATCACCGTCTTCTCCAATATCTACTTCAAGTCCATCAAGACCAACCTTTTCAAGTGGAGTTGATGAACCGTTAGTACCAAGATCGAGGAGATTGTTTGAGCTTCATGAAGCCACCAATGAGCTTCGCCTTGTTTGCTTTCTTACAGACTGTGAGCCGCTTGTCTACGATGATGTAGTCAAAGAAGAAAAATTGAGGAAAGCCATGAATGAAGAAATTGAAGCTATTGAGAAGAATCAAATATGGGAGTTTGCTAATCTTCCAAAGACAAGAAAGCAACAGAGATTTTTCTTGATAATATTTCTGCTATTGCTTTGGCAAAAAATTCATTTTTTCATGAACAAAGCAAACATATCGATATTCAATATAAGTTCGTTCGAGAACAAGTGAGATAGAAGGAAATTGAAGCTTCACATGTGAAGATAGGATGTCAAGTAGTAGATGATTTTATTAAATCTCTCGAGATTGATGCCTTTCGGAAGTTCAAAAGTCTACTTTGAATGATTGATGAAAGACAATTTGGTTTAAGAGGGAGTGTTAGTAATTAAACCAAATTCATGAATGTCCTATATGCATGATTATTCATATTTCTATGTCTAGTCAATGTTTTGTAAATGCACGATGACTTTCGTGTTTTGTAAATGCATCTTGACTGTACTCTGCACATGCAATGCCCCTGGAGGTGCCTTCTTTGACTTGTTCCTTATGTGCTCACTCAGAAGCTTCTTCACGTTCGGCTGATGAATAAATGTAAGTCAGGCGCGGCGACTTAACAAAATCTTTCTTCTCAGACGTCACTTGCAGTCCCATGTGAGAGTCAAGGAAATTAAGGCACGGGTGCTGTTTTCTTTGGCTTCTTCCTTCTACGCATGGAGATAAACAAAAATCGAAGGCCTCACAAAGGTATAATTTGGACTTTGTTCATTCGGCCAAACTTGCCGTGTCCATTACTGAAACTTTAGACATAATTTAACAAGCGACGTGCACGATGTAGAGGCAATACTGAGTGAATGGGTACGAGCTTGCTAGGTGGGTGTTGGAGAGAAGAGAGAGAGGGTGGGCGTGTAGGATTTTTTTGAACTGGAGGCAATTTGAGAAAGAGTCTGATGACTTAGTAAATGATGGGCGGTTGGGAGATGCAACTTGAAATTCGATGTAAAAAGCGCATGGTAATTATAAATTTTGAAATGTGAAAAGTGTATTTGAAATGAAAAATAAAGTTGAGAATAATATTCGTAATTTTTCCAAATAAATATTATCATGAAATGTGTGCTATCAAAATGATATCTCGCAAACCATAAAGTTGGTGATATGCGTGAATTATCTTGAAATGAAGTTGGTGGTTTAATCTTCCAAATGCATGCAGAGCAAGTGATAAAACCCAACTTTTCACGTGTACGGCCTAAAGCCTTTGTTATTTGTCTACAAACATTAGTCTCTTTTATCAAAGTGTCGCCCTCGCTCTGCACGCTCTCGATTCCAACATCCCAAGAAGAAAAAGGCGAGATAGCTATAGACAACCCAAAGAAAAGGAAATAATAAAAAGACATATAAATTGCTGATTAATAGCATAATTAGATGTTAATTTATTCAACTCCTTAACTTTTGCTCTTGCCTCAGCTGCATGCATAGAGGAGCTTGAGGCAATACACTCGTGCAAGTACAATCGCTCAAACTAACTTGAGCACCATTATTTTGACATAAGTCTCTTATGGAGTATTCTCTGCAATTCCACTCTTACTTCAAGGGCAGAACACAACCCTATAGTTGGTTCCACCAGGGCAGGTGAAAGTGCTAGTCTGATCATCCTTAGGGTAACTGTAAGCATCAGGGCACCTATCCTTGAAGAACCTCGAGAAATCCGTGGGTCCACAGCTTCCGGAGTTGCAACAATACTGGTTGGTCTTGAACACGGTGCAGGGGTTGTTGCAACCGCCGGGCGCCTTCAGCTGGGCAGGGCACTGGCCATTGATGTCGGCCGTGCACTTGATCCCACGGGTGCACCCGTTGGAAGTCGGACTGAAGTCCATGGGGACGTTGAAGCCATCAACAAGGGAGATGTCAAAGAAGTCCTTGCCGCCGAACTGGTTCAGTGCGAACTCAGCCAGTGTGTTCGGGGGCTGGCCGTAGGATTTGCACTCAAGGACGCCGCCACAGTCGCCGGTCTGGCACCTGCCCTTCCCAGCCCCATCAAACTGGCAGTTAGTCCGGGCCCAGATACGGGCTTGTGTCGTGCCAGGGTTCACGTTCAGGGTCCAGGACTGGCCTCGGTCGAGCCGTCGGCCACCTCCCGGGACCGCAGCTGCCCAGACCGTGTAGGGGCAATTGTTCCTAATGTCGAATGTGGCAGCATTGGTGCAAGTGAGGAAGAGGGAGAGCAAGAGGACGGAGGAAATGCAAATGGCATGGGAGTGAGCCATGCTTGCTAAGAATTTGGGTTTGTGTGATTTTTCTATGTGATAGTGCTTGTGTAGTGGTTTGGTGGGTAATGAAGAAATGCGTGAGGGTTTATATAGGGGCGAGAGTAGCTAGGGATTGGTAGAGAGAGCCCAACAGGTGTTTCTACGTGATTAGTCGATTGAATATCAGATGGGGTTTGATAATGCTGTCCTTGGCTTGGCTGGAAGAGAAGTCAAGGATGAAGATAAAGCCTCCACGATGCGTAGAGGCTTATCTGCAACCAGTCAACAATTTCTACCATTGCAATGTTACAAGTTTTTCCGGCATACCAGAGGAGTCTTGTTACTATGCGAGTGCCTGAGAGCTTTATCATCATCATCAGGGAGCGGCAAATGGGTTTGGTAATTATCCACCATTTAGGCACTTCTGCTTAGAAATTTCAACCAATTTGTGCTATAAAACATGACCTCAAAACATGAAAATGAGGAAAAGCGAAGAGGAACTGAACAGATAGAATTAGCAGAGGTGAACTTCTGCAAGACAAGTATGTGAGCTATACAGCCTACCTTTTGAATATAAGTATCTACATTTCAGTTGATAACTACATGCATTAATGTTAATACTTTAGAACGAAAATCTTAACATTGTCCCCTGATGCAATTTCCTCATGTCGATCACATGAGTGTTTCCAAGTTTTTGAATTGCTGGAGATTATATACTTATGGTGACACTATGTGCTGCTTTATCATATATGTGACTCCATGCCAAAGCCCTAGTGAGAAATCTCTCTCTAGTGTGGGATCGTTGGGAACAATGAGGTCATGTGTCAATGGCACCAGTCTTACAATGTCTGTGGCGGATTAGGAGTTATAGGTGAGCATTAAAAGTCACACGATAATTCAAAGTAACGTATACAGAAAAATAATTTTGTCGGCTTACATGGTAATGGAATTTACTGCTCCTTTTGCGGTCTCGACTTCAAGCCTTGTTGAGAGCTCTTAGAAGTTAAATCCTAAATGCGCCAGGCCAATATCGGGGGAATGCACCCTTAAGATCACCCGGGAAGTTGGACGTCTAGTCGAGGTGCATAAAAGCTAGCTCGAACAGTAATCGACCCCGCTATAACAAAAAATCACTCTATATAATCATGTCGAGTACATTCAGTCATTTTCAGTTCAGTATCATTTAATTTTATATATATATATATATATATATATATATATATCTCGAAAGTTATGATTATCTCGAAACTTTATCCATCGAGCGCTGATCACTCTCCAATACGACAAAAAGATCAAACTCTCCTAGATAAATTAAACATTATAAACGGTAAATCACTTGAAAATTATTCTCACTCAGTCATTTATGAGCATTTCTTTCACGCTTCATCATCACAAGCACTAGTGTTCTCGATGTAAGAGAAGAGATGATACGTCCTTTTCTTTTTTTATGTTTTTGGACCTTTTGATCATACTATTTGGGAGGGAATTATTCGTGGAGGATCAAAGTTCATCATCAAGAAGAGTCCGCAAACGTTATTGTCAAAATCTTGACTAAGGAAACGTGGCGCAGAAGAAATCGAAAGAAGAAGAAAGTGGTCCAATCACGTGCTTACACTTGTTAATCTCATAGTAAAAGTTTCGTTCCTATCAATTATCATAGACAAAAACCTTGTTATGAGGAAAGAGAATTTGCATCGAAAGCTAAAGAAAAGTCGTGGAGAGCATCCGATAGGGATTATTCCTGAGGAATCGAGATACGCACGATTTCGACTCGTGGCATCACCGTAGGCACCAATCAATGCGCGATGAGCACATTATGTTGGTTGAATAATTAGCACGCGGGCATTTGCATTTATTTTCTTTCTTTCTTTCTCTTTTTCTTTCTTTCTTTCTTTGGTTTTTCCTTTGGATATTCGGTTGAATCCCGGGGGATAGTTCTTGTACCTAAGAGTTAGATAAAAAACAACTGTTTTCGTGTCTTCGCACAGTATCTTCTCAAGCAAGGAACTGGGCCGACAAGTTAGTTGAGAAGACATCATATGAAGCATAGGTCGACTCGGCAGGTGTCGAAACACCACCTCATCACCCCAAGCATGGGAGGTTACTATATCTGCCTACTCGGCAATAACCAGCTTAAACTGACGTTGTGTTTGTCTTCACCACCTGAGTCCCCCTAATTCTCTCTTTATCTTTATTTTCCCGAGAGAGAGGGAATATTTCCCGAGAGAGAGGGAATACGGGAGGTGACATTGAGGAGTCCCACCTCTCGAGGGTTCTTCCCCTGTTTCTTTTCCCTTATAGTTTTAAGTCTTTTCATGCTCTAGAGTATCTTTTTCTTCCTCTATGGGAATTACCTAAGAGTTAGATAAAAAAAAATTGTTTTCGTGTTAGGTTTAAAGTCGATGAAGAAGCTTTGTTAGCAAAGTCACCTTTGGCCGCGCATATCGGATGAAGAAACTTTTGTTAAGAATACAGGATAATGGCACGAGTAGTCAATGAACTTTGACCCAAAATGCAATATTGTCCCTAAATTTTTTATTTGTTCAATATGGTTTATGAACTTTATTTCGATATACAATGTCTTCCCTAAACTTTTAATTTGTTCAATATGATCCCTAGACTTTTAGTTTATGTTCAATCTAGTCCTTGAACACTGTGAAAATGTTCAATGCTATCCTTACACTTGAATTAATAAAAGGACAACATTAAATATTTTTGTATAATCTAGGAGCTAAATTGAACATGTACCAAAAGTTTGTGGACTGAATTGTCATTGGGTTAAAGTTCAAGGACTACATTACAATTAAAATTTCATGGATCATATTGCACATTGGATCAAAGTTCATGGACCATTTGTCCTTTTTCCCTTACTATCCTTGTACCACCAAAGTCTGACTTGAAAATGTATTGTGGAATGAACATCCTAATCACAATGGCATAACTAATGACATGAATTCGCGTCCGCAATATCCATCACTAGAACGGTGAAAAAGAAGAACGATGAACATTTTCTCAAGGGTATAGGATCCACTTTGAGTAAAAAAAGAGAACAAGATTTTTAATTTCGAATAAGAGTGTAAAGACCGCTAGCTGATGACATTATCCCAAATCCATTCAATGCACGGAAGGAATTAAGGAATTCGCTGATTCGATTTGGATAATCGGATTTTTTTTCCAATATGTTTTCTTTTACACCCTTAATTTTGTGTTCTAGGAAACAAGTGTGTGAACTACAAGGACTTTAGACAAGACCACAAGTCTCGCTGGATGTCATGTCCGATACATGTGAAGAAGCATTAACTTGAATGTGGTCCATGTCCAACCACATGCTTACGCCCCAAAAGATAGAACGGCTTCATTCTATCATATAGAGGAGAACCTTATCCTAGGAAAGCGATTTGAATTGAAAGCTGAACAAAAGTTGTTGAGAGCATCGGCATCTGATAGGATTATCCCTGAGGAATCAATGCGTGTACAGTTAAAAAGTCAATTTCAAAGTTTAAGCGGATAAATAGAGAGAGATTACATGTATATAAAGAGCATATAAACTCTGTAAAGAAACGATCTGGAATATTTTAACACACATGAATTCAACTCGCGACATCACAAATAAGCACCTGGCCATGCATGATGAGCCCATTATGTTGGTTCAATAATTAGCACGGGAGCTTTTGCACTTATTTTCTCTCTTTCTCTTTCGGATTGTTTTCTTTTTTCTTTTCTTTTCTTTTCTTAATTTTTTTATAGTAGGGTAAATCCCGGGGGATAATTCTCGTACCTAAGAGTAGATAAATAAAAATTGTTCGTGTTGGGTTATAAGCCGATCGAGAAACTTTGTTATAAAGTCACCTTCGGCTGCATACCATCCGACATATAACATATTAAACTATAATCACTAAATTATTGTACGTACGTGATGTGTGCATGGGCTTTAATTTGGTGCCCGAGACAGAATTGGACCTAATTGTGGACTTGTGATTGATCGGTCTAGGCCACCAAGCCTTTTCTGCTTTGGTGTTTTGTTTGGCAAAGCTCAAATTCAGCCCGCCCCAGTCATTGGGTCTACTCAAGACACCACGTAATTACAGTATGACAAGAGGCCGTCAAATGAGTGCATTGGATCTGATAAAAAAATGATCCGACCCAAATCGACCTATTTATAGGCAATGCAAATTCAGCAACACATACCCGACCCGACCCATACCCAACTCACATTACTAAATCACACAGATATTTAAAAATAGAGCTTTTATGCTATGCATGTAGTGTGTAAACAATAGAATTTATAGTAGTTTTACAAGGTTTCAAATAAGATTATCGACTTGTTTGCAACTTTTCTTTACTGCAAATTTTCGAGTTTCACAATGAAGTATTCGACATCTCTTAAAATCGATAAGTCAATAAATATTAACAAGTAAAATCATATACTAATTATCACGATTTTCTAAAGCAGAAGATAAAACCAGAAAATAAGCTGCCTCACTTGAAATCCCCAACCTGAAACCAAAGACAAGTAAAGAAGGATTGCAAGTGGGTTGGGCTTTAGACCCATTAAAAACTCGCATTTTATTGGACTTTATTACTCAAATTCGTATCAACCCATTTAGCAAAATTTGGCTAACCCACGTATGACCCAACATATCATATATGGGTTAATAAATGGGTCTTCAACCCATTTCGACAACTCTAATAATAAGAAACGATGGGCACACTTACAATTTACCGAGAGATAGATATCGGATTATAATGAGTCGTAACTCTTCACATATTTTCATAAGACTCTATGCTCAACGGATGAGATATTTTCCTTCGTTTTTCATGCGGCAATCGTGTCGGACGAAAATCCGCTCTCGAAAGGTCCTCAAAACGGCCAAGGAACTAGGCCTTTTGGCCCGGTGAGATAATGGCAATGATGAATGCCATCGTACCTAACTCTTTGTTAGGACGTCCTATCTGGGGGTCAAGTCAAATGAAACTATTGCAAGCCGTTCGTGTGATACTTTTTTACCCAATTAAATATTTTTACCTATTAATTTATAGGAAAAATACCATAAAAAATTCTAAACTATAACACTTATGATAAATTTACCCTAAATTTTTTTTGTGACACGAAAAACCCCAAATTATGCCACCTGTGACAAATTTACCCTGAATTTTTTTTTTGTGACACGAAAAATCCCAAATTATGCCACATATGACACATTTACCCCACAATACTTTGGCCCATGGGCATTTTCGTCTTTTTCTGTTTTTTTTTTCGTTTTTTTTTCTTTTCTTCTCCGGTGAGGGCTGCCCTAGCCCGCCCAGGCGAGGGCGACCCTCGCCGGATCTAGCGAGCGTCGCCCTCGCCCGACGCCGGCGAGGGTCGCCCTTGCCCAAGGCGGGCGAGGGCAGCCCTCGCCGGAGAAGAAAAGCAAAAAAAAAGGAAAAAAAAACAGAAAAAGACGAAAATGCCCATGGGCCAAAGTATTGTGGGGTAAATGTATTACAAGTGGCATAGCTTGGGGTTTTTCGTGTCACAAAAAAAAGTTCAGGGTAAATTTATCACAGGTGGCATAGTTTGGGATTTTTCGTATTACAAAAAAAAGTTCAGGATAAATTTATCACAAGTGACATAGTTTGGGATTTTTTGTGGTATTTTTCCTAATTTATATATACACATGCTTATTTTTGGAATAACAACTCTTTATATTGGTTGCTTGCATCGCGGATAAAAGTCCATAATAAGAAAACACCTGACCATGAAAGGCAAGACACCAACGCCACCGTTTGCTTCCGCAAAAACTCGGGCCTGTTTGGTAAAACTGAAAATTAATTGTTGAAAATTTAGTATTATATTTTAATTCACCATGCTCAAAGTGAAAATAGAATATTTTTCGAATGATATTTTTTCTTACCAAATACGGAATTATGAAATTATTGGCAAGTTTTACGCTTTTGGTAATGTAATAGGCCCGACTATGATTGCCATTTGGATGCCTTTTTTTATTGTTTGAATTAAGAAACTGCATTCTTACTCTGTGAATTAAGTGAATTTTAATATACTTAATTGAATCTTTGAAGTCAAAACTAGTTATGATTAGCAAACGTGCTTACTTTTATTAAGTATTGAAGATATTAATTTTTAAAAATTAATTGAGTTATCAAACAAGTCTAAATCTAAGATTGTTTCTATTTATCTATTTAATTTTTGGGAAAAAACCACCAAAAATCCCAAACTTTACTACTTGTGACACATTTACCCTGAGCTTTTTTTTGTGACACCAAAAAATCCCAAACTATGCTATTTGTGACACATTTACCTCAATGTACTTTAGTTCATGGGCATTTTCGTCTTTTTTGCTTTTTCTTTTTTTTTTTTTCCTTTCCGGCGAGGGCCACCCTCGCCGACGTCGGGCGAGGGCGGCCCTCACCGGCGTCGAGCGAGGGTGGCCCTCGCCGGATACGACGAGAGCAGCCCTCGCCGGATACGGCGCGAGCCGCTATCCGCCGGCGTCGGGCGAGGTCGCCTCGGCGAGGCACCCTCGCTCGCTGGGCGAGCGAGGGCGGCCTCGCTCGCCGGGTTAGGCGACCCTCGCCGGCGTCGGTCGCCCTCGCTGAGTTGGGCGAGGTCGCCTCGCTGGGCGAGTGAAGGCGGCCTCGCCAGACGCCCGGCGAGGTTGCCCTCGCTGAGTCGGGCGAGGGCCGCCTCGCTTGCCCGGGCGAGGCCACCCTCGCTCGGCGCCGGCAAGGGTCGCCTCGCTGGGCGAGCGAGGCGGCCTTGCCGGGACTCGGGCGAGGGCGACCCTCGCCGGCGTCGGGCGAGGTCGCCCCGCTCGAGTCGGGTGAGGGCCGCCCTCGCTCGCCCGGGCGAGGGCCGCCCTCGCCCGATCCAGCAAGGGCCGCCCTCGCCCGACGCCGGTAAGGGCCACCCTCGCCGGAAAGGAAAAAAAAAAGAAAATGCAAAAAAGACGAAAATGCCCATGGACTAAAGTACAATGGGGTAAATGTGTCACAAATAACATAGTTTTGGGTTTTTGGTGTCACAAAAAAAAGTTCAAGGTAAATGTGTCACATGCGGCAAAGTTTGGGGTTTTTGGTGGTCTTTTCCCTTAATTTTTTGAGTAAATTTTCCTTTTTCCCATAAGGCAAATGAATTCAAATCTTTAGTCATTGAAATCGGGTTCTTCTAGTAGTCAAGATTTCACGTTAAAAAACGTTTTTCGCCTTTGGTTCCAATCAGTCGGGCTCCATCGGAGTTCGCCTTGCCAAGTTTGGTTCATCGTTCCCAAGGGGTTTTCGACCTCGAAAACCCTTTGGGGAAATGTTAAACCGTTTGAAAAGCATTCCCAATGGGCTTTCGGCCAAAAGTCAGCATTGGGAATGCTCAAAGCTAGTCTGAACCAGCTTTGGGCCTTCAACATTTGGCAAATGCCGAAATCAACTTTTTTGCCTCCAAACTACCCTCACTTATTCTGGTTTTATTCCGGTTTTGCCTCTCTTATTACTGTTCATCTTTTGCGCGAGGGCGGCCAGCGCCGGATCGGGCCAACGAGGTCGCATGACCCAGGTGACGCCCGCCTGAGGTTGCACGACTGCTCAGGCGCCGCCGGACTGGGTCATGTGACCCTCGTCGAGGGTCGCCTAGCCTCGAGTGACGGCCACCGGCAATAGATCTGGCTCGCTGGGGGTTGCCCGACCTCGGGCGACGGCCGCCGGCGCCAAATCTAGTTCGCCGGCGGCCATAGGCCTTCGCTAGCTTTAGCGAAAGGTAGGGTAAGTTTTTTTTTTAATAAAAAAGAAAATTCCCAAAGCCCTTTGCAAAAAAAAAATTTCAAACACTACTTGAACCAAAATAGCTTTACAAAAGATTTTTTACCAAACGCCATTTGCATTTCCCTAAGGGGCTTTAACCTAAAGGTATTTGCATTCCCCAAAGTTTCATTTACAAAGTTGAACCAAACGAGCATCTAGTCTAGATTGAGGAAATGTGTTGGAGATGATGCTCGTCTTAATTGGCCGAAAACGAGATCGTTGCTGAGGCTCGACCGCAGATGACAGGTGAAAATAGACTCGCCTAAGGAGGTTATGTGAAGCCTTAAGTAATTTGTTCATCTCATTATAATTCGCATACATTGCCTTTCAATCCATCAAATTTTATCATTAAGGGGATAGAAAAAGAACGCACAAAAAAGAAGGAAATTCAAAAACTTAACATTAAATATTTAACGTCGGAATTGTTATTTGATCATACGAACAATCGTGTTTAATAATATCTAGAAATAACATAAGGATTGTATTTAATAAATCAAAAGTAAAAAAAAAAAATTTGACATCAGCGTATGGCAAAAGGTTTAATAATAATAATCGTTTTCCTCCACGTCGGCGGCGGCTGCAACTCTCGTGTGCTTTCGCTCTCTTTCCTTCTTCCTCTTCGTCCTCAGCGTCTCGCGCAAGCTTCTACTCTCTGTCTCTCTCTCTCTTGCTGGCACAAAGCTTCGCAGAGAAGCCGATGAAAGATCGGGTTTTTGAACACCCCAACGCCTCCGATTTTCTCCCGCTAACTCCAGACCCTCCTCTGCGTATATATACATGGGCTTTCTCAGCGCTCTCTGCGATCACGCATCCCCCATCTTTAGCGACAGTCTCTAGCTACTTTGTTTGGCGTTCCCACTGTCGGTCGCAGTCCCGTTCTCGGAAACCCCGAGGTTTTTCTCCTCTCCGAGGTTCGTCTTCGTGTTTCGCCACGAACGTGTTGCGGTTTTTTTTGTGTGTGTGTGTGTGTGTGTTTTCTTTTTGGTTTTTGGGGTAATGCTCGGCTCCGTTTCGCGCGTTTTTCGTTTCGCCACGACGATGTGGAGGCGAGAGCAGGAGGAAGTTGACGTGTTTGCGATTTGGGTTTTTCTCTGTTGGGTCTTGTTCCTTAAGTCGAGCGATTGGTAGAATCCTGTCGCTGTCGCTTCCACGGGATCCTTAGTATCTTCGTTGTCGAGTTCGTAAGGTTCGCTGTCGTGAGTGGAATAAATCTGTGTGTGTTAGTTAAAGCAGTAGATGTTAGTGGCAAGGCCTTGGAGGGTTGATGCGTGTCGAAGTGCTCGGGGAAAGATGATCACTTGGACTGAATTGTAATCTTCTATTTGCATTGGCGCTGATTTTGTGCTCTTGCGAAACTTGGGTGATTTCGCGTGATTAGTTCTTCGTTAGTTCTTGTTTCCTTTGACTTGTCATTTGTCCTGATCTCATGCTGATTTACTCCGTCGTGCCTTTTTAGGTTAGCATGGTGAGAGTTAAGGAGGAATACGATGTGGTGGGGAGCCCTTCGTTTTCTAATGGCGGCTGCAACTCGTATCCGAAGAAATCACCGTCCACTTTATGGTACATTTCGATGTTTTACTCTGCTTTTTAAGGTCCAAGGCCTTGTGTCGCTCCTACCTCTTGTTTTGGCAATCATTCAGTAATGTAGCAAGTTCAAAACCTTCTGACTGCAGTTATGATTAAGTTAATTCGACATTAATATCTAAAATCAGCATGCAATAAAAAACTGAGGTGCATGCTTGTGACTTATTTGCATCAGCTTGATATAGCCCATTATTCAACAACATGGGCACATAAGTTGTTTGTTCAGAAGCATAACAGATGAACTACTTTTCCATATCTTGAATGGATTGCGCTTGATGTTCCCTTTTAATGCGGCATTTGATTTGACTTTAGGAGGGCAAGTGGTCCAATTAGGCGTTCAACAAGAGGAAGATGGACAAAGGAAGAGGTTAGTTTTTGAACAGCTACATTTCGATTCTTCAGTATGTTAAGATATTTTGAGTCTAAAGCCTTTCACTATAGGTGATTGACCAATTAGGCACATAAAGCTTACGGTGGGACCAATTGTGCATATTCAAAAAGATTAGGCTACTCTGTTGTTACTGTGAAGGGTTTAATTCCCTCCAACCTTCATATGAGAGCAGAACATACTTCTTTCTGAGAATTTTTACCGTCAACTGTTTATTGCCCTGTAACGTTTTCTCTCTAGGAGAGTTCTGAAGCTTTCTAAATCCAGCTACATTACAATTTGATGTGAACAGGACAGACTTCTTATTGCAGCGGTGCAAAAGTTCAATGGCAAGAATTGGAAGACAATAGGTCAGTGTGACTCTTTCCTCCATCTCCCTCAAGAATTACTCGATTTTTTGCACAAAGAATTGCTAGTTCTTTATTTTGGTGGAGCAGGACCATCAAGAGATTTGTAATTGGCCTACCATCAGTAGAACTAGATTGAGCGTAATATGATGGTGTCATTAAGCATGATAGCTTCAACAAATTCAGCCAAGTCTGTGAACTCCTGCCGTGCTAATGGGAGATTCCTTGTTCAGGAATCTATTACCTCAAAATAACTACAAGATTTTTTTTCAGTAATATGGTTGACACATGTAGATGTGTGAAGTAAATGATGCGGTGGTTCCATTCCATATACATTAGTTTGCGCTCGGCAAAAGGCTGATGCTTTGATTGTTTTCGTGTGTTACCAGCTGCATGTGTCCCTGGTAAGACAGATTGCCAGTGCTTGCATCGCTGGCAGAAGGTTCTAAATCCTCGTCTTATTAAAGGATCTTGGACAAAGGGGGTAATGTCAAATATCTGTGCTCGATATGATACTGTATATTGTCAGAGAAAGCAAAATGATTTGCTTCCTCTTTTTTATTTCAGGAAGATGATCTTTTAATCAATTTGGTTAAGAGATACGGCTGCAAATGGTCGCTCATTGCAAAAACCGTTCCTGGTCGCATAGGCAAGCAGTGCCGAGAAAGGTAAACTATCACCTTAATTTCAGTTTAGTTTTCCTTACCAGATTGAGACTCTTTATTGAAAGATGTAAATATGTAATTATTGTTCTTAATTAATTATACTTAAGTTAGTATTTTTATTATAGAGTATTAGTGACTAAGGAGCTGCTGATTCTATCTTTAGGTGGACTAATCATCTCGATCCTTCAGTAAAGAAGGTTGCCTGGACAGCAGAAGAGGAATCCATTCTCGCTCACTGCCACCATGTTTATGGTAACAAGTGGGCACAAATAGCAAAAATTCTTCCTGGAAGGTACATATAGTCGACCAATGATTTACCAGTGGATGGCCCCCCATAATGTTGTTTTAACCACTCGCTTTAAAAGAAAAGGAAAGACTACTTTGAGATGACAAAAATCAAATGGTTGGGTAATTTTTTTGGTGTTACTTTCATAACCCTTAAATGGTGTTTAAAATGCATCTGGTTAGAAGCTTGATAATCCTGATCTACTCGAGTTCTGATGATACAAGTAATATAACTAGTCCTTGTTTTGCTCTCGTCTCGGCTGTTGGCCAGAGTTTCACTGCATTCGTTCTTGGTCCTTTTGATGTGGCCATTGTTTTGCCTTTTTCGCCCAGTATCTACACTTATCTAGTGCCTACTGGAACATCAGGATCTGATGAATACCCCCTCCCCTTCCCTATCTTGAATTGTTCAGTTAATTTTATGCATGCCTTTACGAGGTATTGATATGTTTTCACGCTGGCAGGACGGACAATGCAATTAAGAACCATTGGAATTGCTCAATGAAGAAGAGATCAGGTTCATGGTCAACCGGCTGTATAATGGAAATGTCTGATGCTAGCTCTGAATTTTGCTGTCCAGGGCTTAAGGCAGATTGCTCGATGGTTAAGTTGGAGCGACAAAGTCTGGATGAAATCACTTCTGTTGATCAAAGAATGCATTTGGACTTGAATAGAACTTGTTTCACCAACTTCACTCTTGAATATTCTCGTGGTGCTACGATGGATTCAGAAGCAGAAGATTGTTGGATATCAACTACTTCGCATTCAACAGCAGGGGCAAATAGCATAGCGTGTCCGACTGCCAATCCATTTCATGTGGCCACTGGTTTTTCTCAAGATGCTGATAGCGATTCTAATATTTCAATTTCCTCACTAGCTGCTCCTTCAAGCATGGGCGCATCTTTAACTGTTGAGTTAACTCCTAGTCCTGTCAAAGTTGATCTTTCTGTTGCCTCCCATAGTTTTGAATCACCTAAAAGGATAAGAGTAGGTGCTACTAGTACAAAATTCAGTGATGATCCCGGATATTTTTGTTCGAATTTCTCGAAATCCACAGATATGGACTTCACTGGAGCTGATAAGAGAAAAAACATTGCGGATATGTTATTGTCAGCACTTCAGCCGAGAGATCCGGTCACTTTGGTTGCAAATAATGGTTTCACAGGTGTAGAAAATCAAAATAGTCCATCAAGGAGTTTATGTTACCTTTCCACTCCCCCTAACTTGGTGAGCAGCGTTAGTGTCAAAAGTTGGAGTCCAGAGTTGATTTTGAGGAACTTGGCAATGACCTACAAGCATACTCCTTCCATCATTAGGAGGCGACACTCAAAAAAATTGGGCGATGCTTCTTTCTCGGGCTCTGCTAGCACGCCAGCATCGATGGTTTCAAATTCTCAGGAGAAGGACGGTGGTAGTGTGGATTTTCTGCGTGTGGAACAAGGTCTTCTATCGAATTTTCATAATGCTAGAATTTCCACTGCTGCTAAATGTCTAGAGAAATGCCTAGAGCATGCCTTCAACATGGAAATGGATATGGTTGTTCCCTGAACGTGGGGTTTATGCCAACAGCGCATTACCTGGAGATGAGTGAGCAAATCAATGATGTTTCATCTGTACCAAGCATTTCTATTATGTCAACAAGCTCCAGGACGGGGCCTACACAAGAAGATAGCTATATCGCTGATAGTATCTTCATCTGCATCTTTGTAGCTTACTTTGCTCCATGAACTTGTTTCCTGTTAGTCTGACTCTCGGGGATGACAATGGCACAGCTGTGTGTATAATGTGGCTGTGTTACTTCAATTGAAAACAAGTACATACAAAAAGAATTCCCTCTCTACTGCTATAACTTCAAGATTGCATGTACTGGCATTTTGTAATTGATGACAGCTCAGCTCTGTAAGGAATAAAAAGTAGGAAAATCTTGCTTTCACAGTTCTTTAGGCCCATTCTTTGGCATTATGACTTCGATTCCATGGTTTGTTTCCTGTGAGATGTAATTTTCTTGATTGTCTATCACGGTTTCCCTTGTTCTATGTTGGTACACATTCAACTTGTTCATGGGCTCGATAGGCCGACAAGCTCATGAGACGCTACCCATCATTTGGGTGTGGTTGGACAACTCTTGCCTCGGGTACCTCAAGAGGCCAACTTGGCACATCAAAGGTTGGCCAAGCCTAGCCACAAATTCCTAGAAATGAAGGGTGTTGGAGTTGGGACATATTTCTTTTAAAGTCTCTGTTTTCTTACACTACACTCCTCAGGCGCGACCCCATTAGCAATGTGGTCCAGCATCAAGCTAATCATTTTTCCAAGGGCATAGCGCTTCTCAGCCCAGCTTCCTCCATTGATGAAGCCAGCTTCCTAAGGAAGCACCTAAAAGCAAGCATTCACGGGACAAATGAAATTCTCCATCTATATGCTGCAGCAACACGGAATAAATCGAGCACATCCAAACTTTTTTCTCCTCAGAAAACAATGTCTGTCTATAGCAGTATCAAGTAAATGAAGCATGTCATCCTTTTCATACTCGTTACCTAACCCCATGTGCGGGTGGGTCCTTCTTGCTCTCATGCTCGTCCACGGTGTTGCTGTCAGCTCAATACCCCTCCTTGAAAAGCGGGAGATCTCGGTGGAACCTCATCAATGGTGAACAGAACATTTTTTTTTCACAGTTCCTTTCACTGAAGAGATGGATGGTATCTGCCATTTGTCCTCTGTTTCTAAAGTTGAAAAGGAAATTAAGGGGGGGAATTAGGAGAACTGCAACTAACTGGAATGAAACCAAAAGCGTGCTTTTTAGTCGACAAAATCATGGAAGTATCAGGTGCAAAGAATGCAATTCTGCAGCCAACACCCACCATCAAAAACATCACTTGCTTTGTCCTAGGACGCTCCCCAATGAAGAAGCTGTCGTCGTCATCATTAATTCCGTGGTTGAGCTTGAGCCTTCCAATTTTTTTTTTATCATTGAACTCCTTCGTACTTTTCAATCGAAGCCATCCTCTATTGGCATCATCCAAAGGTGATTTATTATGCCGCACATGGGAATGAAAACAAGTATAGCGAAATCCTGAAATATCCACTTATTGGTTGGGCGTTTGAATTGAATGCAGACGGCATAACCTCATTCGTGCACTTGTGATATGCAAATATCGTGGAGATTAATTGGATACGTCAAGTTCTGGAAAAAAAAATGAAGTATGTTATATAATATATACACGTATATTAGATAAATCAAAATACTACTTTTTTTCTCTCCTTCCTAAGAGTAATTTAACTACAGTTTAATTAAATATTCACAAAGCTAACGCTTTTCTTTTCTTTTGGAAAAATGAGAATCGTCATCACTTCGAGGGATTCCTGTGGCATATCGTTGCGCGGATGTTGCACCAATCTCTTGTGGGCAACTTTGATATAGTATACTCCTTGATTTTACACACCAACTCCTTAATTTTTATTTATTGACATCCGAGGTTGATGTTCATTTTATTTCTTCTATTGCCTGATCATTACATGAGAAGCAGATTTTAAGAATCTTTTGCGGCTTTTCGTCCTAAATATGGATGGCATGGATTCGAAATGGATCATTGAATTTGGGATAAACCTGGGATAACTTAAAAATTATAAAAACCTATTAGAAATAGCAACAAAAAACGAATATTTTTATGATCGTGTCGTCATCCGACAAAACGGGTGATCGGGTTCATGTTTTAAATTATAATATTTACGCATTTCATGAATCCGAATGTTTACGGTAACGATTATATGGTAGAAAAACAGTTGTATCATATTAGTCTGATAAATAAATAAAAAATTTGGATGCCCTAATTTTTATATTTGGAAAAAAAAAAAAAGTGATGATGACCCTTCATTGGATAATGATAAAACATCATCGTCAGTTACACTTGTCCCACTTATCACTTGCAGATCAGAAATTACCTTGAAAACACTTCTCTTTTCGGCCAAATTACACGAATCCAGGAAAAGGGGTAAAGAAAGAAAGCAAGGAAAATATAATTGCAAGGGAAGAACCAAAAATAGAAAAAGCGCGCGAATAGATTCATCCTCCGGCTAACCCGATTACAACAAGAAGGAAACAAAAAGCCGTAACCTTGATCGCAATGGATCCTCTGTTTCTGTCTGTCTCGCTCTCTCTCTCTCTGACATGCGTTTTGTACTTATCCCCAACACAACACCCGCAAAATTTGTTTCCTTGATTTTGCTCAAACCTCTCGTCACCTCCCACTTTCTCTCTCTAGTTTTTAAAAGGGACGCGCATGTTGCTCACTGTTGATGTCTCCCCTGCTTCGGTGAAGGAAAAAAACCAAAACTTTCGCCGAATTGGTGAAATGGGTTCGCCGGGAAAGACCGTTCTTGTGACCGGTGGGGCTGGTTTCATCGGCACCCACACCGTGGTTCAGCTCCTGAAAGATGGGTTCGGGGTCTCCGTCATCGACAATCTCGACAACTCTGTCCCCGAGGCCGTCGATCGGGTTCGAGAGCTCGTGGGTCCTGAGCTCTCCGAGAAACTCGAATTCCACTTGGTACTTTCATTCTTGAATTTTGTTTCTGTTTCAAGGTTTGGTGAACTGGGTGTTTGTTTGTTCGTCTGTTCGAGAAAGAAAATGTGGGGATTGAGTGGAATTTGAAGTTTCTGGCGTTTGGTCTTGTGTTTCACTGAGGATCATGTTGTCTGGAATTAGAACAGAGGTTGAAGAAGATGAGTCAAAGTGACAGGTGAAAACTTTTTTCCCGACTGCCTATCAATGCTATGTAGCGTAAATTCTGTCTGTCTGTTCTAGTTACTTCATTGGAATTGGGGAATTAATTGGTGTGGATGTAAGTGAATTTACTATTCGTTCAGTTTAAGCTTATGAGGTCCACAATATGGTGGAGTGGACTTTATAGAGCTCACATTGTTCGTACCCGTTTTGCTTGTTGATGGTCTAGAGCTTATTGCAGGGTGATCTCAGAAATAAGCAGGATTTGGAGGATCTATTTTCTCAAACGAAGTATGTACACCGTCCTTGATCCTTGCTCTTATCTTTGTCCTTGTCCAATGGCCTCGTTGGTTCTCTGTAAATTCAGGGTGATTACGTCCTTCCTTCATTATTATTTTTTCAATGAAACAGCTTTGATGCTGTGATCCACTTTGCGGGGCTAAAAGCTGTTGGGGAAAGTGTAGCCAATCCTCGAAGATATTTTGACAACAATTTGATTGGGACTATTAATCTGTACGAGATCATGGCAAAGTACAACTGTAAGAAGGTATGTTTGACTTCGTTAGCATATGAATACTTGTTATTGTTGTTTCAGCTGCTTGCTTTGACATACGGAAAGACAATGCCTATAATTACAAGAAGCAAATAAATTGCCGACCGTGCCTGAAAAGCCCCATGCAGAACAGATATGAACTGCATGTTCGTTGGCATTTTACCTATCATCAAGAAAAGTTGGCCAGCATGAAACTTAGACGGGCAATGCCACTGCTCAATGTATAAGATCCACTCTTGTTTCATGTCTTTATGATCTCATAAAGCGCATGCATAGATTAATCCTTCTTTTTGAGATATGAAAGCTTTCATATAGTGTGATAGGATAGTTGATCGAGAATAGCTTTGAATAAATTATTTTTTTTAGCTTTCGGTCCATGCCTTTAGCTGAGTTTGCTTACTTACATAGCATTTTCCAGTCTTTTACAATGAAGAAATCATTGTCTCCCTGTTCTAGTGTTGTCACTAGAAGAGAATAATTTTTTATCTGCTATATCCTCCCCTCAGCTCTCATATAACAGTAATGTTCTTGGGGGCTACAGATGGTTTTCTCATCTTCTGCAACTGTGTATGGTCAACCTGAAAAGATACCTTGTGTTGAGGATTTTCAATTGATGGCCATGAATCCTTATGGGAGGACAAAGGTGTGCTCTTTTGGTCTGACTTATTTGTCCTTTTTGTGCCGGTATAATTTTGTTTTCTGCATGCTGAATATGGCTTCTATTTCTTGACCCCTTTCATGCACTTCTCAATAGCTTTTCCTTGAAGAAATTGCTCGGGACATTCAAAAGGCCGAACCTGAATGGAGAATTATATTGTTAAGATACTTCAACCCAGTCGGGGCTCATGAGAGCGGCAGAATAGGCGAAGACCCTAAGGGCATTCCAAACAATCTCATGCCTTACATCCAACAGGTGTCCGTAGGCAGACTGCCTGAACTTAATGTGTATGGTCATGATTATCCGACAAGGGATGGCAGTGCAGTACGTGAAGATCTCTTCTCAGTCTATTATTCATCTTCAACGAATTATTGACCTAATTTCATAGTTCTTGTTAAGCACGCACCTACTCATGCCAAAGTAACTTGCTTTTAATCAACAGATCAGAGACTACATCCATGTCATGGACTTGGCAGATGGTCACATTGCAGCTCTGAGGAAGCTTTTTACCACAGAAGACATAGGTGATCTTTAGATGTTCTTTTTGGTTTATTCTTGTAGATCAATAGTTTAACATCGTGTCGTCCAATAGAAAGGTAATACTCTCGATTATTTTCATAGGTTGTACTGCATACAACTTGGGGACTGGATGTGGTACTTCAGTCCTTGAAATGGTTGCAGCATTTGAGAAGGCCTCTGGCAAGGTAAGCTTCCTCTAGGATCTATTTTTATAGATGCTTCTAGGTTCTTACTCGTTGACATTTTCCTGTTTGCTTACAGAAAATTCCCATTAAACTGTGTCCAAGGAGACCAGGAGACGCTACGGAGGTTTTCGCCTCCACTGAGAAAGCAGAAAAAGAACTTGGCTGGAAGTATGTCCTATATCCTATCCGTTTTTTCAGCATTCATCGACTCGATCTCTCTTGTTTCCCTTTTCATATGGTCACTTAAAGATGGATTCATGTGATTTGCTCGATCATGCAAATAATTATTGACGATCTGTTTCATTAGAAACTTCTTGTGCTAATATTACTTGTAATATTTTATGGCTGACAGTCATTTCCTCTTCAATACTCTCGATAAGTAATTTATTGCTATTCATCTAAGAATCCTTTACCAAAAGATACTAACCGCCTATGCTCCACGAGTAAATAGTTCCTGTTGGTCATGCTCTACTCTTTCTTTGGTATAGCTGTTTACAAACTTATAGATCAAGTTCTTCCATTTCTTTTTGGTTTACGCGATTGTAAGTTCCACCACTTATGAGGCAGGTGGTCTTAGACAAATACAATTTTCAGGGATTTTCAAGATGAATTGACAATTAAAATTTCCTATGTTGGTTTGTCATGCTGTCGAGGTGCTAAAATTGGTAGCCATAGACTAGGGAATTGGTCATATTGTTCCGTTTCCTTTTGGATCCTAGTCTCGACGATACAAAAAATTTTCTGTCAGGATTGCCTCCATAATAGAAAATTCATAGAAATTGCTTTTTCCTGATTAACTGAGTAATGTTTAAGATGTAGATAGATCGATAAATTGAAGAATATATTCTGACTGCCGATTTTTCATCTCCTCTTTTCAGGGCCAAGTATGGTGTGGAGGAAATGTGCCGGGACCAATGGAACTGGGCAAGCAACAATCCATGGGGCTATCAGTCCAACCCTTGAACAATTTACAGCTGGGGATATACCACTTAGCCATTTTACATCTTTAGGGATCACCAAAGAGGTGAATTGAATGTTGGCAAAGAACACTTGAATCGGAGTTAGGACCAAATCACTTTTTGAATTTGATATGTTTACATGGAATTTATAATTTTCTCTTCATTTTCGATTGCAAAGATTACGAGTCTTCTCTCTTACCTCGAAATTAAAAACAAAATTGAATATACCCCGAGAAAGAATATGATTTTCGCTTTCTAGCTGTTACTTGCGCAGCCGCTGAACACAACAAACTCGTTAACATATTTGGCGTGTGATGCACTTCAAAGTTTCGTGCTCATTATGATGACATTTAATTAATCCCAAATTGAACACATTCTAGTATCAGATGAGTCAGCTGACAGATGGTCACGCCCTCCTTTTGTTACTTGCTTATTGATTGCTAACAGCAAGTGTGCTGTTCTTTTATTAGTACTGTAATAAAAAAGCATGACTAGTCAATAAAAAATAGTTGACGTAAAGCATGTTTCCTTGGGTGTCACCTGCCTCATCTTCCTGTAATTGGTGGACGTAAAAGATCTATTATCTCCTCCACAGCATGCACAGATGAAACAAGACTTTAACCAAAATTGACTGACAACATCGGGTGTCCGAAAGAACCAATTTTTTCTCAGAAGACGCGGAGAGATTTTTGCATGTGACAGATATTAATGGAGCTTGGACTTCTGAAGGTGCTTTCTTCGAAATTCTAAGGAAATTCTTAGCTATTACACTGAGATAAGGACACACTGATGCTAATTTGAACCTCATATTAAGTCAACCCTATGGTCCAGAGGGCCCCACCCTCAACATCTCGGTTGAAGTTTGAGGAACCTTCATTTCAAGAAAGGAGCAGTTGAAAGGAATCAATCCATCAAGAGCTCTCTTCGAAGGATGACATGGTGATTGCTTCTCCAACAATGGACGGCACATCTCCCGCTACTTTCGCCCAGCACCTCCCGACGCCTTCACCGTTCTCGTTCGAGGTCGCCTCTAACCGGTGGAGTGCGGCGCCGTCGATCCAACTCTCTAGTCTCTTCCTCCGGTTCATGGCGCTAATTCTGTCCTTCATCTCAGCTCTCGCGCTGACAACCCCGCCAAAGAAGAGAGGTCAATCTGCATCCAGCTTCAGTCAGCACCCTGAATTGATGTAAGAAGAACTCTCTCAATGTATTCATCTCTTATGCAATTTAAAAGCCTCAAAAGGGCTACGAAACTTGTATGGAAAGAGTCCGTAGTTAGTTCGTAGCACAACCTATTGCTGAGCCTGCACTTCACTTCTTTTCATGCACAGAAGGCCATTCGATGCTCACAATTTATTTTCCCCCTGTTGCTTCCTGGCAGGTATTGCTTCATTGTAACCGTTGTGGCTTTCGTCTACTCAGCTTTTCAGCTTTTCAAAGGTGTCTGTGATATTTCCTATAGAGGGATTCTAATCTCAGACAGGTTCTCGGACTACCTTAGCTTCATCCTTGATCAGGTAAGGGACATTTGTCGACAGTTCTGAGTCAGTTTCTTACTATTGCTTCTCTCCGTCAAGAAACCTGCATTTCTTTGTTACCGTATGGCAATATTAAGGCCGACATCTTACCGCATGATGCAGTTGGTGGCTTACCTTCTCATTTCGAGTTCTTCAGTGGGGATACAAGCAATTCAACAGCCAAAAAGGGCGACACCCCTCTGGACGCCATCTGTAATATCCATTAGCATGTCTTTTGCAGTCTTCCTGGTCTGTGCTCTATTGTCAGGTTACAAGCTTTGTAAGAGAATTATTTGGTGATGCTTTTTGGTATGTGCATGCGTGTTGCGTTTGATGGAACAGAATAGTATGCTCGTGGATGAATTGAGGTCTGACCTCTTGAAGCAACTCTTTTTTTGGTAGACAATTCATTATAAAGGCATCTACAACGCTCTAAGCAATTCTAGGGGATCCTCAGCATATATAATCACCAATTAGTAATAAGTACTACATACTAGCAAGAAAATAACCCCAAATTTTGTCAGTCGGACTGAAGCTGTCGCTCGGTCGATTGCTCATGTAGTATTCAGAAAATTATCAAAGTAGAATCACGACTTATTAGTAAATTAGCCATAACAGCAGTCCATCCATCCTATAATTCCATTTGAAGATAATATCATTCAACTAACACAATCCAAGACTGCTATGAAACGGTGTGCATGACTTTTAGTAGACAAAAAGAGGGGGATCTGTCAACCATCGCAATTTCCAATAGACTATCTGATACAGCTAGTAGAAAGAACAAAAAAGGCCCCTTATCTTGTGGGCTCCAAAGTCCTCTCTTCCTCCCCTGTCATGACAAGCTTGCCCTCTATAAATTCACAAGCAGGAATCTGAACCCCGAGCTGCTTCTGCAGTTTCTTGACAACGAATACTTCAGGCTCCTCACATATCGAAACCACAGTACCCTTCCTACCAAGCCGCCCAGTGCGGCCAGCACGATGAGCATAGTGAATGGAGTCTGTTGGTAAGTCCAGATTAACTACAAGATCGCATTCCGCTACGTCCAAACCCCTCGCTGAAAGCTCATTTGTCATCAGAACACGCAAATCGCCATTCTTGAACTTCTTTAAAGTTGTTGATCTAACAAGCTTACCCAGATCGCCATGCAACTCTGCAGCATCAATGCCACGGGCCTCTAGCTTAAAAACAGCATCTTTCAGCTGCTTAGTGTTGTTCATGAAAGCGATCACGGACTTGGCATCGAGCGCATGGATGCATCTTCTCATCGTGTCAATCTTGTGCTGTAGCTTTGTGACACAGTGATAGTGCTCCAAAGAGGGAGGTAGACTTGTAACAGCTGGTTGGCCGTGCAAATTTGAGGTTTTACTCGAACTTAACAAAGGCTTTGACGGATTAACAGGTTCAGACATTGGGGCAGAATCAAGCGTCATGACTTTTTCTGCTTGGACAAGCAGCGGATCATTTCCCCAGCTCCTAGCGGCCCTTATAACGGAAAACGGCACAGTTGCAGAAACCAGGATAGTCTGACGTTCTGCCCGCCTTACCATTGGACCTTTAGGCCCTCGTGCATCCGTGCTGGATCTTCTCCCTACATGTTCCAATATCCGATGCATATCCTCCCGGAAGTTAAACGAAAGAAGCTCATCAACTTCATCCAAGACCAAGAAACGACAATTGTGGGTGTGAAGCTTTCCGGCAGCACTTATTTCCGCAATCCGCCCCGGTGTTCCGACGACAATAGCTGGCTTATTTTTCTTCAGAGCTTCTTCTTGCCTAGAACGATTTGCACCCCCCACAAGCTGTTGAACAACTTTCTTATCAGCAGGTCCCAAGAGCTTCTCGAACTCCCTCACAATCTGCATTCCTAGCTCCCTAGACGGAGCCACGATAACGGCATCTATCTCCATTTTCTTCCCATGCTCATCCTTGCAATCAGGAGATTTCCTCCTTAGTGGACCTACTTCGGAAAGTATGGGGAGGAGATACGCCAACGTTTTTCCCGAACCTGTGTAAGACTGAATCACAACATCGTGATTCTTAAGAATGGTTGGAATTGCAGCAGCTTGAACATCAGTCGGAACCTTAAATCCTACAGCCTCCAACCTTTCTAACAATAACGGCGGCAAGCCAAGCTCTGAAAATGATTTCGCATTAAATGGACCCAGTCCTAATTCGAGCGGTTTTCTTGTAGCAACTGTCTTGAATTTATTGCTAGAAAGAGGCTGCACTTCACCCATTTTTTCTTTTCTAGGAGAAGTTTCATACTTAATTCTGTTAGTTTTGCCCCTATTTGTTTTACCAGTTTCAATCTTAGGACCAAGGCTTGCAAGAGTAAGGGGTCCCTGGTTACGTTCAACATGACGGAGCAATTGTCCACTCCCATGAAAGCAAGCAGCCCTAGAAAGAGAGGATAGCTTTTGGCAGGGCGAGGACAGGAGCAGCAACCGTGTTGATGATAACATCGGCATCTTCAACAATAATATCCCTCTGATAATTGTATCAACTTTGGAAAACCAACCTCAAGAAGCATGTAAAATTCAATCCCGGCTTAACTTCCCTTGACCACTGGAGGCTGACATGGTAACACCTTACTCTTTGAAGACGAAAAAGGAGATACACAACCAGTATATCTTTGAGGCCTTGGGACAGTTAACGTCGACGATCTTCTAGGGAAAACTAACCTTTAGGGTCTTCAGAAAGAATGTTTAGTGAACTACAATCAAACAAAAAGAAAAGTATAAAATGTCTGCTGGCAATGAGGTCAAACTGATGCTAGCATTAGTGTCGACATGCGAACAGTGCGACTCTCCTACCATAGATTGGATTCTCAATTTTACAACAAAAAGATTATCATAGACCCCCTGATTCAGATCTCGACCAACATGCAAACGTGCCCAAACAAAAAACTAAAACATGTATATCATTGGACACATGGTGGCTGATCCAACCTCTAAAAGATGCATGCCCGTGTACAAAAGGACACGCCTGAGCATCGTACTCTAAGAGACTGATGTCCCACCGCCAGTAAAAAGCGCACGATACCCTGTACTTCTCGCGCCTTAGAACACAAAACCTTCCTTCGTTGTCTCGTAGACATTTCCTCGAACACCATGAGAGGTGTTAAGCTTTATCATCCTGGCGTCGAGCTATTTTTCCGCAGGACCTTCCCTACAGTATCGTCACCGCAGTAGCGTTTAACCACCAAGTTCGGAAGGATTGGTGTGGTTCCTCTACGCCTAGGACACCAGAATATCGAACCATGAACGAAGAAAGGCATGAGAGAAAAGCATATTGACTAGTGATTGTGAGGCCCCAATTCTTGACTGGAGGGGACACCAAAGGCCGCGTGACAGTTACACGGCAGTTAACGAACCCAAGACGTCAGCCCACCCAACTCGCGAATCACACAATCAGCCGCGCCAATGCTTCGATTTCCCTTATATTCAACTCCGCCAACGATAAACGAAACCAAACGAATCAGTTCCCTCAATAGAGACATTTCCTCGAACACCATGAGGGCGTGACAGTTACACGGCAGTTGACGAACCCAAGACGTCAGCCCACCCAACTCGCGAATCAAACCAATTAGCCCCGCCAATGTTTCGACTTCCCATGTATTCAAACTCGCCAACGGAAAACGAAACCAAACGAAACGGTTCCCTCGGTCGAACTTCAAGGATGCTATCTCATGAATATGAAAAGAGAGAGAGAGAGCGATAAACGCAAACGAAGACGGAACACAGAACGAATTGAACTCCAGCACGGGCATTCGCATGCGCTAGGAACGAACCTGTAATGGGTGCCGTGCGCTTTCGTCAGTGCAAGGCTACAATGGAGGAAGAGATTTGCAGGGCAGGTGGTGTTTGCAGTGGTGGGGTGCAAACGCGGGGGCCTGAACGTCGGTCGGACCTAATCTCGTGGAACTGCGATTGCCTTAAGAGCCCCCCAAAAAAAACAGAACAGGAAAGAAATTTCCAAAAACTATAGCGATTTAACTCATTTTTTTTTTATCTTGTGTATGTCTATATATTAGTTTGGATAAATTTATTCTTGGTTTTGCTTACGAACGTGCATAATGGACGCTCGATTTGCTTAAAAAAAATATTTGTATTATCCATGCTGGTGTCATTCATCTCGATTTTTTTCTTTTTCAGGTTCTACAGCAGCCGACGAATGGGACAATGGAGTTATCGGTAAGGGATTTTTTGTAGTGGGATTTTGGTACAAGTTGAAATAGTTACACTATATGTTTGAGTCGAGGATTTTGGTGGTGGAATTTCGGTATTAGTTTGTTAGTCACACGTATATTATAAAACGGTACACTGTTAATCACAGAACCGAAGTCCTAAAGTATGTGTGTGTATAGATTTGATGACAAGATTAATGTTTGTTATCAATTATATATAATAGTGAAATAGTAACCACTTCTTCTTAGAGTTACAAGTGAAACTGATTCCCTGCACAGTATAAAAATAATAGGGCTACATTATTTAACAATCAACACCTTCGTACCATTGGGGAACAATTAGATATAATAGAATTGTATGTTCGACATTCATCTTCTCAAATTGCATCAATACCAGAATAGTCGCCGATCTTCAAAACATTTGAGTTCCCTGAAAAATATAAGGGTTAATATCACGAAAAACCCCGAACTAGTACACCTGTAACAATTTTACCCCAAACTATTTTTTTTACCACAAAAAATCCCAAACTGGTACACATGTGATAAATTTACCCCAAACTAATATTTTGACCACTAAAAATCCCAAACTGGTACATTTGTAACAAATTTACCATCCGTTAGTTTCCATTAAACTGAATTAATACAACAAAAAATCATAAACCGGTACACCTGTGAACAATGGAGGGTAAAACATAAAATTGGTATATCAATTAACTATCGCGTGTCATTTAACAAAGTAATTTGACATTAAAATTTAATGGAAACAAACTAAGGGTAAATTTATCACAAGTGTACTAGTTTAGAGTTTTTGGTGATCAAAGAATTAGTTCGGGGTAAAATTGTCGTGGATGTACTAGTTTATGGTTTTTCGTGGTATTAACCCAAAATATAACAAAGAATTTGCCAAAATCGTAGAAAAGAAAAAATAATCTTTAAGAAAATCACTCAATACTAGATACCCCAGATTAAAAGGTTTAGTCATGAATGATGCTCGACATCAAGTCAACGTTCTAGATAAATCTTCCATCACCGAATCAGATAATGAATCCAATCCTGAAGTAAATAAAATCACGTGGAAACATTCATAAACAGATTTATTACTCTAGAGCCACACCTCCAGCCCCAGTTTTTTTTTTGTAAAAAATCACCTGAGCATACGAATGAGATAAGAAACTTCTGACAATAGTATTGATTAACTCCTACCCTTGGGGAAGGGCCGCCTATAAAACAACGAGAAGTTAGATCATCCCATCACGAAGCAAAATGAAGCCATAGAATTCAAAATAAATATTCTCCTGATGCAATCTACGAATGAGATATAGACGGCGTTGCTGACAATAGTATTATTAACATCCTTAAATCATATTGTTACAGTGGCCACTGCTTATAAAATTCAACGAGAAGTTTAGATCATGACCCATCACGAAGCAAAAGGTGAAGCAACCCATCAAGAAGCAGAAGAGTCAACCAAGTCATCATGACACGGAAGAATCAATACAATCATGATTGCATTGTAATAATATTACTTGCATTATAAATTGCATCGCCTCTCGCTGGGAGGAGGCAGAGCCTTTTTACATTGTAGAATTTACAATTTGTAGGATCGGATCCCTTTCCCCTGCATTTGTACACCCCTCTGCTGCGCAAATCTCTCTTCCATCATCTTGTAATCTTTTTATTAATCTAATATTAAAACTAGGGGTGATCGATTTCTAATTTCGTCGTCAATTTTTAAAATTGGGAACAAGAGATCGGACCGGTTGATTCTAGGATCATGAGCCAGTCATTTAGGGTTTAGTTTACATCTTACTAATTTTTGTCAATAAATTTATGCCGACAAAGTTCATTTAGAATTCAGTTCACATTTTACTAATTTTTGTCAATGAATTTATGTCAATGAAATTCGCTTAAGGTTTAGTTCATATTTTACTAATTTTTTTTGAAAAAAAAAAAAAAGTAAGTCCGTCCGGTCCGATCAATTCAGTTCCCCTTTGGAATCGAGAATCGAACCGCCCGGTCACCGGCCACTTTTAGGAACCGGTAACCGGACCAACATTCCCAAAAAATGGACCAAACCGGCCAATCTGATCCAATCCAATCTAAGTAATTTCCGATTTGGACGATCCATTTTACACACCCTTAATTAAAACTACCATTTATATGATTAGTTTTATGATATGTTGATTTCTTTTCATTATATATATGATAATAAATTAATGTTGGTTAACGTGTGTGAGGTGGACATCCTTTTTGTTTTGTGGGTCTGAAGGTAACATCCTTTAAGTAGGAGGACGACCGTGTCATTGCCTTCGTGTTTATGGAGGTTTTGTTTTTGGTCACCTCATGTTTATAGAGTTAGGATGTGGCGGAATTAGTTTTAAAAAAAAAACAGGTAGGTGTAATAACTTAGGATTCTGGATACCCTTATTCCATCTTTACCAAGTCGCTTGAAAACAACAGGTAGGTGGGATTAAGTCTGTGGGTTTTGCTTGTTCAAAGTGAGTAGCTTTCTGGGAGGAAAAGGTTTCTAATCGAAGACTATTCAATGAATTTTAGTAAATGAGCGTCTATCCTTTGCCATGTCCATGAACAATTTCTTTCGCTCTCTCTTTTTCTTTCTCCGAGAAGAGTATACTAAACAAGTACTTTTATTGTGTGATCCTCACCGTTCCAATGCTCGTGATCTTTTGAACTGTGTAGGGCTCTCGTCAGAGACACATGATCCGAAGGCTAGAACGACGTGGGCAACGGTAGTTTTGGCCACAAATTTTAGATGGGTGACCCACTACTACTATAGGCTATTGATGGCAACTGTTGAAGCATCAACCAACGTGGTGGCAGCTGTGCTCGACAATGATTGGTAGGATATTATAGCAGCCCATGGTTCGCCAACTTAAGATGGGCTATCTCATCTCAAAAAGAAAAGAGAAACAATTACAAGGGTATGTTTGTTTCGGAAAAAATTTCGTGAAAACGGAAAATGTTTTTTCGGGTCTTCTCCTTTTACGGTTAGGGAATTGATTTTCCTAACTTTAAGTATGCATATTTTTTTACCGTAATTGATTTTCTACTGATCGATCATTTTCAGCAAATCAAATACGTGAAAGTCCAGAAAACTGATTCGTATGAAATTCTTTCGCTCAAACAAACATACCTTACATAGGATCGTAAGTGATAAACATTGCCACAACTTGTATGTACATGGTTTTTGTTTGTCTTCTTATTCATTTGCAGATGGAAGTTGCCACGATCTTTATTTGGATACAAATGATGTAGAATGCGTTGACGGGTAAAGTAAAATCCCAATTACCACCATAATTACCCAATTACCACTTTCCCCTCTCAATGATGAGCCACTCACATCCTTCCAACAAAAAGATAACAACACCATTGGACATCGGTCCCTCCTCCTCGGGCGACGGCAAAGGTCAACGTCCTTTCGTCTTTCGAGCTGTCCATCGTGATTGTCGCGTGTCTCAGGAGCATTTTCTACACGCAATGGGATCAACCTTGTTCCTCAATGCAAAAGAAGATAGGAATGATGTTTTAACTTGTGGAAAATTGTCCGAAAAAAGTCTCCGAAACCTTTCATGCGTCGGTCAATTCGGCTTTAAATCTTTCAATTCGGCTAATTTCGTCATAAAATTTTTAACCATTTGTTAATGTAATCTTTTCGGTCAATTTTTTATTGGAAATTACTGACATGCAAGTTCAGGTAGCGCCGACCGTCTGACGTGGGACGGCCGGCGTCCACGTCAACGATTTTCGGCTAAAATTGATCGGAATGACTACATCGGCATATCTTTAAAAGGTTTGGAATTAAATTGGCCGAATTGAAATGTTCAAAATTGAATTGGCCAGCGTACAATAGGTTTAAGATTTTTTGGACTATTATTCCGTGAAATTAGCGATTGGGATCGAGACTTTGAGTAATTATATAGATGATACCGTCGTCTGCGTGATCTTTTGAATTAATTAGCCTTTTAAATTTTGTATTCATTCCATTGGTGGGCAACCTCAATGACGAAATGGAAAAGGCTTGAAATTCTTTTGCGAAAAGGACATCCGGTTGTTTCCCCGGCCATATGCAGTGCAAAAAACCACCTGTGCACCCGGGTTGACGTCTTCCAGAGTATTGCTTGGAACATCCACATCTGCATGCTGATGCATACATAAAAATTATCAATAATGCAAGTTGAAGCAGGACAAAGAAAAAAATTAAAAAAATTAGCATATGTGGCCGAGTTTCCATGGCCTTTGGCCATTCCCCGTGTGGAAAGGTTAGTGAGCTAGAAAGTTGCAAGACTACTGTCAACTATTCTAAAAACTTAAACTGTTAGATGAAGGCGTGGTTTAATATTTAAATATTTTAACATTTCTCCTCACGCTTAGTCTGGTCTTTTTGCCTAATACTAAGCATGGACATATTTAATTGGGGAGGCAAATGGGATCCGGAAAGATTTAAACTCGGGACCTCCAGCTCTGATACTATCTATGAATTTCTGTTATAAAAGTTTAAGCTGTTAGATGAAGCCGTTGTTTAATATTTAATTATTCTAATACCGATAACTCCTCGTAAACGATGTATCAAGGTTCCAATACCCTCAATGACTTTTTCATCCTCAAAAGAGTTCCGCTCCTCCTGGTGGAGCGAGATTTGATAATAGAAAGATAAGGCGAATATTTTGTAAAGAATGTTCGTTTTTAGGTCAAGAAGCCAGAAATAAATGGCATAGAACTCGAAAAACCACTTTTTGAATGAATATAAATGCCAGTATTTATAGATGAATTATTTTTTGCATATCTTTGCGTAAATGCTTGGACTTAAAATAGTGGGAATAACAATCCGATACAACTCTCGAGTTTCTAGTTTTACTATTATAAAAATCATGTGTTAAAATTTACTTAAATGGAACAATATTAAAAAATTGTTACAAAGACCAACAAAATAAAAAGGTAATAAGAAGATGGCATATTTTTTGTGTCGATTTAGAAAAAGGATTTAAATGAAAAGATACTATATTATCTAGGCAATGGTGCAAATATGAAAACTTGTTAATAGTACCGAACGATTGATTTAATTATATTATGAAAAGTTGAGAGATTTGAGTGAATAAATTAAAATTTTATGAACTACATTGAACACTTATGAATAATCTGATGATCATATTGAATTAATTAAATGTCGAAGGATGACATTACACATTGGGCCAAAGTTTAGGGACTATAAGTGGCAATTTCCCTTTCGACCAAAAAAAAAGTGACAATTTCCCTTACCTTAAACATAAATAAGTTGCACAAATACAACAAATGCACCAAACTATGCCAACTATGACACAAATACCTCAAACTTTTTTTCGTATCATAAAAAATCATAAATTTAGCCACCGTGACTCAACTACTTCCAACTTTTTTTGTAACACGAAAAAATCCAAACTGATACATGTGTGAAATATATACCCTCTATTTTAGTTCCATCCGGATATATGTGGCGCATTAGTATGAGTTTAGGGAAAGTTTGGGGTATTTGTGTCACGATAAGCAAGTTTATGATTTTTAATGATACAAAAAAATTTGGGTATTTGTGTCACACTCACGATGGATATAGTTTAGGACTTTTTGTGGTATTAATCCATAAGTGCTTCTCGTCTTCATTTAATGCATGGGAAGAGGATTGATAATTGGAACCATACTATGAGTTTAGATTGGATTTCACAAAAGTACTTATTGACACGCACTAATGGAAAAGCAAGTTATATGAATATATAATCTTATAATAACTATATAATAGCCAAGTGAACATCATCAATGTGTGAAAATCCTAATTTGTCTAAATATATAAGAAAATATTTAACTAAAATATCTCCATTAATTTATAATAATCATCTTTTAATAATACCAATAATTACTTTTCTAAGAAAATATCTCAATGACAAACGCTCAGTGCAAAATCTCCTACATCATTGATCCACAAAAACCCAAATATGTATAAAAGATGTCGCCCACTTTTATTCTCTAACAAAATTTAATGAAAACCTCACATTGGTTCAGAAATTAAGGACCCATTTCTTTTAAAAAGAACCACTTTAGTTTGGGTATCAATTTTGGCCTAACTATTTTTGTCTTAAAAAAAGGCACTTACCTTAACTTGGGTTCCAATTTATGGTCCAAACTTTTTCCAATCAGTACTCGTATTTGATCCCCTTAAGTTTCTATACAACGACGTCATTAAAGATGTGACGTGTCATTCCACACGTTCCCACCACTTATTGCGGTGTGGACGTGGACGGATTGCGTACAATCGGAGAGCTCCCCTATTTTCGGACATCGCCGATCGCGAGTTCAAGGTTCCATTTTTCTTGATTTCATAACACGCTCGGATTAGGTGAACTGCTCGTTCGTGCCTCGTTTTCTCTCAAGTAATCCATTTCTTCAATCCATACGCCAAAAAAATCCAACCTTGAATGCTCGCATTTCCTTCTCTTGCTTGGTTGAAGACTAATCAGATTTTGGCTGCAGCTTCGACGCGCGACAATCGCAAGGCTGCCAGGTACATGTATAATGACACGTCGAATCTCCAACGAAATTATCAAGACTCGAGTTAAGGTAAGTGCTTTCTCACAGGATAAAGAAGAGTTGGACCCGAACCGGGAGGCGGGTTAAAGTCGAAATTATTTTAAGCTCTTTCGAATTTGTGTAATTAGGACAAACTGACTAAAAGTTCTTTCGTGAATTTCTACAATGTCTCTCTCGATTGGGTCATGTGGATAATGATGCCACCCACCTTCACGCGAAAGTGGGGAACATTTTTTTTATTGTTTCTGTCCGCTGTGCGTGGCTCTGTCCCAAATTCCACGTCACATCACCGTCGGACACCACTCGAAAACCAAACCAAACCAAACCAAACCCCATCGTCTGTCGTCCGTCGTCTGCTGAACCAACTTTCAAGAAACCGGACCACATGTTCGTCCTCGCCCTCCGCTGGCCAATTCCTCCTCCAAACACGCTCGAAACTCCAGCTCTGGATCGAGATCTGCCTCCGCATGACGAGCCACAAGACCGAGACTGGCCCGATTTCCGTCGAGATCACCGTCATATCGGCCCGCGGCCTCAAGAACCCGACCCTGAACGCCCTCTTCTCGCGGCGCCTCAACCCCTTCGCCACCCTCGCCGCCTCGCCGAGCAGCTGCCGCCAGGCCCACGCCACCAGCGTCGACCGCCGGGGGGGCACGAGCCCGACGTGGAACGAGAAGTTCCGGCTCTCCGTGGACCCGGCCTTCTTCGCCGACATCCGCTCCTCCGTCAGCCTCGCCGTCCGCGCGCGGCGGCGAGGCGGCGGCGAGGCCCTGCTGGGCTGTTGCCAGATCCCGGCCACGGACATCCTCTCGCCGGCGGCGCCTGCGGGATCCGTCGGGTTCCTGAGCTACCGGCTGAGGGACCGGGACGGGACGAGGGGCCACGGCACGGTGGACGTCTCGGTGAGGGTCGTGGTCGAGGACGGCTGGGCGAGCTGTGCGGACGCGTGGCCGACGGTGATTGGCTTGCCGGTGGCGTCCTTCTGCGGGTGATCACTGGATCAGTACGAGACGGGGAGCTGTGGAGCGGGGCCCCCCCGACCTGATCGAGCGGTCAGGATGGGGTCCATGATTTGATTTTTTTTTTTTCACTTTTTCTGTAAAAGAACAGTGATTTGGTTTTGCTTTGTGATGGAGAATCGTCTTCCTTTTTTGTAATTCTTTTTCGGTTTTATCTTCTTCTTCTTCTTCTTTTTTGTTTAGAGATTTGCTTTACACAACAAGTGAGTGTGAAAAATCCTGCTCGCAAGAGTATGATCAATCCTTTAAAGTTCTAGATCTTTGATTATCGTAACATATTGGCCGTTAAATGAGTGACGTGTGTACTTAGAGATATTTGCGTAACCAAATTCGCCCACACACGTGACCCATCTTAACCCAAATTCATCCACGCACGTAACCCATCCAACTTACAAAAATTCTTTGCCCTGATATGGACTTGATAAAAATCCATCTTCTTAACTAATAATTTGTATTGTACTTTTAGGAAATATTCTTATTGGTCTAAAAATGTTATGCATGCCTGTAGAGGGTAACACTCTTTGTCTCCGGTAATTATTCGGTCTTCGTAAGATATACGGGTATGTCCGTCAGTAATGAGTCCGTCAGTCAACAGTCGTCTGAACGCATAAGAAGTTCGTTGCTATTGATTAAAAGAAATGTAATTATTAACTTCTCATGGCAAAAAAGGAAAAAAATTAAAATCGAAACGGTCGATTTCAGGGCGAATAGATTCCAGAACAAGAATCTAGAAAGGCACCATGCCAGAGCCGCTTCCTGGTAATTAAAGTTGGGAAGTGAACCGAATCCTAAAACTGAACCGACTGGTTCTGGGACCTGAGAACCAGCTCTGCCTTTTTTGTGACTTCAAACAAATTTCAAGTGATATAATTATTCCATACGAAAAAATGAGTGAATGCGTGAGCAAATATGGTTAGCCCGGCGGTGCATTTAGCTCATTCCATTTGCCGAGTTCTAACACCCAAAATAAGGCTCGAGCTCGCTAAGTAATCCTGAGATGTTGACCTGCAACCCGACATCTCTCATGCTTCATCGCAAATTGGCCAACATGTCCTGATCTTCTCCGGGCTGTTTCAGGCATATTCTCGTGCCTGAAAACAGCCGTAAAACACCAACTAAAAATCAAATGAAATCGATAAAAGAGACCGTTTTTCCTCGAGAGTTGCAATTTCTCGGAGTAGGCACTTGAAAAATCTGTATGCACACCCATAGCTAGATGAAAATCAATCTATTGAATGCATCAAGCAGATGTTGTCACTGTCATAACATGTTAAATCAACACATCACGTGTTGTTGGCCCGACAAAGAAAAGGTAATATTGACGCCTTACTTCTCACGTTTCAAGTGGTCTCGTGACTTTTACGCTTGAATTCGGAAACTCGTCCAACTGAAAGTACACATCCTCCCGAAAGGATTTATAACAAGCATCTGATATTTAACCGCGCCATCGTCAACAATGGCGAAAGCCGATGGCTTCTTGAATCATCAGACTCGGTAAAAATCCAGACATGAACATGTACAAAGAAGGAGAGGTTGGAAACGTACATACTAGGACAGACAGACAGGCAGTTGCTAGTACAACTACCACGGCGATAGGAAAGGACAGCCCACAACTTGTCCTTCAACATGCTCTGAAAGTCGAATTCTCTTGAACTATAAAAGTTCAGGAATATGTAGTTTGTGCCAGGCACTCAGGCCTTCTACACTTCCTCCGATCCATTGCCGGTACTCTTCAAGATGTTATACTTGCAGAGTGGGCAGGTAGCATTTATGTATAGCCATTTATCTACACAGGTACAATGAAAATGATGACGGCACGGAAGTTCCCTCAGATCGACCCCGTCCTCATATCCCGAAAGGCAAATGCAACATTCCTACAGTAAGCACAGATACCAAATTCAAACATGCAGGAACACGGTGGTGTTTCAGCAGGCTTTATATCGACAGAGGGATGGTAAAATGTCATGGAAGGAACAATTTCTATTTTCACCAATTATCAGGTAAAAAGTTGCTAACATTTAATCTCTCATACTTCTATACGAATACTAACAGAAATTGCATTGGTTAGTTTTGATCAAATAAAAGGGAAAAAAGAGATCCGATGGAACTCAGGAGAAAATTGGACTACGTACTGCATCATCTTGCGATAGGTAATGTTCAATGGGCGAGTCTTTGGTGCCATATTCGGTCATTACGCCTCCAAGAGGTCCCTCTACATCAGAGATATGTTTCTCGCCGTCACCAATTTTCCGGAATTTGAACTTGGGCAGTTGCTCAATATCTTCTTTAGATGCTCCTTCCTGTATTGACGTAAAGTGGTAATATCAGTGAAAACATAGTCCAAACTGCCTGCCAAAACCAAAACCAAAACCCAAAAGATCTCTGAAGTACTAAAACATAAACATGAAATCATAGACACAGTTCCTCATATGCATGGTTGCAGCATCATGAATTGCATTCATCAATTAATAGAACACATAGTAAGAATACAAGCAAAGATTCAATGCCACTCATCACACTTAGCTAGACAAAGAAAGTCAAATAACTAATTAACTTAGCCAGAATGGAGGATAGTAACATGAGGATACTGGTTTGTCCAAGTTTATTCCAGTATATATGATGTAAGATCCTGCTTCTCTAAACTGATCTCTCTGCGCTTCTACCTGATTATGCTACTGAACAAATTATCTATTTTGTTAGCAAATAATAGCGCTTTTATATCAGCTTGTACAGAGTTCCTGATAGCTCTCATACGGAGTAAGCTTTTTCTCTATTACAATTTATTAACAAGCAACAAAGGGAACTGTAGAACTCATCCAAGAAAAGAGTACGTTTCAAGGTTTGAATAATAAATAACCACCAAAGAAGTCCAAGCCTCGGAAAAATGTTAGGTAAAAGTACGGTTTTATATCACCAAAATGACTCGACCACAACATGAACCAGTGACATAGTACCGTGATTTCATCAGACAGTGTATAAGGAATCATAATCAAAACAGGGAACATCGTGTTAAAGGGACATATTTTTTGACATAATCCAAATGCGATGATAATCATAATCAAAACAGGGAACATCGTGTTAAATGGGTATATTTTTTGACATAATCCAAATGCGATGATAAGTCTGTAACATGATCCACACAAATACCTCGTGTCTCCTCATTCACCACTCCTCAACAACAACCTACCTTAAGTTTTTTCAGGAATTAATAAAACATATTGACGTCATCCTAAACATGCACGACATATAAGGTATTGCAACTAACTACAGAATGATTATCCCCACCTAAATCCACAGAACTGAAAATTCAAATAAGGAAACAAATTTTTCCCTTCTAAAGACCACAATAGTCCACTACTGGTGTATTAAGAATTATAGCTTGAGCGCACATGTTTAAGTTCAGCCTGAATATGCAAATAAAAAGTAGGAAAGCAAATAATATCTGCTCAACTAGCTCAACATTGAAAATATCCTCAACTAGCTTATCATGGAATATCTCACCGACTAGCTCAGCATTGATTCTTTAGGGGAAAAAGCATCAATTATTTCCTGTAAACTATCCGCTCATTATCAGCATCTAACTTACGTTGTTTGTCAAAGTTTTTCCATGAATTTATTAATTATCATTGCACCTTCCATGACATGGTTGCATCTAAATCGACACCATTAAATGACAAGAACAATTTCCAATCCTTGTAAAGAGACATTTACCACGTCACTGATTATCACATCCTAAAATTAACATTGCACTCTTCAATTACAACCCAACAGAAAAGAATATTTAGTGAAGGCAAGCCAAACTCTTTGCAACACAAGGTGTACAGACAGAAGACACTCTGTAGGGCCTCTGCACCTCCAAAATCTAGTTTCAGGTAGACAACATTTGGCTACACACCTCGCAGCAGATTTTCAAAAGAGGATAGAAACAACTGGGAAAGTAAGCTATATATGCCAACCAACCAATTCAGCAATCAGTTCCTTTTTTCCTTTTGGCCTTTAAAAAGAAGGTCGATTATCACAGCATCACAAACTTTAATTGCTCGCAAGTGGCAAATAATACTAGTTCCTGTTAAGGTTCCAGTGTTATTGCCAATACAAAATGCCCAGCATGGTTGGGCACATAAACTAGCAAGACAAGACATAGTGAAAAATCAAACGGTCAAGAAATGAAATTCTTATCCCCAGCGAGAATCGAGACGTACCTGGTCTGTTACAGCATAAAGAAGTGCAATAATACAAGGGAGGCAGCAACACACAGCTATGCCAATGACACATGCCAGGGCAACACAGAAGACTACAAAGAACACGTCGAACCCTAAAAAGATGATGCAAAGCCTTCATGCATAACAAGGTAGAAGAAAGTTAGATTTTCTCATTAGAGCTGTAGTTTGAATCAAAAAGCAACAAAAGAGTCAAGACGAACCAATATAGCTGAGGAGCATCATGTGCTAAAGTTTGGCCACCAGCTGAAACCCAGTAGAAACCAATGATCCACCAAATGAAGGAAAACATAGTGTTTGCTGACTCCAGATGCTTCGCTACACTACTGAAATTACATGAAAGGATAACAAGTGTCAACAGAGCCCTGCAATATCACACTAGAATAAAATGTTGATCACTTAGTCAACCAAGGGCACTTAGCAAGCAGCACATCTTGCACTATCTCCCTGAAAGCAACCAACTATGATCCACATTCACCGATACATTCAGACTTTCTCCATAAGAGAGTAAATCAACCGCTGGTCAGTATATCATTGCACAGCAATGCAGTCCCATAATCGGAGCTAGAAGATAGCAGCATGATCCGCATAAGAAAACTATGTTTCAGTAGCAAAGACATGATTTTTGCCTATAGTTCAACTTCAATTTTTCTTTGCTGTGCTAATAATGCAGATATGAAGTTTTGCTAACGACCCGCTAAAATTTTGATGATAGTCCAACTTCAAAATATCCAAGAAGGAAATCTATCTCCTTACTGCTCTACACCGCCCATCATTCGCTTCATTTCACGTACGCTCTTTCCGCGAATAAATTGACATTAAACTAACGGGCTAGTAATGAACAAACCAGCAACGATTCTCAAAATGAAAATCAAAACACATAAATCAAGCTCAAAAACCCAATTGAACATTGACAAAAAACCCCACAAACTACCTTCTTCCCTCCTCGCTAAACTGAGCCAAAGACACATACTCCCTCGGCGATTCCCCTCGAGATCCCCCCGAATTCTCCTCCTCGAGGGAGCTATCGGATCGCGGCGACGGCTGGCGCAACCGCCACCGCCGCTGCCTCCTCCTGTACTCATCCACCACGCAAACCACGTGCAAAATACACTGCAACCCGTACCCCACGATCCACACCCTCAGCGGCATCGTGGGGCTCTCGCCCCGGCTCACGACCATGACCCCCACGGCGGCGGCGACGAAGGCGAAGTTCCAGAGCACGTCGAGCACCACCACGGGCTTCGAGTAGGCCCAGTCGCTCTGCCGCTCCTCGAGCTGCTCCGCCGCGGACTCCCTGACCATCATCGACGGCTCCCGCATCATCCGCCGGCTGCTGGCGCGGCGCAGGAACCGCGCCGCCTCGCGCAGGCCCTGGCCTCCGTTCGAGGGGTCGTCGCGGGAGCTGCTGGAGCGGGACAGGAGCGGGGTGAGGTCGACGGTGACGTCGTCGGAGGATCGGATCGGGGATTGGGCCGTGGCGGCGTTGGTGGTTCCGGCGGTCGATGCCATTTTCTTGTTCTCGCGCGTCGCGGGTTGCCTCGGCGAGCTATCGAATTGGGGTCTCTCTTGGTCCGGTGGGCACGCACTAAGCCATGGGAGGGAAGCAGAGAGGAGCGGATTTGGGGGGCGAGAACTCGCGGTGAATCTTTCGAGGGGATGAAGACAACGAAGACGAAGAAGAAGCAGGAGGAGAGAGAGATCGGATCAAGAAACGGCGATTGTTGTCCGGGTCGTTTCTCTCTCTGTCTGTGTGCGGGTGGGGGTTGGGTGTGTGTCGTGTACGATGATGGAAGGGACAGCGTGGAGGTTAAGCATGGACTGTCATGAACGCGCGGTGGCCCGAGAATAACCACCGCTTTCTATGTGTCGCGCTCGTTCCCTTTCCTTTTCTTTCTTTCTGGGGTCTTCTTTGTTCGTGGTTATCAAAAATAATTTCGGTAAGCCTAGCCAAAATAATTTGGATTAATACCGTGGAAAATCCTAAATTAATATATTTATAATAAATTTATTTTAAATTAATTTTTTATTATAAAAAAATTCTAAACCGATACACCTGTGATATCTTTATTCTCAGTTGGTTTTCATTAAATTTTACCGTCAATTTACCGAGTTGGGTGACACTTGACAGTTAATGGGCGTACCAGTTTGGGTAGGTATACCGGTTTGCGATTTTTTATGGTATTAATCCAATTTAACGGAGAGTAAATTTATCATAAGTGTATCAGTTTATGGTTTTTTTGGATCAAAAATTTAGTTTTGATAATCGAAAAATTAATTTTGGGTAAATTTTTTACATATGTATCATTTTGAAGTTTTTGTGGTAAATAAGACATCACGCGGTCCTTGGTACCGTTTTTTCCTCCACGTTGTCCCAATTCGCACGGGTGGGAACAAATTCAAATCCTTGAATAAAGTTACATGTGAATCGTGTGAATTCTTTTAAAAAGGCCCTGCTTCTTGATGTGTCACGATAATGATTAATTTAATGCAATAATCTGCTCAAAAGAAAAAATTAAAATTCTCATTAATTAAAAATCACGGTATCCGAAAATCTTATGATCATTTTTGTTTTATGGGATGATGACACAAACAGTCCCCCAACTTTTGCTTAATGTGCAATTTGATCTCTGAACTTTAGCCTAATATTTAATGTGATCCCTAAGCTTCTAATTTGTTCAATGTGGTTCTTGGACTTTTGGTGCATGTTCAATTTAGTCCTAGGACTACATTGAACATTTTTATATAGTTCACGGACTAAATTGAACATGCACCAGAAGTTCAGATATGACATTGAACAAATTAGAAGTTCATGGACCGCATTCCATATTGGGTTACAGTTCATGGGCTATATTGAACAAATTAAAAGTTCAAAGACCACATTGCATATTTGGTTAAAGTTCAGGAATTGATTGTGTCATTTTCCCTTGTTTTATCAAATTTGGTAAAGAAATTCCACTTATTAATCTTTAGTGAAATACTCTAAGTCCAAATTGAATTTTGAGTTGACTCGGATTCGGAACAAAGTAATTTGGTTGGTTCGGTTTGGTTTGAGCCAAGGGTCATCAGTTTCAAGATGGAACCGTCCACCCTAAATGAGTAATGTTCGAAACAAAACCGCCCATTAAGGCTGTGCATGGCAACTTGCCAAATAGTGTTTGATTCTGTTCTTTTGTTCCCAGAATCAGTTTGGGAATAAAAATCCGTTTGTTTAATTTTTTGATTAAGGCACAAATTCTTGCAAATTTGTGCCCAGGAATCGATTTAGACGAGAATCAAGAATAAAAAAAAGTAACTTCTTGATTAAGGGAACAAAAATGAGAATCGGTTTTTTTTTCTTCTTCTTTTTCTTGGTTTTTAATATAGCTTCTAATGTCCGGCGCGAGGGCCACCCTCGCCGTATCCGGCGAGATTAAAATATTTTAATAAAAAAATATTATTAATAAAAAAATTTTACCGACCATGGCCAGCGACCAGGCCATGGCGAAAAAAATAAAAAAAATATTATTAATAAAAAAAAATTTACCGGCCATGGCCAACGACTAGGCCATGGCGAAAAAAATAAAAAAAATTTATAAAAAAAATTTAATGAAAATATTTTTTATTAATAATATATTAATAAAAAAATATTTATAAAAAAAATATTTTACCGGTCATGGCCAGCGATCAGGCCATGACAAAAAAAAATAAAAAAAATATTTTCAATAAATTTTTTTTATTAAATTTTTTTTATATAAATTTTTTTTATTAATAATATATTAATAAAAAAATATTTATAAAAAAATATTTTACCGGCCATGGCCAGCGACCAGGCCATGGCAAAAAAAAAAAGAAAAAAATATTTTAGTAAAATATTTTTTTAAAAAATTATTAATAAAAAAATTATTTATAAGAAAATTTTTTACCAGTCATGCCAAAAAAAAAATTATTTTTAATAAAAGTATTATTAATTAAAAAAATTTTACCGGCCATGACCAAGAAGGAGGAGAAGAAAAAAAGAAAAGAAAAAAATATTAAAATATTTAAAATGTTATTAAAATATTATTAATAAAAAGAAATTTTATGCCGTTACCAAACGCATTTATGTTCTTTTACTATTTCAGGAATAAAAATTTTGGGCCGTTACCAAACGCCTTCAAATGCTCAGAATCAGTTCCCGGGTACAGAATAAAAAAGAATCATTTCTTACCAGAATCTGTTTCCCGGTACAGAATGGTTGCCATGCGCAGCCTAAAAGCCGGTTTTAGGCGATTTCCGATTTTTTTTATTTGCACACCCTGGTTTAAGCTTAACCCGTGTTGGGGTTTAAACGTAATTTAACGGAAGTAAGAGGGGGCAACAGCAAATAAATACAAAGAGAAGGAGGTCCTTCCGGTCTTCTACGACTCTACCGCGTCGGGTGGACCATTTTCCCTCCAAATCTCAAGAGAAAGGAAGGGTTCAGGGGAGTTTCGTGCGCGGTGAACGACGGCGGAAATGGCTTCGTCCTCCTCTTCGTCCGGCGCCGGAGCGAGCCACTTTGACATGCCGTGGGTGGAGAAGTACCGGCCGAACAAGGTCGCGGACATTGTCGGCAACGAGGACGCCGTCTCCAGGCTGCAGGTCATCGCTCGCGACGGCAACATGCCCAATCTCATCTTGTCCGTACGTCCTCTTCGCTTGTCCTCTGTTTCTAGCTCGAGCTTGCATTTGTTGTTTTTGCTCGGATTGTTTCTGCTATGTGCTTGGCCCTAATTTCTCCGAGAATATGGTGCCAAGAGTGAGATGGGTAGATGCAGTGTCGCCAGGTGCTTGTGAAAATTCCCGATGTAATCTGCCTTCTTGCTTTGGCCTCCTCCAAATCTTCTTCGCACATTGTAGAATCGCCTTTCCTGACTTATAGTCTTGGGTCTGGTATTTGGCAATTGCGCCTAGCAATTGGCTGTAGGTTTTTTGTTAATAAAGTCCTTCTTTCAGACAGGTGCTTTCTCCATGCCCGCTTCGGTTAGACAACAGTTGTGTGTCAATTTTCTGGGGGAAGCTTTCCGATGTGATTGGAATTGTTGGTTCGCAGAAGCTGGATTTTTCTCTTCTTTTTTTTTTTTTCCTGCAATACTCTTGTGAAACAAAATGGAAAGCCACGCATTCTTTAGTTGTGAAGTCGTTGTGGGTCGATGTGGGTAACGCTTTTCTTGCTCGTGTTGAAGAATGCTCGTGATAATTCTGACTACATCTCTATGTACTTTCAGGGTCCTCCTGGAACTGGTAAAACTACGAGTATACTGGCCCTCGCGCATGAACTTCTGGGACCAAACTATAAGGAGGCGGTGTTGGAGCTGAATGCATCTGATGATAGGCAAGGATTTGTACTTTTAAGTCTTTAACATTCGATCTGCTGTTTCTTCCTAGAGTAATCTTCTTATCACTTGCCTATTCAGGGGAATAGACGTTGTAAGGAACAAAATCAAGATGTTTTCCCAAAAGAAAGTAACTCTTCCTCTTGGGAGGCATAAAATGGTGATATTGGATGAAGCTGACAGGTATGACGTCCTACTTGATTAATGGCCAGACCTTATTCAGCTGAATTTTAGACTGATTATTCGATGGCCATAGAAGTTTTTCTGTTATTCCATTTTTACAATCTTTTTCTTTTGTCCTATCATACTTGTTGGTTCTTCGTCTTGTTGCACTTATTGAAGTACAATTCTTATACATTTTTCTTTATCGGGTTGGTTATTGGGGGCACTTTCGCTTCCTTGCCAATTTTTTCTCAAAATCAGCATGACTTCTGGAGCACAACAGGCTTTGAGGCGGACAATGGAAATATATTCAAACACCACTCGCTTTGCTCTTGCATGCAATATATCTTCGAAGATCATTGAGCCTATTCAGAGTAGATGTGCTCTTGTTCGCTTTTCACGATTATCTGACCAAGAAATACTTGTGCGTCTCATGGTGGTGATTGAAGCAGAAAAGGTACATGTATATGTTATGGATACTTGTCTCAATCTTGCATCTATTGATAAGTTAAACTGATCATTGTAGTGGAAGTTCAATATTATTGGCTTAGTTCTTGCGATGGCGCTACTTTGTTGGACTTGCCATAGTTTAGCCAAAGTAGTTCTTCTGTTTGATTACAGAATTGAAACCATCAAATGCTTTTTTTAAACTTAAGGTTAAGTCTGAAAATCTACTTTCCAAGCCAGGTAAACTAATATATCTTTGTTTCGACCAAAAAAAAAACTAATATGTCTTTGTGGTTGGACTTTCCAAACTCTACTGAGGTTTACTAGCTTGAATGCACCCTTTTAAGATGTTATCCTTTTAAGCTGGTCACAGTGTTGAAGTGTAGGCTTCCTATGGCTTAATTTGAACATTGAGATACTTATTGCATGTAGTCTAATATCTTTGAGAGCTGCTTCTATTTCGAATTAAAGGTGAATTCTCCCTACTTCAGGTTTAGAAGTGACACCGTGATCACAGGTTGCTTGAAGTCTCTTTGAGAAAAGTCAACTACACTTACTTTGTGATTAGAAGCATGTGGACTGAGAATAATTGGAAACATATTGTCCTTGAACAGCTTCCTTCTAAGCTTTTATTAGGGATAGATGCATCAGAAGTTCTAAAACTTATTGTGAAAGTGCAATCAAGTCGTAAAACTTTCAAATAATATAATCAAGTCCTAAAATTTGCTAGAAAGTGCAATCGGGTATTTCGTTAGCTCTATGTAATTTAAGTGATGGAAAATGCTGACTTTGCAGTTTTAAATATTTTCAACGACGCGTGATGCTAATATGGTGTCAAATAGGTGCCACATCAGTAAAAAATGGTAAACAGAAAAAAAGAGCAAAAATAAAAAGAGCCCAAAACTAGAAAACAAAGAAAAATAGAACTTGAAGAGAGAGATGTGTGCGGCGGTGGGCTGTTTAAAGGGCGGTCACCTCCGCCAGCGAGGGCCGTCGGCCCATTGACCCTCACGTCATGCAAGGGTGACGTGTGTTGGTGGAGTGACTACTTGCCACCACCAAGTGAGGATTATCTTTCACAAGTACAAGTACAACAGTGAGAACTACTACGACATCAAGAAGCTCGAGCACAAGATAGTGCCTCTCAGTGAAGACATTTACTGCACAAGAGTAGTGGCACCATCCTTGACGAGGAGCATAAGCCACCATGCGAATCCTCACCCACCACCGTGCTGGGACTTCTAGTGCTCACCTAGATTTGGGCAGGGGCAAGCAGGCGTGGCGAGGACCAGCGACCCTCACCCTCGCCCTCGCCAATAGGGGTGAGCACGGGTCCAGGGTAGAACCGGGAACCGGACCGATGGGTCTGGTTTGATTCTCGGTTCTAGGGAGGGAGGTTCCGATTCCCAGTTCCATTTTTTTAGGAACCGCCGGTTCCGGTTTGGTTCCTGGTTCCTATAGGAACCGGAACCGGAACCGAGAACCGGGAACCCTAAATCTAAAATCCCTAATTTTCTTACTACTCCTCACTTCTCATTTCTTGGATCTCAAATTCTTATCTCCATCCACATGCTCATTACTTTGCTTAACTTGTCATGTAGAACATTTCCTAAGGTTTATTTAGACCTTTGATATATTGTGGTTTTGGAGTACCCACCATTCGCATGCTCATTGCTTTGCTTAACTTGTTCTGTTTGGGTATTCATTGTCATATATCTATGCCAAGTTTTTGTTCTTTAGTGAGGTCGATTGTTTTCGTCATTCACTCTTTCAAGAAATATCTTAAGCTTGATGATAGTTAGAACCGTGCCGATAATGGATGAAAAGAAAAAGTTGTAGCTGCAGTTACAAATAATCGATGCGTGATACTTCAATTTTAAATTTAAAACTATTATTAAGTTATCAACTATGATTGTTGTTTCTTTTGATTTTAGGTGGTTAGAATTTAAAACAAATTTTCATGGATGTTTGAGGACCAAAAGTTCATCTTTCTTTCTTTTTTCCCGCTTCCCGTTTCGTTTGTGGTCCTGGATATGGATATTGTCTTGATTGACATGCTAATCGCTTGTGAATTCTGTTGCGTGTCAATTCACGCAATGACTCCTCATTTTAATTGTATTTAGTTGAACTGTAATGCTGGAGAAACTAGTCTTTTGTATTCTCTTTGGTGAATAATAAGCTTATTTGGTTTTGTTACGTTCATCTTCGTTATTTTTAACTAAGAATGAAACCAAAAAAAAAAAAAGAATCTGTTGGGCCCTGAAATCGACCCTGGAACCTGTGACATGGTAGGTTCTAGGTTCTAGGTTCTGACGGGTAGGTTCTAGGTTCCAAAAAATGAGGAACTTGTACTTGAGGGTAGGTTCTAGGTGGAACCTGTAAGGAACCTGGAACCGCTCACCCCTACTCGCCAGTGGTTGGGCAAGGGTTCCCTGTGCTTGTCGAGTCCTGTTGAGAGTAGATGGCCCTCGTTGGCATAGGCGAAGCGGGGGTGCCGCCCTTCACACCCCTCCACCCTAATGTGCCACCCCCATTGAAGACCCCCTCTCTTGAAGAACCCAGCAGTCGGTCTTTAGTTTTTTTTTTTTGTATTTTAGTGTTTTTTCTATTCTTGATTTTTTGGGTTTTTTTCAGATGCGGCGGCCAAGTCGGTGTCACTTAGTCTGAAAAATATCTAAGAAAGTCACGGCAACATTTTTTGTCTGTCAAATGGACGGACCTGACTGATTGCATGAATGGTTAAGTTGGTCCTGTCGTGATTCTACTTGCATAACGGCGGTTTCTTTGTTGTGGTTATAATTCCATCATCTTTTATATTTTAGCTGCTATTTTGGTGGATATATAATTTAACTGCAATGGTACTAAATGAAGGTACCCTATATCCCCGAAGGCCTTGAGGCTATCATTTTCACTGCCGATGGTGACATGAGGCAGGCGCTTAACAACGTGCAAGCAACATACAGTGGGTTCCGGTTTGTCAATCAGGAAAATGTTTTCAAGGTTATAATACAACTCAAGAATTATCACATTTGTGACACCAGCCCCCATTAAGAATTCATAAATAATTCATCATCCACTTGTTCTTCAGGTTTGTGATCAGCCACACCCATTGCATGTCAAGAATATGGTTCGCAATGTCCTAGAGGGGAAGTTTGATGATGCTTGTGCTGGTCTGAAGCAACTTTATGATCTGGGCTATTCCCCTACGGACATAATTACTACGCTTTTTCGTATCATAAAGAATTATGACATGGCCGAGTATCTGAAGTTGGAGTTCATGAAGGTCTCTCTTGTGCAGTTAAGTGTTCCAGCTATATATGAAGATTCTTGATCTCTTATACTATGCACTGTCGGATGCAGGAAACTGGCTTTGCGCATATGAGAATCTGTGATGGTGTTGGCTCATATCTTCAGTTATGCGGTCTCTTGGCTAAGCTAGCTGTGGTCCGTGAGACCGCTAAAGCAGCTTGAGGATCTCTGTAGCGGGGCTCGTCTTTCGCGACTTTTGTGAATGTAAGGAGGCGTATGATTTCATTATTAGGTGCATGCAAATGAGGAGTTGAAAGAGTGGTGTTAATTTACCTCCCCGACTTAATGAGTTTTGAAACCCGGTGCATCTCTTGGTGATGCATAAGGTTTCCGCTTAGTTGAAAGCATGGAGTAGGGTTTTCTTTCGGAGACTCGTGCAATGGTTCTTGTACAAATGGTGTCATCTCTTTGTTTTTCCCCAATTTGAATTTTCTTGCAATTAGGGTTTCGATTCCGTAGCTGAATTTTCTTGTAAGGAGACTGAATTCATTGTCCGCACCTTGCACCATTTTGTCCCGGTCGAATCACGGGATGGTGTCTCTATTGACTGAGTAGTACTTGACTTGTAGCTACAAGGATTTTCTTCCTAAATTGCAGAATCAGTACTGAAGTTGAAGCACCAAATATGTGCAAAGGGAATACATGAGCAACCTCTAATACAGTAGAATGAACTCAATTGCGGACTGGACTTGATTTGCAGTCCTTCGAACGGACGGAGTACTGAAATTTTCTCTCAGCTATCTTCTATGGAAAGGTTCTGATTGATGTCATTGTTCAGTGTTCAGGGCATGAATAACCGATACCGCATCCATTTCTATCAAGACGCATTGTCAATGGCTAATTGAATTCAGTCTCTTAAAGCTCATATTTCGGTCGCGAAAGCATTGGTAGTTCCGATAATTCGAGCAGAGCATGCAATCCAGTTTCCATCACGGTAGGGGCAGTCCATCCTGTGGCTTTGCTCGAGCGCTCTCAATAAATGGTATGCGCTGTTTTGGCAACTGGCTCATCACATGCCACAGACAAGAGTGATTAGAAGGGAGAAGAAATGAAAAGAATGCATAATGGCATAAATAACATTTCATGTACATATAAATAGATGCAACAAAAAAAGGGCCTAAGTGAGGAAGGAGAATGCATTTGCTTATTTATACACAAACTCCTCCGAATCCTTCCATACCTTGGATTGATTCGGAGAGATTTGGAACATAAACGAAATAGATCGGACTAATCCCCCTCCTGATCTCTCCTAATCCCTCAAAACTTTTTCGTCGTCTCTTTCTTTCCATCTAAACACAAATATCTCTGTACAACCCCTTCTTCCCTCCCTCCTAACAAACATAGTGTAAATTGCTATTTTTTAATACCAAATGGATAGTCTAATTGGTGAATGATTTATAACCTATATGATTAACTTTGATATTATGGTTATCGAATTAATTTGCCAAAGTACAGTGAAATTGAATCTATGACCCGGTAAAAGATTAACTCGAATCGAACCTATAAGTGATTGGTATAAATTGCAATTTCTTTGTTAATTTCCAGTTTCTTTTCCACACTACATTACCTATAAGTGATTTATAGGTATATAGTGTAGTGGCACATCCTATAAAGTTTGTCGGAAAATTTACGTTTCCCTACCTCGCTCACGAAGCATATCAAATCTCCACCACTCCCACCTAGAGCAAAATCGACACTTTCGACTAATTTCAAAAGACGATATCACATATATTGAACTTAAATTCACCTTAATTTTTTTTATTATCGGAAATTTCACCTACACTTAAAATCTTAAAAATGGGAGTAACTGAATTTATCTAATTAATCGACCCAAAAAAAGAAGAATATGTCTAATTCAAGTTGGGACTGAAAATCGCGAGTCTTCAATTCAAGACAAGAGTGGGCCGAACGACATCTCTGGGACGGTGCCCTACGGGCCCAATTCGCAAGGCCATGAGGCGACGGCGCCGTTTCAGCTGAACGAAGCCTCGAGTCCCCTGCTTCGGGATGCATTTAAGCAGGCGCAATGGTAATTAGGGTTTCCTCCATCATCAGCAGACGCGCCGAGACCCCAAGCAGCTCCAGCGACCCTCCTTCGCCTCACCATGGTCCTCAAGTACGCCCCCCCCCCCTCTTTCTCTCTCGATGATGCAATGCGTATCATGTTGTGATTTGTTCGTCGGCGTTGTTGCCTTGATGTCGGAGCGTGTCTCGTTTCGGTTCGAGGTTGTGCCCAGATTGTAAAGCTCGCGTCTTTAGCGTGGCAAGTTTTCTTGTTCTTTTGTTTTGGATTTGTGGTGTCTTGTTCGTGGGAGTTTGGAAAGGTCTCTGAGTTGCGGAATCTGCGAAAGGTTTGAACTCTCAAGGCTTAAAAGTTTGCGGGCTGTTTTGCTATTGCAAATGAAAGTAAGAACGCGGTGGGGTTAAGGAGAATTTGCTGAAGTAAAGATGTAATCGAAATGCCGAGTGGCAGAGCTGGAACAAATTTTTGGGCCTGATTGATTTTGGACCTTCATCTACAAATGTGGACAATGTTGACAGTTCAATGCTTGTGTGGCTTCATTACATGGATGGATATTGCATTCCTTGCTGTTATCACTCTCTATGAGCTGTGACTTTGGCAGTAATGGTGTTAGTCTTGTGTGATGATTCTTGAGTGTTTGATCTGTGGTTTATTGACCCCTAGTATGTGTAATCGGAAGTATGTGTTCTGTCTCTTGATATCTGCTGCTACATGTTGATAGCATATTACTGCATTTGCTTGCGATTGCGAGATTCGTCGTTCTTAATACAGTTTCTTTCCCCCTAATTTTGATATTTTAGGACTGAACTCTGCCGCTTTAGCGGTGCCAAGATTTACCCCGGCAAGGGAATCAGGTTCATTCGCTCGGATTCCCAGGTGAGGTTTTGAATGGTTCTCTGTGATGGCCTTGTGGGTCGTCGTATCTTACGTGAATTGTCTCCTCGGCTTTGCATGTGTAGGTTTTCCTGTTTGCCAATTCTAAATGCAAGAGGTACTTCCACAACCGTCTGAAGCCTTCGAAGCTTACATGGACAGCCATGTACAGGAAGCAACACAAGAAGGTGAAGAATCGGCCAGAAGGCTTTTTAGCATAGCTGTTTTGCTTAACCTGGATGTGTGTGCTGTATATGGTTCTCGGGGTTGTCACAATTTGACTCTTTCTATTAATCATGTTTGCAGGATATCGCCGCTGAGGCTGTGAAGAAGAAGCGCCGTGCCACTAAGAAGCCTTACTCGAGGTCTATTGTTGGTGCTACCTTGGAAGTCATTCAGAAGAAAAGGACTGAGAAGCCAGAAGTCCGTGATGCTGCACGTGAGGCTGCTCTCAGGTATAAGCTCTTGTCCTGTCACAGTCACTGTTGAGGTTTTCGCTGTCCCTGCTCGTTCTCACCGTGCTTTGCATGACCATTTCTTGGTTTGCAGGGAAATCAAGGAAAGAATCAAGAAGACAAAGGATGAGAAGAAGGCAAAGAAAGCTGAGACGGTGGCCAAGTCGCAAAAGACCCAATCCAAGGGGAACATGCCTAAGGGTGCTGTGCCAAAGGGCCCCAAGCTCGGAGGTGGCGGTGGAAAACGATAAATTCGTTTGCCCTGCTTTCTTGTAATCCGGTACCATCCGGCATCTACAGTTTAGATAATTTGTTTCAATTTCTGTTTGGACCAACTCACATATTTTACCAAGGATCTTTTGTCAGATTCAGTTTGATTTTGTTTAATGCATATCAGTTCGGAGTTTGTTGATCACATTGTGCTTTTACTATTCCACATACCCTATAAGCAGTAGGCAGTTTGGTTCCAGTTCTGATGGTTACATGGAATCTTTTGCATAAGTTTTTCCTCGACTTCCTTTAGGAACTAGAGCTGTCTTTGTGCAGAAAATTGCTTTTGCCTGTTTTATGTGAATCGGGTTTTTTTTCGTGATGATGAATGAGCGGTGTCATCACTTTGCTAATCGGTGTCACAAGTGAATAGTATACCTTTCTCAAATTTTATAGGAGTTTCTCCAAAGAAGTATTTGTTGGAAAAGGCCTAGCTGTTTTTTTATTGGAAGAGATGATTATCTACCCTTATTTCTTGTCCCTTTTCCCTCTTCAAATATGGTCTGTGAATTTATCATCTCGTCAAAAGATTAAGGCCACTATCGAAGTTTGGAGTTCTTAAGGAATGTTGTTTGTTCCTGGATATGGTTCGGCAACTCTACTAGAACTTCATTTGCGCTTTAGAAATGCCTGAGTCAGGCTCGGGGTGAAGGTTACGTGGCTGGACGATTTTCTTGAATCGCGCGCAAGCCTTCGGCATTTTTGAACGATCGAAGGCGGAGCAACTTGTTTAGCTCCTAATTTCGTGCTATCCTGAGAGTCATCGGCGCGACCATCCATGCCAACAAAGTCGACAAACCTGATATCACCTTCTGCTAAATTTCTGTTCTTGTGCTAACACGAGACTCTGACTTGCTTTTATGTTTTGAGTTTGTACTGCGTAATTTAATGTTGAAGTGCTTGGTCTTCTGTATTATTTATTGTTTTTCAGGGTTCTTGTGTTTTTATACTGTTCGGCTTGCCGGCACTTAGTTTAGGACTCGAAGTATTCTTTTCACACGTAGATAATTTGAACAAGAATGGGTTGCACTTTGGTGTCGATGTTGTAATTACTAATTTGATTTTTTGTTCTTTTTCGCGTTTTCGGGGAATTTTGTTTCAGATTCATAGTTGGCTTGGTAATGCTGTATAAAAGAGAGTCCGCGTGCGATTACTGCGGTTGGTGCCATTATCGGACCTGTGTGCCTACTAAAAAAACACCACCGTGATTACCGAGCAAGATGAAATTTTGCCGAGGATCACATTCACTTTATCCTCTCGCCTGTTTCGAAAGTAGAATAAGTCGAGCTAGTTACAAAGAGTATGCGGAGCAACACGTGAAGTCGAGAACCCATATATTAATGCGTTGGCATGTATGTACTGAGGAAAATTTCGCTTGGGTGATGCCACCAACTCTCTCGTTTATAAACAAATAAATTGGATGTGGACTCTTTATTCTCTATCTGTTAGAAAAATTCATGCAGGAAGGAGTCGTTCCTCCATCTCCCACTTCAGCTAGCAAAAGCATAAAAAATTGCAAGAAGCAAGCTTGGTGGCAGAAGCTTTCTTCATGACGATGGTCATTAGATCATTTCAAACTATTAATACATCAGGCCAGTAGAAACAGTCCTACCCACCCGCCATACCTTTGGATGGTTTCAAAGTCTGTGATGAATACTTTGATATACTATTTCTTTCTTTTTTTCCGGGATAAAATGTAATACCAACGAGAGCAGGATTGGGGTCCTCTGCATTTAGTTTTATCTGTAGACGGATATTGTATATGCAGTGTCTCGAGGGTCGGATTCGGATTTCCCAGACGGAGGACGGTATGGTAAGGTCGTAGTTATATGCGTCGGATACCGTATCTCCACGAGTTGGAGCTATCCAATAATTTTTTCTTTGATTTATTCGTGATACATCCCGATCGCTTGTATACACATTTTAAGTTTAGTATGTCATGTATCCGGCGGTGTAAATTAAGCCATCTGCACGGCATCCATATTTCAAAATATTAAAAATAATCAACCGGCGAATCATATTAAAACAGCGAAGAAGGGGCGAGATTTCCAAGTAATTTCCAATGTCTTAAGCTCGTGCACTTTGCTTAAACACCGCGTAACACAGTCAAACTCTAAAGCTTATCCAACTATTATATATAACACGATGACCCGCCTTTGGCTCATACTCGTTCCAAATTCTCTCTCTCCCTCTGCTACAGTTGAATCTGCCAGCAATTTCACAAGAAATCTTCTCCCTCTGTACCCAAGCGTTTCTCCAAGCATTCCTCGAGAGAGAGAAACGAAAGAGAGCGGCGATGTCGAACTCGAGGCGAGATATCGAGCGAGGAACCGAAAAGAAGGGACCCCAGGAAGCCGACGTCCATTACTATGCCGCGGCAACAACGGCGTACGTGGAAGAGGATGGCGAGTGGACCTCGTGGTTGATCCCCGCGTTCATCTTCGCCAACGTCGTGGTCTTCGTCGCCGTCATGTACGTCAACGACTGCCCCGAGAAGAACTCGCGCGTCTACGGCAGCTGCGTCGCCCAGTTCCTCGGCAGCATGTCGTTCCAGCCTCTCAGGGAGAATCCTCTCTTCGGTCCCTCTTCTTCTACGTAAGCACCCAAGTTATTTCTATATTTGAGTTTCTTCTTTCTTTTTACTGTTCCGACTTTCTCTTAGACAATGTTAGGACCAAGAGGTTTAATGTTGATTGGAGCTGGTCTCTTGGCATTTCTGAAACTTCCATGGCGGTTTCTACGTGCGTGTAATGAAGACGTTTGGTGATGTTCTAGGAAGTGAAATGGTCGTATAACTCAAAACCGTTGACCTCTTCGTATTAAATAGAAATTTTTTGAGTTTCGTACCAAACAGAACATCACTCCCCCGGCTTGCAATAGTAAACATCAATGTCAAATTTTGATGAAATACACGTCTAATGTATTGTACCTAATTAGGTTTGTTCAATTATGAGAGTAACTATCTGTTCCAAAACTTACAATTTAGAGAATGGATCAGATTATGTATTAATCATCTCAGCGTTTTTCCGGCGGAAGAACTTTTGTAATTATACCTGCAAAAGAATATGATGAACGCTGCAAACCGTGAATGAGTAGTTGTTTACTTTTCTCAACGAGCATTAGGTAATTCAAGGGAAGCTATTGTGTAGGCCTAGTCGACAGAAGAACTTGCTTCGAATCTCTCTATATCACTCAAAAGCGCAAGTTTTCACTATAATCTCTGCAACTTGATTGGCTCTATTCATAACGTAGTCCATCATTGACTAAATTGATCCAGTTTCTTTTCTTGATTCAAGAATTTGCCATGGCAGAAGATATGGTTCGTTTTATGAATAAGTAGCTGCTCATTATCTGTGATACAAGTGTGAATTTCTTAGGTGAATTTGAATTCTGAAGCAACCTTTGTTGCTGTTTGTGTGCAGATTGGACCAGATGGGGGCTCTGGACTGGAACAAGATAGTGCACCAAAAACAAGGTTGGAGACTAATCACTTGTATGTGGTTGCACGCCGGTGTCGTTCATCTGCTCGCCAACATGTTGTCCTTGGCATTCATCGGCATCCGCCTTGAGCAGCAATTCGGCTTTGGTAAGATCAAAGGAAATTTACATTTCTCGACTTGCACGGGCTTTTTAGTCTTGTATTAGGAATTGAAAAATGATGATACATCTTCATTTTCTCATGCCGAATTTTTGACTAACATTATTTTGGGCCATGCCATGATGATTTGGGCAGTGCGAGTGGCAACCATCTACCTATTGGCCGGATTCGGCGGAAGCATTCTCTCTTCGCTTTTCATCCAGAACCAAATATCGGTCGGCGCTTCCGGTGCTCTCTTCGGCCTTGTAGGAGCGATGGTTTCCGAGCTCATCACTAATTGGACCATCTACACCAACAAGGTCGATAAACTCGCCAATCTTTTTATTCGGAAATTGATCATTGAACAGCATAATAATAGCGCTCCTCCGTGTTCAATTTTTGCAGGCTGCAGCTCTTTTCATGCTGATCATCATAATAGCGCTCAATTTAGGACTCGGACTCCTTCCACACGTAGACAACTTTGCCCACATCGGTGGGCTATTGACGGGCTTCCTTCTCGGCTTCATCCTCCTCGTTCGTCCCCAGTTCGGGTGGGAGGCTCACGCCAAGAAGTCGAAGCACAAGCCTTACCAATACTTGCTGTGGCTTCTTGCCCTTGTTCTATTGATCATCGGGTAAGTCGACACTAATATTAAAAGTGTGGTGTTTTATCAAACTTTGGACAAGAATGCCTTGTGTTACATTCGACCTCGGAAACGAAAATTACTTACTTCTTTTTCGGGTTTTGGCAATTTCGTTGCAGATTCATAGTCGGGCTGGTGATGCTGTTTAAAGGAGAGTCCGCGAATGATCATTGCAGTTGGTGCCATTACCTGAGCTGCCTGCCAACGTCAAGATGGCACTGCGGGAACTGATGAAATCTGCAGATGAAACTCCCAATCCTCGTCATCGATCTCACGTGTTTTTTTATCTTCTTTTTCTTCTTCCCATGGATACTCATGATTCGATTCGATTAGGATACAAAACTTGTCATGTAAATGCTCAGATACAGAACTTGCGTACACAATAAGGTTTCTCGGAAAACTAGGAAATATATACCATCGGTTTGATGTTAACCTCTCCTTTCTCTGTCCCTCTCGGGCTTGCTCTTTGCCGTGGAAATAGCTATATCACTGTGTTCAAATCATTGCAACATATATACGAGCCAGCAAAGATATCTTGCAGGCATTGGGAAGAGAGAGAGAGAGAGAGAGAGAGAGAGAGAGAGAATTGTCCAAGGTTCATCCACAAACATCAACAGATGACATAGTCCTATTTTCACATTAATCAATCTTGTCATAATCGCAAAAGCGCCTTAATCTAACGTCAGAAACAATTCATGAGGATTTGACAGGGCTTAGCTTCCAATGGAGGAATTTTTTTTTTTTGAGAACTCGATTGTTCCATGAATCTACAGTGGCATTTGACCACTCTCCAATGACATTAAGGGTGCGCATGACAATGTTTCTATGCCGGAGAACTATTTCTACTCGAAATGGTTCTTTTTTATTCTGTGCCCGGAAATAATTTCTAAGCATTTGAAGGCGTTTGGTAATCATCCAAAATTTCTATTCCTGGAATAGAAAACAACGAAATGCGTTTGGTAACTACACAAATTTTTTTGTTATTAATAATATTTTAATAATATTTTGAATTGTTTATTTTTTTTTCTTTCTACCCAGGCCATGGCCTCCGCAAACGACCGGCCACATGCCCCCGAGGCCGCGAGGGCGTAACGGCCCTTGTCGGCGGAGGCGAGGGTCCCCCTTGCCGGCGAGGCGAGGAGGCTCGCCGTCGGTCATGGCGAGGTCGGCCTCGTCCGACGGGCGAGGCCGAGCCTCGCCGTGGGTCGCAACGGCGAGGCTCAACCTCGCCGGATGCGGGCGAGGCCGACCTCGCCGTGGGTCGACGGCAGGCGAGGCTCGGCCTCGCAATATCCGGGCGAGGCCGAGCCTCGCCGTCGCGACCCACCGCCAGCGAGGTCGGCCTCGCCCGGATCCGGTGGCGAGGGCGACCCACGGCGAGGTCGGCTTCGCCGTGGGCCGCGACGGCGAGGCTCGGCCTCGCCGAGATCTAGGCGAGGCCGACCTCGCCATGACCGACGACGAGCCGCCTCGCCCGGGCGGCGAGGGTCCGCCTCTTCGCCCTCGCCGGCGGGGGACCCTCGCCTCCGCCGTGCGGCGGCGAGGGCCGTGACGCCCTCGCCGGCCTGGGCTGCTGGCCGGTCGCCGGCGACCGGCCACAACCCAAGAAGAGCAACACAAAAAGAAGAAAAGAAAAAAAAAAAAAGAAGAAAAAAAACTGATTCTCAAAATTGTGCCGAGAAACAAGAAGCAACTTTTTTACTTCTTGTTTCTCTTCCAAAACCTGTTTCTCAAGCACAAATTTTTGCAAAAATGTGCCCGGAACAAAAAGTTTACCAAACGCATTTTGTTCCCAAACTATTTCTGGGAACAAAAGAACAGAAATTTTCTTGTTTGGCACGTTACCAAACGGGCCCTAAGACTATTTCGTGAAAAATAAATAATTTGAAATTTTTTTTTCCTAAAAATGATCACTTGCATTATTTACAAAAATAATGAACAAATAACGTATTCATCGTCCCCAAATATGTTTAGACATAAATTCCAATTTTTGTGGCACCAAGATGCTTTGCTCTAACTCAATGGAGCAAGACTTCTTTCCCACATAGTGGCAAGGAAGGGCTTGTTTGGTGACCGGCCAAACAGATTCTATTCTTTTGTTCTCGGGAACCAAAAAAGAACAGAAATCCATTTGGTAAATTTTTTATTTCCGGGCACAAATTTGTTTCCAGAATCAGTTTTGGAATAGAATCAAGAATAAAAAAGAAGTTGATTCTTGATTCTGAGAACAAGAATCAGAAATGGAAAAGAAATTTTTTTTTATCTTCTTCTTCTTTTTTCCTGGCATGTGGTCGACCACCGGCCACAGGCCAGGGCCGCGAGGGTTGGACCCTCGTGGCCTGGGCGAGGGTTGCCCTTGCCGGACCCTTGCTAGATCCGTCGAGGGCAGCTCGTGGCCTGGATGAGGGCTGCCCTCGCCGGATCTAGCAAGGGTGACCCTTGCCCAGGCCATGAAGGTGGCGGCGAGGGTCCAGGCCGCGAGGGTTCAGCCTTCGCTTGTGGCCTGCAAGGGCCGCGATGCCCTCGTCGGCCTTAGCCTGTGGCTAGTCACTGGCGCCGGCGACCTGGCCATGGGCCAAGGAAGAAGAAGAAAAAAAGAAAAGAAAAAAAAAGAAAAAAAGAAAGAAATATTTAAAATATTAAAATATTATTAATAAAAAAAAATTTGTGCAATTACCAAATGCATTTCTGTTCTTTTTCTGTTCCAGGAATAAAAATTTTGGGCAGTTATCAAATATTTTCAAATGTTTAGAAATTGTTTCCAAAAATGGAATAAAAAAAATCATTTCTGAACATAAATTGTTTTCAGGAACAGAATGGTTACCAAACGCACCGAAGTGGAGACTCTCAAGGTGGAGACTCTCAAGGTATAACTTGACCTGGCCCAGTTGCAAGAAGACCATAAAGGTGATTTGGATAGGGAGCTTGAACTAAAATTTAAACAGCAGATTTGCTTTAGTTGGAGACCGTGAAGGAATGTATTGGCATCAACCATCTTGGAATCAATTGGCTCAAGCATGGCGGCAAGAACACAAAAACTCTTCTGTTCCAGTGGTCCTAGAGATTGAGATGAGGGTGGTTCTGTCACTGAAGAGATGAAACATTGCTTTTGGCTGCTGATGATTCTGCAGAGGAAGTCAAGGCGGCAGTGAGATCAGTTGGGAGTGTCTAAAGGCTCCCGGGCCTGATGATGTCCTGGCAACATCCCGATCACAACAATTCCGGGATGAGTTTAGTGATCGGTTCGGGCCGTTTGGTCCGGTTCTCAGGTTGTGCCGGACCGGTGATCAGTTATGAGTTCTAAAGACTCCTGGACCTGGTGGTATCCTGGGAACATCCTGTCACAACAATACTATGATGAGTTTAGTGATCGGTTCGGGCGGTTCGGTCCGGTGGTCATCCCTACTTCTGGGCCCGTCCACTGATCGGTTCTATCACGACAGGCGGGCTAACGGCCCCGTTTCGAGTTTTCTAGCTTTTTCTTTTTCTTTCTTGCTGCATCGAAAAGCCAAAAAAAAAAAAAAAACTAACTTTTGATGCCCGCCAAAAAAGAAACCGCCTTCAACAACACTACGCACCCCCAAGCGGTTTCATTTCATTCTCGCACTGTTCCACCGACTTCCTCTTCCGCTCATCGACGCCATCAAACCCATCAACTCCACAACCACGATCAACCAGACCTCCTCCACGCTCTCCTCCGGTTCAGAATATGGCGATCAGGCTCGCCGCGGCGGCGGCGGCAGTGGCGGCGGCAGTCCTCGCGTTCCTCCTCCTCCACTGCCTGAGCGGGCTGACGGTGTCCGGGGTCGAGATCCTCTCCAAATCGAAGCTCGACAAGTGCGAGAAGACCTCCGCCTCCGACGACAACCTCAACTGCACCAAGAAGATCGTGTTGGACTTGGCCGTTCCCAGTGGTTCCGTAAGTGATCATCGCTGAGTTGTGCAGTGCGGATACGTACACTTGAAGAGAAATGATTGCACGAACTGATTTGCTTCCTTAATTTTCTTGCATGAATTGCATCAACTGCACTTGATAGAAACAGTTGCGTTCGCTTTGTTGATATTATCAAAGCCCGTGATTGAAGGAGAGATTCTGAAATTGATTGGGAATGGGTCGTGGAATTTTTGGTGAAGGTTGACTATACGAACTGATGATGCCATTTTGATGTGTGCAAAAATTGAAATTTGGCCGCATTGCTTATTCAATCTACTCTGGGGGGATTGCAGAGCGGAGGGGACGCCTCGCTCGTTGCGGAAGTAGTAGAGGTCGAAGAGAACTCGACGAGCAAGATGCAAACTTTGCGAATTCCCCCGGTGCTGACGGTCAACAAGTCTGCTGCATATGCTCTCTACGAGCTTACATACATAAGAGTATGGAACCTCTCTGATCCTGGTGCCTGTATAAAGCGAGAGTTTTGGTTCGCAGATATGTTTCTACTTCTTTAGTCCCGACTGTATTGTCTTCTGCAATTATCCCCTCATCTGCTCCATAGAAGTTAGAATTTTTTTAGTGTAAAACCCTTCAAGGTGCATTTTATGTCCTTAAGAGGAAATTTACGAGCAAACATGCTTTTAATGCCTTTCGAGTGTGAAATTCTTGGTGAGACAAGTTGCTACAGGATGTGTGCTTTTGCTTTATAGCACTTCCTTTTGACTTGACACAGATAAAATTTTCATGCTTCTTCATGTTCATATCATCTTTTCATTTGTACTCAATGTTGTGTTCATGCGCTAAATGTACTATGCACTTATGTGACATTTTTCAGGATGTTCCATACAAACCGCAAGAAAATTATGTGAAGACACGCAAATGTGAGCCAGATGCCGATTCAAAAGTTGTCAAAATATGTGAGAGGCAAGATCTCTCTCTCTCTCTCTCTCTCTCTCTCTGACTCTTCATCTTACCACACCATTCTCAAGTTTTTGGATTGCATTGGACCAGGTCAATGGTCCCCTTCTCTGCTGCTTCTCATAGTGTTTCCTTTTTCTTATTGGCCACAAAATACCTGGTTAAAGCAAATGTGGTAGGAAATTATTTGCAAGATTTTAGCGACACTTACGATTTTTGCATTGTTGTTACCTAAAACATTGAGGAAATTTTACGTGCTTGCGCGCATCTAAGGCCATCATGATCTAGCACCACATTTAGCAACCTGCACTATATTGTATCTTGTACCTTACATACGAATACAACTTGTTGCGCACAATGGTTCGCAGTATATTCATTCAATAGGAACTTTTCTTCATTGGATTGTTGCATGAAAGTAATGCAGATTGGCAGTTGACCATCATGTAACAGGGTCATAGTCTATGCCTTACAGGTTGCGGGATGCCGATGGTCATATTATTGAGCATACTCAGGTGTCTTTTTCCACCATCTTTCTTCGTTTATCTCTTTGAGTCATCATAATATTCTTTCCTTTTTCTCTTCA